GAAAGTGAACATCCTACCAAGATTGTCATAAGATACTGGTAGATTGCTTTTCTATACCGTTTCGGGTTGCTATACTCACTAGTTTTGCGGAAGAAGAGTTTTGACTTAATTAGCCATATAAGGAAGTGACCGAAGCGCCTCAATGATGGCTTCTAGACCAACCAATTGGCCCGAAACTGGGTGGGGCGCTGGAAGATTGGGGGCCATAACCGTTATCCATTATCCATCGTTGGCAAGATTCTCTAGCGGTTTCTAGGGGCAAGGGTTTTGTCAAGCCGTGTTTCCTGTGCAAGGATGTGGGTGACGCTTATCATCGCTTATCACGGTGTGTCTCCCTTTTGATACGCGACTTTTTTGACGCCCCATATTCAGGTCCGGAGCCATGTTTTGTGATTTGATAACTTCCCGCGAATGGGTTCCCATGACTGAATCTTAGTCTAAAGGGCCAGGACTTGATTGGGTTGATTGGGTCCACGCCCTTTTGGAAGCGGAATGGGGCAAATCTTTAGTTCCGTCCGATTGATTTCGAGTTGCAAAAAGTACAGAGCGTTTTATATCCCAACTAGACATGTGTAGAAATTGGCCTGTTGAAAGTTGAAAGCATAGATGTCCCAAATTCCCATTGCTTGGTTGATTAATAGAGGGGTTTGAAGAAACCCCTTTAACAACAGGTTTGTTTGATGATAGATGGTATACCAAACCGGCCCAAACCTATTTTTACCAAAAGGACATGAAATTGGTTGAAAGGTACATCCGGGTGGATGTCCGTGCGGGTCCATGCCACCATGCCCCTTGCCGACACCAAAATCGCCAGGGGCTCGCTGCAGACGCAGCATTTTTTTTATGCCCCATGAAGAGCCAACTTAGTTCGAAAATAGAAAAACCAGGTCAATCAGCATTCATGGTAGATATATTATCAGTCACTGATATCTTATCTGAAAAATATATTTGGTAGATATATAATGGATCTATATATATATATAATGGATCTATATTTGGTTGGTGGTTTGGAACATGAATCTTATGACTTTCCATTCAGTTGGGAATGTCATCATCATCATCCCAACTGACGAACTCATATTTTTCAGAGGGGTAGGTATACCACCAACCAGTCATGGTAGATGGCCATGTAGATATATCTATGCGTTTTTGTGCTCATTTTGTGGACAGACATGAACAGACCCTGTACAAGAAGGTGGTGCTCGGTGTGTTAAATAGCTTGATTTACAACTGCAATAACTGTCGGGTTAAGGTAGGTGTATGGACGTAGTTAATGGCGGTCATAAACCGAGAAACATAACTGGGGGGCACCACCAATATACACACATATATTACATGCCATCGTATTTTACATACCCCATTGAATTCCCATGCCATCGTATTTTACCATTTTGTTGGTTAAATCCAAATTTGTTGATTCAATCCCTTTTTTCCTCATTAAATCGGATTTGTGCTGCCTTGTATGAATCTTGAGGCCACAAATATCGAAGGGCATCCTGACAATGTGCCTAAACGATGGAAACTGGCGAATGGGAGGGGTGTGCCAAACGGATGACGGCTACCATTTGATCTACATCGACGTCACTTATGATTACGTGTGGAATTCATACCCCAAATGGTTTATTTTCAGTGATCGCCGTGGTGTGTAATTATGTATCTCAGGCCCTTTACTAGCCTCTTTGAATTTCAGTGACCACATTGACAATGATCGACCATGTATAGGCCCGATTACAATGACACATAAACCTTAAACTTTAAACCACATTAAACTATTAAACTTCCTATGAAACCGCAAGCAAAACAACAGCGATGGATCAAACCCGCCATTTCACAACTTTGTGGGGGCATAAACATCCGTTGAATAGCTCCTTTATCATTCACGAAAAGAAGGCTCTCCAGCGTGTACGATGTTTCAAGTTTACTTATAAACCCGTTCAACTGATTTCAACTGTAGGTATCTCCACCAAAAATCCAAGGTACATCTAGGCAAAATTATAGTGACCTCACGTCTTGACCTCATTGGAATCATGGTTTGTGGGAAATCATCCCTATAGCTGACCGAACTTATTTCAAGTGAGTGAAATATGATCATGCACCCCCATATATATATATATACACATATACCATAGACAGTTTATATAATATATATATACATACATTCTTTAGGTAACTAACGGTAACTACATCGACGATTAGTAAATGCCAGAAATTTGGTGTTTTTGTGTTGCGAGGTGGCGCCCTGTATCTATGGAGGCTTCCAGTTGGGGATTCACAATGGCTCCCGTTGGTGCGGGCCCAAAAAACCTGTCGAGATGCTGGTGCTTTTGACGAAAAGCCATGGGATTTTTGGGGGGTGAAAACCATGGGAAAACGATGGGAAAATTGTGATTTCACGAGGATTTCATGGGAACCAACTGGATGGTTAGTAATAATTGGTGGTTAATGGTTAATGACTATTAATGATGGTTAATGGTTCATAGCAATGGGAAAATCTACATATCAACTGGCATTTATAGTTGATTTTCCCATCAACCTCCATTTGGTGGGATTTTCCGGCCATACCAAAGGATATATCCTAGGTTAACCAAATGGATGGGTACAAACTAATCCTGAATAGTCTTTTGGTACCAATGGAATTATCTACTAACTCGCCAGCTCAGAATTTGTCATTTTTTGTAGGGTATCTGGCTGATTTGCCATGGAATTCATGGGAACATATGGGAAAATCATGGAAAATCCACCTTTTCATGGAGGTTTTTGTTGCTGGGATTGGAGTATCTTGGGGCTGCAGTGGAACCGAAGTGACTTAGAGTTCACCGTAGTTGCAGGGGCCCCATATCCCAACTTATGAGGGTTAAAACCCTAGAGTTATACCCATTCATAAGCCCTGGCTGGCACCCCCAAGCAAGAGAAATATCGGAAGTCGGCTCGTGGAAGCGCTGATCGATTTATGATGGATGTCACCACTTAGCCCAAGAGACGGTGGGATTTGGCTTAAAGATGGGTTGAATAGATGAAAATCACGAATTCGACCGATGAAGATTTGGATGAAACCAGTTATCAATCGACCTGCGGATGTAACAGAAGAAAGGATCTGTAGCCAATGGACATAGGCATAGGGATTAAACATGATTAAATTGATCTAAACAACAAAAAAATAAAGAGCATTCAAAGCTCATTCCCCCCAATTTACACGGCCGGACCGGGGCTGCCAGTTCCAAGGCATCAAAGCCCCATGATTCACATGGCATCCAGGTGGACGGACCGTGTGGATATGCCCCATGGTTTGATGTGTGTCGTCTTTTGCCCTGACCATGCGTTGGGCGCCCCGGCTTCCGTCGACTTCCGGCGGCTTCCGGCGATCCAGATGGGGCCCGAATCGTCCGAGGCATACCATGATAGGACATTGAAACTCATCGTTTTTTAGGGATCCCACAGTTCAAGAAACCCCCATATAACATCATATAACTAGGGCTGATATTACCGAGTGATAAGGGATTGCTGGAACCTCAAAACCCTGAGATAATACCACTGGAATGGGGGCCATGCCAAGGGACATGCACTTTGAGCCAGGGGTGGTCAATTTCTTTGCGATGACCGCAGTTGCCCGCAGAAACACATACCCTCTGGTTATGTCAAAATAGCTATTGAAAATGGCCATAGAATTAGTGGATTTACCCATTAAAAATGATGATTTTCCATAGCTATGTTAGCCATTACCAGAGAGTAGTGAAATTGTCGTCAGATGGGGAAGCCAAGCCCGTTAGACCAAAGAATTGAACAGTTTCATAGGGGACCTCACTGTCTGGATCATGCATCGATGTACCACCTGGTAATTTAACAGTTTGCCATGGAAGATCCACCCACTTTTAATAGGTAAACCATCTATTTCTATGGGCAATTTTTCATGGCTATGTTAAATAACCAGAGGGTAAACCACACATGATTTTGAAACGACTACCGGGCATATTGTTGGGGTCGGCCCATTCAGAACATCCAACATATGAATATCAATAAACACCTATGATATCAGCCAATCAAAATCAATCCAGCTCTGAGGCTCAGGCCCCCGAATACTAAACACTCCCATTTTGTGATCCTATGTGTAAGCCCCTTGCTAAACCATGGTGATTAGGACTGTCAACCATGCAAGGTGAGTCCCAAATGTCGCCAAACAACTGGGAAAATTCTATGGTTTCGGGGGAATATCACTATATTTTTCATGGTTTTTAAACCAACTTATAACTGGCTGCCCGACCTTGTAAAATGACGGCAATTGTGGGTTATCGGCTGGCCATAGACGGAGAAATCTCCTATATGAAACGAATGTGCATGCCAGTGCCAGAGATGTATATTTGTACGGAGATGAGCGCTCATTTCTTGTTGGAGTTGCAAGGTGTCCTTAGAGGTTATGTTGCAGACATTCCATTTTTACCCTCAAGTGATGTCTTGAAGTTCTGAAAAGGTTCAAAGGGCTACTTGCATAGTGCCAGAAGTCAGGACCTCTGGCTAGGAAGTGAGTGATACAGCCCACATGCTGGAAGATTGGGGACATATTTGGGGCACATGACTTTTGCACCATGTGATACACAAAAGAGTAGCTGGTTGGTGGTTTCAAACATGTTTATTTTCCATAATATATGGTTTCATCCTTCCCATTGACTTTCATATTTTCCCATTGATGGTTAAAACCACCAACCAGGTAGACCATTCTGCACGAATTTCTACCCTGTTCTTGGTGATTTGGCAGCCCATGGATCTCAAATTCAGTTGGGGGTTGAGGGCTAGTGACTGGCTTCTAATATCCAGGGTTAGCTCATCAAAATCAGGTAACATGTTAACCCCCAAGGCCCTGGATATTTTTTTGCATGCCACTTGAGATCTCAGATCCGACATGCGTCTGGACCTCTTTGGTTCAAGGGTTATGTGTTAACCATGTGCCATAAGCCCTAGAGGTGCCCCGCCCCCCGGGCCGCCGGGGGGCGGGTAGCAAGTCCGCCATGTCGGGGCTGGAAACGGTGGATTTCCTGCTGACCAAAGCAGCAAGATTGGACAAGGTGCAGAAAACCAAGGGACTTACTGGGGTTATTCACCACTCTCGGGGATTTTCCAGCCATGTTTACCAAAGGATATATCCTGGGTTAACCAACTGGATGGGCACAAACTAATCCTGAATAGTCTTTTGGTATCAATGGAATTATCTACTATATAACTCACCAGCTCAGAATTTGTCATTTTTTGTAGGGTATCTGGCTGATTAGCCATGAAAATGGGGACTTACTGGGGTTATTCACCACTTTCTAAGTACCATGATCCTTGAGGTATCTCCAGGTACGATTTGTGGATGGTTTTCAAGTAGAGAGTCTTCCCGACACAAACCATCAATGGCCATGCTGGCCAGGAACCGATTGATTGGAGGTACCGATTCCATATATGTTGTGCCTATTTTTAAGGCCTATGTAAGGGGATATACCCCCAAAATATGGCCAAAAATATGGTACAGTACCTCCATTTTAGGATCTTGGAATTCCCATTGAAACCACCTCTTCCACTGTTTCAGCATCGCGGAGGCCTTGAAGTCTTTGCCCAAGGCGGATCGTAAGACGCTCCACACCTCCTCGCACAAACGCGCCCGGAAACTGCTGCGGAACCTCTCCTTCCCGGCCAAGGTAAGGGATGATGCAAGCTTTTCCCCGCGGATCGTTTTTATGGGTGATACCCCCAGTTAGATTCATGTGGGTAAAACAATCATACACCATCCCAAAACCATCCCATACCATCCCTCAAATCACCAAAAATACCTGGTATAAACCATTCCCAAATGGGTGGTTTATGGCATTGTTTTACCCACATGAAAATGGACTATCCCCACATCTATATGGGATAAAATATACCGTGAAAAAGATTGTGGATTATTTTCCCCACGGATCCTTCTGGTAGGATGCACATGGATGCGCATCTGGTAGCAGATGGTTGAAGTCGTTTGATCACAGATACCCTCTGGTAAACATACACAAAACTATGGAAAATCACCATGCTATTCATGGGCTAAATCCCCTTTTTCTATGGCCATCAATAGCAAACTGCAGCAGATTACCAGGCCGGCCGGATTTTGCGTTCCGAAAATGGCGAATCCCCAGAGGTAGCACCATGACTTAGGAAACCTCCAGATCATCATAGATCCATCCATGATCACCGTTCTAATTCATCCACTATGGTCATAATGGGAAAATCAACTATAATCAACTATCGAGTTATAAACCATGTATATCACAGTATACTACAAACATGGTATAACTATTTTTATTTATTTAAAATTTGACGAAGTGAAGTTGTTTGCTTTGGTTATTGTGATCAATTTTCTTTCAAAACAGAATCAGTTCAATACATCTTTAATAATCAGGTAAGCCAGTTGGAAACCAGCACCCATGAGGATATTCAAGATTGAATTAGGTCCTGCTCCCTGACAGACATTTTGGGACTTGTGTTATTTTGGCTGTGTGTATTCAGGAGAAGGTCCAGCAAGCTTTGCTGAGACACCCAGCTCACTTGGATCAACTTGTTTGTTCCAGAAGATTGGCAGGAATTGGTGGTGATGGAGCAGACACACGTGGTGGTGCTGAGGCTCGCCATGCCACCACGGATGCGGGCAAGCATCTGTGGGAGAAGCTGAGAGGTCAAGAACTTCCTTACCTTGAGTGGGACGGAATGCATCGAGAGAACATTGGTCGGAGACATGCGTTTTCTGCACACGCGCCGACCCAGGAGTTGTACGATGTGGCTGCAGCAATGACGCAGCTGTTTGGCGTAGGAGCTGGTCGGATTGTCCGTCGGTCTGCTGCAAACAATGTTGGCACGAATGTTTTGAAAGTCCCTTCCTTGAGCATCATGAGAAGCACTGTATGATACTCTCCAGTAATCAATCCTGGCAATGGACGATTCCCTATGACGGATTTTGACAGCGAACTATATACACTTCCGGGGATTTCACAGAAACGGATGATGAGAGGATAGCAACATGGCTATACAACCAATGTTGGTAAAGCAATGTCAAAAACCACCCATATGGATCGATGGTTTTACCATGTTTTACCACTCATCTATGGTAAATACTGTATATGTACATACAGGGATTGTTTATGATTGTTTTATCTAACGTTATGGCTGTTCCCAGCTCTTCCAACAGAGAGTTCCCCTGGCTTTTCTTTTGAGATGTTGTGGTAGGTTTTTGGGATAACCACTAGAAGATCAAGCAACTTAGCAGGGGAACTGGATACCCTCTGGTAAACTAACATAGCTATTGAAAATGGCCATTTATAGTGAGATTTCCCATTCAAAATGGTGATTTTCCATAGTTATGTTAGTTTACCAGAGGGTATCAACCAGTAACAGCAGCAAACAACTTCGTCGTTCCTGAGATTCAATCCCGAGTAGTGCACCATATTTAGTGATTAAATATCAGGGGAAACCATTTAAGTGAATTTCAACCACTCGTCCAGCACATCAACCAAAAAATCATTATTTGGGGGAAACTACCCCAACCCCTGATTTCAGTTTGGTGACATATGGGAATTCAACCAGATCTTACTACAAATTGGCAATCAACCATGGCAATGGAAAAAGAATGCAGAAGATGTTCCCTATTTTAATCTTTTTTTTGAGGGCCATTCCCAGCGCCATCCATGCTTGATGACACGGGAGGGTACTTCCAATCCTTCACTCCCTACGGATGCAAGCGAGATTATGATGTATTGATCGTGGTTCATCCCCTTATTGTCAAGTAAGCTTTAGGTCACCCAGTGATACAGGGCTAAACATGGGATGATTATCAAACCTATGGTTTTTGCTTGATCTACGCATCCATGCCAAGGATTTTTGATTAAGTCTCTGCCGAACACCTAAGACCTGACAAATTACTTTCTTCGAGTGACCCCCACCCACTGACATTCTATTTGACATTCTGACAGTCTATTTGGCATTCTATCTGACATTCTGACCGTCTATCTGGCATTCTATTTGACATTCTGACAGTCTATCTGGCATTCTATTTGACATTCTGACAGTCTATCTGGCATTCTATTTGACATTCTGACAGTCTATCTGGCATTTTATTTGACATTCTGACAGTCTATCTGGCATTCTATTTGACATTCTGACAGTCTATCTGGCATTCTATTTGACATTCTGACCGTCTATCTGGCATTCTATTTGACATTCTGATAGTCTATCTGGCATTCTATTTGACATTCTGACAGTCTATCTGGCATTCTATTTGACATTCTGACAGTCTATCTGGCATTCTATTTGACATTCTGACAGTCTATCTGGCATTCTATTTGACATTCTGACAGTCTATCTGGCATTTTATTTGACATTCTGACAGTCTATCTGGCATTCTATTTGATATTCTGACAGTCTATCTGGCATTCTATTTGACATTCTGACAGTCTATCTGGCATTCTATTTGACATTCTGACAGTCTATCTGGCATTTTATTTGACATTCTGACAGTCTATCTGGCATTCTATTTGACATTCTGATAGTCTATCTGGCATTCTATTTGACATTCTTTTCTGGCCTCTATTCTGACATTTTATCTGGCATAACGTTGGGGCGGCGTGCCCCGCAGCCGGAGCTCCAACTCAGCTGGATGTCTCAGCTTCATGTGCTGAGCTCTGGGCAGTGGCGGCCATAGTGAGGAACCAGTTGAATCCAATCGGTTTGGGGGAGATATGTGAGACCTCCAAAATCTAGTAGTTTATCATCATTTCCCCGTATCAATCTCAGCATGTCTTCGGGGTATGCTCCATTTTCAGACTTCTGACGTTTCCTGGGCCAATCTGTTAATCAAAAAGTTGGGGTATTACCATCATGAAGAGGGAATGCCCCAAGATATTTGTAATTTATTGTGTCACTTCTAGCCAAAAATATAGCTTCCAATATGTTAGTACATTAACCCAAACATCCAAGATACCTGGAAACCACCATATACCCACGTATATATATATAGTTATATATATATATACCCATGTGTACCTAAGTACATATTTTACTCCATATATATATATAAGGTACGGTCAAAACTCTGCTATACTACTTATGTAAGGAGAATTCTTTGGTGTCTGGAAGATGCACAAAACGCTGTGTAGCGATATGGCCACCCCAAAAGCGATACCTATAATTGTGCAGAGAATGTCCACATCTGAAGTTGTTAAATTAGCGATACCCCCTAGCGATACCTTAGCGATACCCATTTGTTCAAAAAGTAGCCCCAGACCAGAACACAAATAGATCCTTTCCTTGTTCTTTTCCTCTTTTTCCCTTCCTCTGCTACTCCTTTCCTTTTCTCCACTTGTGATTGTTTTTCAGGAACCCGCTGCACTGACAGCGACAGGTCAGTGAGCTGACAGATGAGAACATCGAGAATCAAATCGATGTGCTCACCACTGTTCCGCGGCCGCAGTTGGGAAGTTGGGATGATCTAGCCTGACTACCCTCTGGTAGACGTTTACATGCCTATGAAAAAACACATTTCTTTTTAGGTAAATCATCTATAAATGGCAAATTTCCATAGTTATGTTAGTTTGCTGGTGGGTAAAAATTGTGAAATTTCCAGCAACAAGCTGATTTTACTGGCAAGGATTGCCTTTTCAGGAAGGCAAAGAATATGGATTTTATCAGCAAACAAGCAATTCTTGATTGTATAAGCCAAGATAATGTCACCGGAAAAAAACATCACCAGGCCGCAAAATCCCACCTAAATCTGCCGCAAGAATTGTGCCTTGGCCCTGCCATGATCCCGACCAAATAGATGAACCGACTGGCCGACTGGTTGATTAACAAACCCAAAAACACGGTGAGTTGATGTGAGTTGAGCATCAGTTGTTTCAAGGTTCATGTATGGTATATTTACCTACAAAACTGGGTGATTTTGTTCGGGCAAATGTTGGGATTCATATTCCAGCACCATGGAGCATACGGGTAAGGGATCAGCTGTTGATACGTTAGAACATGCAAAAAAAACATCAGCTGTTTCATCATGACCGATGATTCGATCACCAAGATTTTGTGATTCAAGTAGATGAACCGAGTGTTCAAACACCATGGGAAATCTCTAGAAATACTGGTTGGTGGTTTGGAACATCATTTTTTTGACTTTCCATTCAGTTGGGAATGCCATCATCCCAGCTGACGAGCTCATATTGTTCAGAGGGGTAGGTATACCACCAACCAGTTTTTAATCATGGGAAGATCATGGAACTAAATGGATCCAAATGGTGGGTTTTCGATTGCCATGTTTGATTGCCAGAGAATATCTATGTTTATTCAGCTATAATAAAAGATCAGGGGGGTGCCTTACCTTGTAGATCAATAGGAGCGAGTGAATGGAAAATAATAAAAGATCAATTATGATTATTTTTTGATTGGCTTTGGTTATTTAGCGATTTGGTGTCTAACAGGACCTGTTGATCTACAAGGTAAGGCTTCTAAGGCACCCCCCTGCCATGTTTGTTGGTTTAGTTTCACCCTATTAACTACGGTTATTTCCTCGATAAACCATACCCTCTGGTAAACATACAAAAAACTATGGAAAATCACCATGTTTAATGGGTAAATCAACGAACTAATGGCAATTTTCAATAGCTATGTAACAAATTACCAGAGTGTAACTGTTGGGGGATTTACAGTTTTTAACAAATTACCCAGGTCCAAAAATCTGAACAAATCTTATTTCAGGTTAGGGGTTGACTTAACCCCCACTGGATTTACGGATGATCTGAAATCCCTAGTTGTTTGCCTGGGTTAAATTACCAGAGGGTGTTTCCTTCATAAACCATACCCTCTGGTAATTTAACATAGCTATGGAAAATCACCATTTTAATGGGTAAATCAACTATTACTATGGCCATTTTCAATAGCTTTTTGTATGTTTACCAGGCTGGGTAGAATTCACCAAGTGCATCAACTTAGCTATCGCTAAAAGCGAGGGCGCAACGGGTGCCTCATCCTCAATGCTTTGGATTGCCAGCAAGAAACTCATAGAAACCCCACTGACATAACAAGCCAAGAAAAACAGAATAAGCAACAACTAAACACTTACCCTCTGGTAAATTAACATAGACCCTGAAAATCACCATTTTTTAGAGGAAACTAATCTTCCAACCCCTATCTACCAGGGTCTATGTTAATTTACTGGAGGGTAACAGCACATAAATAATCCATCAACAACCCATAAACACAAGTCATCACAAAACATCACGCAACCACCATAAACCCACCATAACTTGATCAACAACCTAGATAAAGCCCATCAAAAACCCATACTGGTTGGTGGTTTGGAACATTTTTTCCCGAGAGCGTCTGAGCGCAGGGTTCTTCCAATAGGGGGGGTCTGTATCTCATCTTCTCATCTTCTCACCTTCTCATCTTCACACCTTCTCTCACACCTTCTCATCTTCACATCTGCTCATCTTCACATCTGCTCATCTGCACATCTTCTCATTCTCATCTTCACACCTTCTCATCTTCACATCTGTTCATCTTCACATCTGCTCATCTTCACATCTGCACATCTTCACATCTTCTCATCTTCACATCTGCTCATCTTCACATCTCCACACCTTCTCATCTTCATACCTTCTCTCACACCTTCTCATCTTCACATCTTCTCATCTTCACACCTTCTCATCTTCACACCTTCTCATCTTCACATCTGCTCATCTTCACATCTGCTCATCTTCACATCTGCTCATCTTCACATCTTCTCATTCTCATCTTCACACCTTCTCATCTTCACATCTGCTCATCTTCACATTCTGCTCATCTTCACATCTGCTCATCTTCACATCTTCTCATCTTCACATCTGCTCATCTTCACATCTTCACATACTCACATCTTCACTTTCTCTCTCTCTCTCGCACTCACATCTTCACATACTCACATCTTCTCCCTCTCTCTCTCTCTCCTCTTTCCTCTCTCCTTTCTCTCTCTCCTTTCTCTCTCCCTTTTCTCTCTCTCGCCTTCTTTATCTTTCTCTCTTTAGGCCGAGGGTGGTGCCGGCGGGGAGTCACGAAACGTCAACCCTTTCGCACGAAATGAGGGTCGATCGTCAAAAACTGAGGAAAAATTGCGATTTTACTTGTGCTGGAGCAACCCTTTCGCACGAAATGAGGGTCGATCGTCAAAAACTGAGGAAAAATTGCGATTTTACTTGTGCTAAGCAACCCTTTCGCACGAAATGAGGGTCGATCGTCAAAAACTGAGGAAAAATTGCGAGTTTACTTGTCCCCGAGCAACCCTTTCGCACGAAATGAGGGTCGATCGTCAAAAACTGAGGAAAAATTGCGATTTTACTTGTGCTAAAGCAACCCTTTCGCACGAAATGAGGGTCGATCGGCAAAAACTGAGGTAAAATTGCGATTTTACTGTGCCGGAGCAACCCTTTCGCACGAAATGAAGGTCGATCGTCAAAAACTGAGGAAAAATTGCGATTTTACTTGTGCCGGAGCGTCTGTGTGTAAAAGCGCCTGTGTGTAAAAAGGCGTCTGTGTGTAAAAGCGTCTGTGTGTAAAAGCGTCTGTGTGTAAAAGCGTCTGTGTGTAAAAGCGTCTGTGTGTAAAAGCGCTCTGTGTGTAAAAGCGTCTGTGTGTAAAAGCGTCTGTGTGTAAAAGGCGTGTAAAAAGCGTCTGTGTGTAAAAGCGTCTGTGTGTAAAAGCGTCTGTGTGTAAAAACTCTGTGTGTAAAAGCGTCTGTGTGTAAAAGCGTCTGTGTGTAAAAGCTTGCTGTGTGTAAAAGCTTCTGTGTGTAAAAGCGTCTGTGTGTAAAAGCGTCTCTGTGTGTAAAAGCGTCTGTGTGTCAAAAGCGTCTGTGTGTAAAAGCGTCTGTGTGTAAAAGCGTCTGTGTGTAAAAGTCTGTGTGTAAAAGTGTGTAAAAGTGTTTGTGTGTAAAAGCGTCCGTGTGTAAAAGCGTCTGTGTGTAAAAGCCTCTGTGTGTAAAAGCGTCTGTGTGTAAAAGCGTCTGTGTGTAAAAGCGTCTGTGTGTAAAAGCGTTTGTGTGTAAAAGTGTTTGTGTGTAAAAGCGTCTGTGTGTAAAAGCGTCTGTGTGTAAAAGCGTCTGTGTGAAAGCGTCTGTGTGTAAAAGTCTCTGCGGGTAAAAGCCTCTGTGTGTAAAAGTCTCTGTGTGTGAAAGAGCCTGTGTGTAAAAAGCGTCTGTGTGTAAAAGCGTCTGTGTGTAAAAGCGTCTGTGCGTAAAAGCATCTGTGTGTAAAAGCGTCTGTGTGTAAAAGGCTCTGTGTGTAAAAGCGTCTGTGTGTGTAAAAGTCTCTGTGTGTAAAAGCGTCTGTGTGTAAAAGCGTCTGTGTGTAAAAGCGTCTGTGTGTAAAAGCGTCTGTGTGTAAAAGCGTCTGTGTGTAAAAGCGTCTGTGTGTAAAAGCTTCTGTGTGTAAAAGCGTCTGTGTTTAAAGGAGTCTGTGTGTAAAAGCTTCTGTGTGTAAAAGCGTCTGTGTGTAAAAGCGTCTGTGTGTAAAAGAGTCTGTGTGTAAAAGCTTCTGTGTGTAAAAGCGTCTGTGTGTAAAAGCGTTTGTGTGTAAAAGCGTCTGTGTGTAAAGGAGTCTGTGTGTAAAAGCTTCTGTGTGTAAAAGCGTCTGTGTGTAAAAGCGTCTGTGTGTAAAAGTGTTTGTGTGTAAAAGTGTTTGTGTGCGTCTGTGTGTAAAAGCGTCTGTGTGTAAAAGTCTCTGTGTGTAAAAGTCTCTGTGTGTAAAAGTCTCTGTGTGCAAAAGCGTCTGTGTGTAAAAGTGTCTGTGTGTAAAAGAGCCTATGTGTAAAAGCGTCTGTGTGTAAAAGCGTCTGTGTGTAAAAGCGTCTGTGTGTAAAAGCGTCTGTGTGTAAAAGTCTCTGTGTGTAAAAGTGTTTGTGTGCAAAATCGTCTGTGTGTAAAAGCGCCTGTGTGTAAAAGTCTCTGTGTGTAAAAGTCTCTATGTGTAAAAGTCTCTGTGTGCAAAAGCGTCTGTCTGTAAACAGTTCTGTGTATGAAAAACTTTGCAAAAATACGATGCAAACTATTGTCTTGTACTAGTCATATATTGTCTTGATACTACTCTTCTCGTCTGCCTATAATACATCTTTAATACATTATCTTGTAATATAGTGTCTCCATACTAACAACAGAAGACTCTGCTCCTCTACGCTCTCGGGCCATCCGTCGTCTAGTTTGTTCCATTCAGTTGGGAATAATGATCCCAATTGACTTTCATATTTTTCGGGCAACAACCACCAAGCAGCATATCACATCTAAGTGGCCTCCAAAACTAACTATGGTTTCCATTTCCAGTGATTCCTCTGGGCTGATCCATATAAAACCCCTGAAAGAAAAAACATAAAATCACCACAGGATGGTGCCCCCCAGTGATTTTGTTGGTTTATAAACCCCATTAAGTATAGTTATATCTGCCATAAACCATAGTGAAATTGGAGTTATGTTCACCAACTTAGCGATTCCGAACTGGGGCACCACCTTGCAATCAATAACTATAATTTATTACAGTAATAAACCCATCATTATCCGTATAAAACCCATCATCATCATCATCATCATCATCAACATCATACTTTGCCGCAGTTTTCCAGGTGAAGAGTTCCGTGGTCTCCTTCACCAAGAAGATGCCGCCACTGAGCGATGCCCTGACGGTGGGTCCTGATGCCATGGCGGTGCGCGCCTGTGCGCCTTGAATGCCATGGCGGTGCGGCTTGAGCAGTTCTGGGATGAAACATGGATTTCTAAGTAGGAAAAAAATATCTGAATGGAATCCCATTATCCATTAATTTAGTTTATATTAATGGAATGATGAGTGGTAATAGAAATATTAAGGTAATGGTATATTAATAGGTAAATGGAATATTACCGCTATGGTATATGAATCAATAGTACCATTATGAATATTAATCAATAGTACCATTTATGAAAATATTAAGGTAATGGTATACTTGGAATCCCATTATCTATAAATTTAGTGTATTCATGGAATATTTACCAACATTTGCCCGAACAAAATCACCCAAATGTAGTTAAATATACCATACATGGAGCATCTGGGTATTAAGGTAATGGTATATGAATGGGATTATAATTGCAATGTATCAAGAATATTCAAGAACACTACCATGTATTATGTATTATGCCATTACCATGGCCATTATTGATTAAACAGTGATATGTATTGGATTGAAACAGTCGTTTTCATGGCATATTACTGTAATGTAGCATCAATAATAGCCATTTTAAGAGGTTTATAACGATGATTATTATATAATGGTAATATATTACAGGGTGGGGCCCCCGTTGGATAGCGCTCAGTTGCCTTATAAGTGGCTTAACTATGGTTTATTGTAGATATATATATATATATGTATATATATATATGTATATATATATATAGAGTTAATGGAGGTTATAATGGTTTATAACCAACTTATAATCACGGTTTAAAACCAACTTATAACTGGGGGGGCCATCCTGTAAGTAAGGTAATGGTATATGAATGGTTCATAATTACAATGTATCAATAATATTCAAGAATATAATATAATATGGTATATGAACCATGGTAATTGGTTTACATAACTATGGTAACAATGTATATTCTTGATATTATCATTTTAATTGGTATATGTATATTATGAACCATGGTATATATACCATTAAACAATGTATAAGAGGATCATGGTATATGAATGGGATACTAATGGGATATCTTAACCGGAAAGCATTGATTCTCCCACGATTTTCGGGGGAACCGGTTGAGAATAAACTTCCCAACTAAACCAATCCATTGAGAATAGCAGCAAAAATGAAATGAAATGAACGATTTACTAGGTTAATGATGGTTAGTGTGGTATGCCGATCTGTGTCCTGATAAAATCTCTGTGAGTTTTTTTTCAAAAATTCATCAGTATCCTGAAATTGGGGGAAGGGCCTCTATTGTGAGATTTTTTCTCAGACCCAATTTGCGCTCATTTTTTGGGTGTGTGAAACAAAAAAACTTTATCCACCTTTCTTTGCGTAAAGTTGGTCCTATTCTTTTAGAAAGCCATATCCATCTTAACTCCTTAAAATGCTTGAACTACTTAAGTTGCCTTATTGAACCCTTATTTCAAAGCAGCACCCAAACAAGTTTTCAAGGAGGCACCCGAGTGACTCGTGACCCAGATCCTCAATAGTATAGTTTGGGTGGTTCCCTACTGTGCACATTTTGTTTGGTGTGAAAAACAAAACCAAAACCCTTTACTCACCCTTCTTTCATGGTTTTTAGTTTACCCTCTGGTTCTGACTAACATAGCCATGGTATAGATGACCCATTTATAGTGAATTTTCCCAGCTATAAACCTCCATTTATAAGGGATTTTCTATGGCTAACTGTTAGTCATAACCAGATGGTATAATGCAAAATAACAAAATTTAGATTGAATCAAAAGGATTTGATTTTCGCCAAAAAACAAGCTGAAAGTTATGTATTTTTTTGAGGTGAAAAAGAAAGGAAAATCAACTGAACGCAGATTAAAAGGAATTGAAACCCTTACTAATCCTTAGCTTGTTCTTTCGATTTAAAGGAAACTCAATCGAAAGTAGATTCAAATGAATTGAAATCCTGTCTAATCCTGATTTGTTTAAGATTTAAAGGGAAAATCAGTTGAATGTAGATTGGCATCAATTGAAATCTTGCCTTAAGTTGATCATCCTGAGCTCCCCAGACCTGGTCCCAAGAATTTTCAAATAATAGAGTATACCTAAATTGTTTGGGGAAGGGGGGGCGGCCACGCTAATCAGCGACCAACAATACGCGGGCACTATGTGTACTGCATTCCTACGGTTTTGACTTTGATAATCAAACACGACTGGGTAGGAAATAACCAAACTAAATGGAGGTTGAATGGCAAAATTGCCGAAGAAAATGGGAAACTTCCGTTGAGCCATGTTTGACTCCCAGATGGTATAACTAATTTTGCTCGTTATGAGCCAACTTAGCTAGTTGTATTATCCTTACTTTACTTTGCTAGTTTTGGCCGTTGATTTTTTTCTTCACAGTTTTGCTCTTTATTCACTATGTTCTTCTTTGTTGATCAAATTTAGTTGTTATTCATTTTTTCTGTTGATCAGAGCCCATTATTCTTATTTTTCTTCACTATTGTTTCAGTTGAAACACAATTTGTTGCTGATCACAAGGCATTGTTCACAGTTGTTGGTCCCATCCACAAAATCCATCAAGATCACCAACTGCTCCCTCAAAATCCATCTTCAGGGTGCATTCCTTTTCATTATAGTTTCTGCTGGTGTTCTCCATTTCTTTTTCGCTTCATTTTGTTCCGCAGATGTTCTTATTAAAAAGACAACAGCAGCACCTAGAAAAACATCAGGAAAAAAAACAACATGTCCTATCATTTCCTCAGATTTTCCAGTGATTTTCCACGTGTTTTGCCTCATTTTCTCCATCAAAATTAGGCCTTGGAGGCGCGCGAAGGCCTGGCAGAGGACCTTTGTAGTGAGGAGATTTCGAAGACCGGGGCCTCCCTGGACTGCGCGCCTCAGATTTCAACGGGGAACAGCGCCGGGTGGGTCGTTTCGTTTCAACTCGGCTCTTCAACAGGCGACACATATCCCAATTTGGGTCAATATCATAGATGTTCCAAATTTCCATTGGTTGGTTGATTAATAGAGGTTTGTTTTTCCAGAAACCCCTTTAACAACAGGTTTGTTTGATGATAGATGGTATATCAAACCGGCCCAAACCTATAATTTTCCAACAGGGCATGAAATAGGTCAATATCCCATGGTCATCTCCATATCATCCCCATATAACTTGGCTGAAACATCCCATGGTCAGAGAAAAAAACATCCGAGGTTGGACACTTGCCATGAGAATTTCAGCATGAAAAAATGGAAGACCTGGAACGGCATCACAAACTGTGGAAAAAATGTCGCAGAATCTTGTTTTTAGTCTCAAAAAGCAACGGTTGAAGATCTTTAAGCATCAAGAAATAAAGCAAATTCCAGATTAATTAGCTAAGTTGGTTGGAATAAGAAATAGAACTGTTGGATTTCCGGTGGTTGATTGTAGGTATATGGAACTATAGTTAATGGGCTGTCTAGACCAACAAACGCATCGTGTGGGGCCCTTTTTATTCTCGCCTTGCTGATTGGGTAGTGAAACAGAACTATTTTTCACAAAGAATCAACTGATGTTTTTATCTATAGACAAAACGGTGATTTCATTGAAAGTTTAACCAGATGGAGAGAGATATTAGAATTCACCATCAACTGCTTGTTGCTTTGGAACCATGGATTTTTTTGACTTTCCATTGAGTTGGGAATGTCATCATCCCAACTGGCTTTCACTCATATATTTTTCAGAAGGGGTAGGCCAACCACCACCCATTGTTAATTAACAATTATTAACAATTATTATACCTGGGCCATTGTTGGGAATAATGGAAAGTCATGATCCCAGTTGACGAACTCCATTATTTTTCAGAGGGGTTAGCAGCAACCACCCACCAGAACAACGCTGGGGCTTCCATGCGGGGATCCACTTAGATGCGAAGCATGGTGCTGGTATATTTACCTACAAAACTGGGTGATTTTGTTCGGGAAAACGTTGGGATTCATATTCCAGCACCATGGAGCATATGGAGTATAGATTATTTATAAACATGTTTTCAAAATCTCGTTTAATTAGCGAAGTGAAGTAAGCGCAATTCCTAACCTTGATTAAGTTTACCTCTTATGACACTGTTATTTTTAATCACACTGAGTGACATACACAACGAAGCACTAATTGTACACCAATTACTTTAGCCATTTGGCAGCGGACAGCAGTTGCCTGGGCGGAGCATAGGTAGCGGAGGTGATTTGCAGCTTTCAGTCTCGCATGTCTCGCAATATTTGGCTTCGGATGTATCTCAGGATGTTTCAATCATGTGTTGGCGTTTTTTTTCCCATGAAATTTGGTACTGGGTATGGCCTTGGCTCAAACTTGGCTAAATCACTACTCCGTGCATTTAGAGTGCCAGCTTTCGTCGTTTTTGTTCACAAGTTGCAAGCCTAAGTGTCCATCAAACCGTTTCAAGTGCAAACCTTGTTTTGGAAAAACGTGCTTCTTTACCACACCCAAATAAAATGTTTGGATTCCCTCTTGAAACTATCGACTGCAAAACCAAAGATGTTTATGATCAGAAAAAATGCAACACCTGGGACATGCAATTGATTTAAACATCAAAATCAAATGATGGATGTTCCATGATGTTCGCCATCAATGATTTGTTTCGCCTTTTAATTGATTCCCAGATTTTTGTGTTTTTTCAGGTGAAAGACCAAGAAACCGACAAAAAATCATAAAAATCGCCGGTGCTGGTGAAGCCATGGTATCCCAAGAAATGATTCGCCTGGATGTCGTTCTGCCCAGCGGACGCTCCGAAAAGCTGGACCTGGAAGAATGCAGCACTGTCGGGGAGTTGAGAACTTTGGTGACCGAACTTGGTCAGATTGGTGATTCACCGGGGGAATCAACATTTGAAAACGCGGAGAACATAGGATAGAATCCACTATAGATGCTGGTGTTACCCTCTGGTAGTTTGTTACATAGCTATTGAACATGGCCATAGAAATAGTGGATTTACCCATTAATAGCATGGTGATTGTCCATAGTTTTTTGTATGTTTACCAGAGGGTAATAGATGTTTTCATGGGAAAATCGAATAAAAATCGGAGTTTGCCAAAGATGATGTTGATGTTTTCAATGGGAAACCCGTGGGGAATGAGTTTTGGGATGTGTTACTTTCGGGTGTTCCTGGAAAGGTAAGGGATGAGTTGCTTGAGTTTGGGGAAGCCGGTGGGAAAAATGTGGTACGCCCCTTGCTTAGTGGAATTTCTGTTGAAGATTGTGATTGTTCCAATTGATTACTGGATGGATTATAGCAACACACATTGATTTTTGATGGTTTGAGGATTCTGGTTGGTGGTTTGGAACCATGGAATTTATGACTTTCCAGATATTGGGAATAATCATCCCAACTAACATTTTTCAGAGGGGTTGAAACCACCAACCAGGGATTAGATGGAGTTAACATTCATCTCACTGAAAGTTGCTGTTTGTTATAATAAAGGGGATCAGCAAACCAGCAAAAATACCATGTGAGGAATATCAGGAATCATGTGGTAAACGCGACAACATCCCCAATTTTATCAGAACTGGATAGAAATGGGAGATTTGGTGAAGATTGGTGATGTTTATGCGTGAATCCATTTACATATCACGGGATATCAACGTGATGCAGATATTGCTTGATTATGTTCCTTTTTCAATTGGTCAGACTCCTTAATATTGACCCGTACCCCCTTGATGGAAGAACATCTAAAGTCTTAGATTTGCTCAAGATGATCGCTAAATAATCCGTGAACCCATGATTTGGAGAATTTTTTTGTGGACATCTTTTTGGAGTCGCAACTCAAAGGTGAAAAAAACCTTTGGTCTCTTCTTGGTAAAGCTTGTCACTGCAAAGGGCCGTGTCTTGCTGGATCAGTTGGAGACTCTGAAGATTGCAGGGCTGCAAGATGGAGATTGCCTTACCGCTCTTTCATTGCAAGCGACTGGACGTATTCTAGCCACACTCTTGAAATTCTTAGTGTCTCTTGGGGTTAAACTCTGGTAATTCAACAGTTTGGGAACTGGAAAATCACAGTTTTGAAAAATGGTACATCATCGAACCAACGGCCTACCTTCCATAGCTATGTTGAGTTACGGGAGGGCAGATGGATTTCACACAAGACCAACAAACTTCAATTTGCTGAAGGTGATTGTTGTTTTCCCATTGGTAAATTGGCGATTCTATGAGGAACATGTTTCTATTTTTGGGACTGTTTGAAGCCAATCCAAGAATTTTGTCAGTGTGTTCTTCGCTATTTCCATATTTTGTTTTGGGGTGGTTATCCACGTATACCTTCCAGTAAACTAACATAAAATATGGCAAATATCACCATTTTTCATGGAACAATCACGGCAAGGCGACTCTGGCAGCCACCGAGCAGGCCTTCGCAGTTTGGGGCCTGGGAGGGGATGGAATCATCACCTGGGGAAGCCCGACGGCTGGTGGTGATAGTCCTTTCGTGACACATCAGCTCAGGAGAGGTGAAGCCCGATGGCTGCGAGGATCATCCCACGGATTTGGTGAAAGTGAATAGGAACATCTACTGATTTAATGGTGATTCCCATTGGAAAACTATAGGAAAACCATAGGAAAATGGTGATTTAATGGTGATTAATCCATAATTACCCTCTGGTAAACATACAAAAAGCTACTGAAAATTGCCATTTACAGTGATTATAGTGGATTTACCCATTAAACATGGTGATTTTCCATAGTTACGTTAGTTTATCAGAGGGTACTGTACTGATTGGGAATAATACTGAATGATCTCTATTCACCATTTAATATCCCATTAATCATCATTAACCACTGGATTGCTCAATGGATTCTGGGTAAATTCTAACGACCTCACGTCGCGACCTCACTATACCCAGATGGATGGGTTGAAGGAAAAACCTTAACCGGAAACCTACTGGTTCTTAATCAAATGTATAGGAGTGTCCTGTAAATTGCCCCAGAAAAAAAACAATCCCATGATCATCCCACTTAGTTTCTAGGTCAATCGTAGAAACTAGTCCTGAATAGTCTTTTGGTATGGGATTATCTACGTTCACCAGCTCACCGGCTAAGAATTTTGTATTTTTTGTAGGGTATCTAAGATTGGCCATGGTTTTGTCAAAGCGGTGAATAAAACCAGAGTTTAGTAAGGATCATGTTAGAGACCAAATTCTGAAAATGATGAATATAACTTAACTATAGTTAATGAAGTTAAATTGGGTGAAACTAAACAAACAAGCATAGCTGGGGGTGGCCTCGCCTTGTAGAAATCTAGATCATGTTAGGTACCAAAGAAGAAAATAATCGAAGATCATCACAGATGATCATAGTTGATCAGCTGATCCATTACTACATTGTGGGGCGCCCCAGTTATGTGTGTGTTGGTTTATAAGCTCCAGTAACTATAGTTATAAGATGTTATAAGTACATATAAGTACCATAAACCATAGTGAAATTGGAGTTATGTTCACCAAGTGAACGCTACCGTTTGGGGGGGCCACTTTGTACCTATCATTATAGCTGATTTTTTTGATGGCTCGAAAATGTTTGGAGGACCATCCCACTGAATGTCGGTGTTGAATTTTACCATAGCTGTAACCCACTTATAAATGGAGAAAGGCTATTTATAAGGGGCATATTTATAAGTGGTGCTGTAAGCTCCATAAGTGGTTAATGGTTAATAATGGTTAATAAATGGATTAAGCTAGAAAATGGGCACTTACGTTCACCAGGGCATTTTAACCATTTACGATCCGTGGGATGATCCTCCAAGTGGTTTTCTCTCATGGCTGGACAATTCCCCAGCACCAGTTCGATGGTATGTCATGCGAGCTGCTCGCCATGCATCCAACCAAGGGACATGACTTAACCCCCCAAATCTCACTGGATTGGTTTAAGGGAAAATCTACAGGAAACCATGGTTTTTACCATCAAATATAGAGCTTTCCTGTAAATTTTCCCATCATCCAATTCTATGAAAATCACAACCCAAAGACTTTCCTCAAAAGCTAGAAATGGATCCATAGGGATTCTGTTTTTGTTTGCGATTTTCCATCCTAAAATTTTGACGATCCCACGTTGCAAATAGAAGGCTGATATCATGGGATATTGACCAGGGTTGCTGCAACCTATGAATAGGTAAATTATAGTTACAAGGGGTGCAATTTTTGATCTGATCTCCGTGTTTATCCAATTCACCCCGCTGTATTTGAGGTGTTGGGAGCAACCCTGACAGGAGTGTGCAGCACGTTCAGACCACTCGTGGAGCCTTTGCGGCAACCTTAGCAGACGGATCAGTGGTCACGTGGGGCAATCCCACATCTGGCGGGGACTCATCTGCGGTCCAAGATCGGCTCAAAAATGTGCAGCAGATTCAGGCCGCAAATCTGGCCTTTGCTGCCATTTTGGCTGACGGGTCAGTGGTCACCTGGGGCAATCGGATATCTGGTGGTGACTGCTCAGCCGTGCAGGATAGGCTCATCAATGTGAACCAGGTTCAAGCAGCAAACGCAGCGTTTGCTGCAATCTTGGCAGACGGCTCTGTTGTTTCCTGGGGCAATCCAGAAGTTGGTGGTGACAACTCTGCTGTCCAGGATCAACTCAAGAGTGTGCAACAAGTTCAAGCCACTGATGGAGCATTTGCTGCCATTTTGGCGAACGGATCAGTCGTCACGTGGGGCAGCAGTAGATTTGCTGGTGACAGCTCCGCAGTCCGACATAGGCTTGTGAATGTAACGCACGTTCAGGCTACAACTCGGGCATTTGCAGCAATCTTGGCAGACGGCTCAGTTGTTGCCTGGGGCGGTGCAGAAGCTGGTGGTGACAGCTCTTCAGTTGAAGATCAGCTGAATGATGTGCGCCAGATTCAAGCAACTAGTTTGGCATTTGCTGCGATCTTGGCAGACGGAACAGTCATTGCTTGGGGAAATCCATCAGCTGGTGGTGATTGCTCTGCAGTCCGGGATAGGCTTACAAATGTGCAGCAGGTTCAAGCCACCTATTGGGCCTTTGCTGCACTCTTGGCAGATGGATCAGTCATTACATGGGGCAATCCCCAAAATGGTGGTGACAGCGCTTGTGTGCAGGATAGGCTCACGAATGTGAAGCAGATTCACGCGACACTGGGATTTGCTGAAGATGATCTTTTCGTTTCTCAATGAAACATCCACTACTTGGGAATCTGAAGGGTATATATAATGTCATTAAAAGAATAAACCATCCCCCAGATAACCATAAATAGATGGTATAACTATTCCCAGTCATGGGTGCTTGATGACATTGTTTTACCCACATCAAAAATGCTTTATTTGCTCTGGGTTCCTTAGGGAAATCCAAGGACAAGAACTGCATTTGCTGCCATTTTGGCCGACGGATCCGTCGTTTCGTGGGGCGATCCGGCAGCTGGTGGAGACAGTTCAGCCGTACAGGATCGGCTCAAACATGTGCAGCAGATTCCTGGGCTTGTTTGATTTCATATTTTCCAAAGAGGAAAATCATGGAAAATCCACGATTTGGATCTATTTGGATCTATTTGGGGAATGAATCTATAGTAACTCTTTTTTGTGGAATGAATCATGTTATTTTTGGCTGCTCCCGTGCCGCAAATTGAAGGATTCAGGCCGCAAGTTTTGCCTTCACTGCGATCTCAGATGGATCGGTGCTCTCCTGGGGTAGGTCTGCAGCTGGTGGTGACAGTGATGAAGTCCAAAAGAGGATCATGGACCTTTGGGGCCCTGCACCAGGTTAACCGACTGCCGGGCATGTGAGAAAAAATGCCCAAGGATACCTCCTGGTTACTGGGTCAATCTTAGATGGGTAGTTGGTTTCATCCTGAATAGTCTTTTGGTATGAAATTATCTACGTTCACCAGCTAAGAATTTGTGATTTTTTGCTAGGGTATCTGGCTGATTGGCAAATGCTGCAGGCAAAGGTCCAAGTTGAGAAGCTACAAGCCCAAAAACCCACTGTTTTACAGGCCATTATCGGCCGAAATGGGCCGAAATGCCGATTTGAATATTTCTGTCAGTCAGCTGCCAAAGCGTCGCGGAGAAAGTTCTGGATCACCAACCAGCTTTCCAGCTGCCTGGAAATAGTGTTGCTGGTTGGTGCTTTGGAACCATGGAATGGATTATGACTTTCCATTCAGTTGGGAATGTCATAGTCCCATTTGACTTTCACCCATATATTTTTCAGAGGGGTAGGTCAACCACCAACCATTGTTAATTAACCATTATTAACCACCAACCATTGTTAATTAACCATTATTAACCACCAACCATTGTTAATTAACAATTCATTAACCAGATTCTCAGAGGGGTAGATATAGGTCAACCAACCATCAACCAGCAACTGCCTGAGCCTTGGAACCATGGAGCTCAGGCAGCACAGTGCCATAGAAACTCCATCCTGACTCGAAGTTCAATGATGAACTTATTCCACTATCGCATTCATATTAATCATCAATAATCCATCGATATACCATTAATATCCCATGAAAAGGTTGATTTCCCCACATTTCTTCAGGGTTTTCCAGAGATATCCCATTAATCAATGGATTGGTTTAAGGGGAAATTTACAGGAAACCATAGATTTTCCCATGAAGATCATGGGGCTTTCCTGTAGATTTTCCCTTAAACCAATCCATTGAAATATATATTTAAAACACAACAATGTTATATATATATATTTAATACAATTACCTCTAATAATGTTTTTAATGTTATACAACATTTTACAACTACTTATATGTTATTTATTTCTATGTTATTTCGGGGCGCTCACCTTGCAGGAAACGCAGATGGTAACTACTATGGTATACCACTGCCTGGTAAATAGCTTACTGTCCATTATGTGTTTTTGCTATTAACTAATATAGTTTATAGCCACATCAAACTGTATTGTTCTATACTGGCATTGATTTTAGAGCTGCATATTACTATAACTCTTATATGATACTAAACTGTTTGACAGTTTTCGCAGTTATACTTTACGTATACTGTACACACATATATATATATATTATATATATACTTCTAGCTTTACAATAATTCTGATCTATATTGGTACATTTATTTCAATATGTTGGGTGATTTGGGGGATGGTTTATGGCATTGCTTTACCAACATTGATGGTGGTTTATAGGGATTTCTTCTTTGGGTTGTTAGAACCCCCAATATATTGAATAGTATAATGCCCAAACTAATCATCAACCAACGGTTTTGAACACTGCTCAATGGGGTTTATAAACATATAACCAGTGGTAGAATGCTTATCAGCCCACTAAACATTAGCCATAAACCATACCTTAACATTATCAGTAAACTGCTCAGTAAATGACCTAGTTTATATTAGGTAAGCCATACCTTATCAGTTCATACCAGTAGACTGTTCAGTAAAGTGTTCAGTTCATTATCAGTAATCCATACCTTAGCATTCTTAGTCAGCTGTTCAGTAAACACATAGTAAACCATATAATATCTAATATACTTACCATAAACTTACATTGTTAGGTACCATATAAACTTAAATTGACCTCCGGTCATTTAACATAGCCATGGAAAATCCACCTAGTTTTTACAGGTAAACCATCTATTTCTATGGACCATATTCCATCGCTATGTTAAATAACCAGAGGGTACCATAACATTATCAGTACCATTAGGAGTACCATAAACTTATATTATTAGGTACCTAATTACCATATAAACCAGACAACTATTAGGTACCATATAAACTTAAATTACCATACTTATGCATATTAACTTACATTATTAGGTACCATATAAATTTAAATTTCCATACTTATGTATATTAACTGACATTATTAGGTACCATATAAACTTAAATTTCCATACTTATGTATATTAACTTACATTATTAGGTACCATATAAACTTAATTTTCCATACTTATGTATATTAACTTACATTATTAGGTACCATATAAACGTAATTTTCCATACTTATGTATATTAACTTACATTATTAGGTACCATATAAACTTAAATTTCCATACTTATGTATATTGACTTACATTTTTGTGTACCAGATAAACTTAAATTACCATACTTATGCCAATGTATATCAACTGACATTATTAGGTACCATATAAACTTAAATTTCCATACTTATGTATATTAACTTACATTATTAGGTACCATATAAACTTAAATTTCCATACTTATGTATATTAACTTACATTATTAGGTCCCATATAAACTTAAATTTCCATACTTATGTATATTAACTTACATTTTTGTGTACCAGATAAACTTAAATTACCATACTTATGTATATTAACTTACATTATTAGGTCCCATATAAACTTAAATTTCCATACCTATGTATATTAACTTACATTATCAGGTACCATATAAACTTAAATTTCCATACTTATGTATATTAACTTACATTATTAGGTACCATATAAACTTAAATTTCCATACTTATGTATATTAACTTACATTATTAGGTACCATATAAACGTAATTTTCCATACTTATGTATATTAACTTACGTTCTTAGGTATCATATAAACTTAAATTTCCATACTTATGTATATTAACTTACATTATTAGGTACCATATAAACGTAATTTTCCATACTTATGTATATTAACTTACATTCTTAGGTACCATATAAACTTAAATTTCCATACTTATGTATATTAACTTACATTATTAGGTACCATATAAACGAAATTTTCCATACTTATGTATATTAACTTACATTCTTAGGTACCATATAAACTTAAATTTCCATACTTATGTATATTAACTTACATTATTAGGTACCATATAAACGAAATTTTCCATACTTATGTATATTAACTTACATTCTTAGGTACCATATAAACTTAAATTTCCATACTTATGTATATTAACTTACATTATTAGGTACCATATAAACTTAAATTGCCATAAACTTAAATTACCATACTGATAAGTACATTTATATTTGTATATAAATTACCATTTAAATTACCATTTAATTATCAGTATACGAGGTACTCCGAAAATTCTGTCCCAGGTGGACGCCTTGAAGCTCCTCACAGATCCTCGTGGCAAACCTTGGCCCGACCTCGCGTGCCCTGGCACATCCGCTGCGTGCGACGCCCGGTTTTTAAACCGGGACGTTCAACCAGCCGAAATGGCGACTTCACCACCCAAAATTGCGGGTAAAATGGGGATATCATGGGGATATCATGGGGATTCTATGGTGATTTTATGGTGATTTCAGCAACAATAGGGATTTAACCAACAAAAATAATGATTCTATAGCCATAGAACTTAGGTCTTGAGGGTTTTGGGGGGATGAGATGGAGTCTATAGCCATGGCCCAGAATCGAACTTTTTCAGCAGCAAATCACCAAGAAAACGTACGGATTTGACCCGGCCTTTTTTGAGGTCGAATTGGTTTTTACCAGGAAAAAATGCTCGGGGGATGGTAGGGTATAAGTTGGTACAAAAAAAACCATCTAACTATGGTTCTGTTGCTGCCATAAACCCAAACGTGAAATTGTAGTTATGTTCACCAACTAAACGCTAACGAGCTGGGGCCCCACATTGTAGGGTCACTGTCAAAAATGATGCTTTAATCAACAAACAATTTGTTCTTTGCCTTCCGGTGCTCAAACTTGATCTTGTTGGACGATCCCCCATTTGGAACCATTTCAAGGCCATGTTTGATTGACTTAGGTGGTGCAGTTGCAGTTAGATAAGTGATACCCAGATGCTCCATGTATGGTATATTTACCTACAAAAACTGGGTGATTTTGTTCGGGCAAATGGTGGTAAATATTCCAGCACCATGGAGCATATGGGATATAAAAGTGAACATATTTCACCACATTTATACGGGTTATATCCTAACTTAGGTTTTTTTTTCATCGTATGGTCCCCGTCGACCTCACCGCCTGCAATCCTGATCCAGAGTCACGTCACTTCATTGCCAGGGTCTTCTCTGAGTACTATGAGACTCCACCACATCTTCGGTTTCTTGGCTTTGTCTTTAAAGGGAGTTTTAGGAAAGATGCATAAAGCTAGGTTAATCTTAGATGGGTACTTTAATCCTTTAGTCTTTTGGTATCAATGGGAATATTTACGTTCACCAGCAAATAATTTGTCATTTTTTGCAGGGTATTTGGCTGATTGGCAAGGAAAGTTTTTCAGAAAAAGATGGCATCAGTTTTCACGAGGAGTATAGGGTTAATGATAACTATCTTTGTTCTTGAACCATCATGGGAGCCGAGGAACCATGATAGTTGTTTGGGAGCAGTGGCTGCAAAGACACCTCTGTTGCTGACTAGTTCGGGGCTTCTTTGTATATATATATATATATGCATATATTGGTGATGATCGGAATCCACAGCCGGAATCCCTCTCTGGTTGGTGGTTTGGAACATGATTTGTTCCATTCAGTTGGGAATGTCATCATCCCAACTGACGAACTCATATTTTTCAGAGGGGTAGGTATACCACCAACCAGTTATCTGTATCTATTTGGTGAAATGGTGATCTCATGTCGCAACGTGTCGCAATGTCACTGAAATGATGATTAGGATTGGGATCCAAAAAATCCCAACATGCAGAAGTGTTTTTTGTTTCTCCAGAACTATGAGTCATGTAGATATCTGTAGACATTCCTAGATTTGCATGATGATTGAGTTGCAAAAAAGTGCATGTGTTATTTCATTTTTGCTGGTTGAAATCCTATACTTGCCCCTCTTGAGTGCTATTGACCACATTTAAAATGGAGGTACTGTACCATATTTTTGGCAATATTTTGTGGGGATATTCCCTTACATAGGCCTTATATATGGTAGGTACCTCCCATCAATCGGTTCCTGTTGCATGGCCATTGAATAATCAACCCCAACAGTAGGACCGAACACTTCACCATCAATGTTCAATTGGGGAATCATCGAAAAAACGGCACGTGCCGTTTCCACTTTTGGGACCATTGCTTGTGCAATAGTGCGGGTTCTACCCCTTCACCCTGTTTATACATTGGTTTAAGATGTCCGATCTTAAAATATGCATAAAACAAGACTCGTTGTCGTGTTTCATTCTGTATCCATGTTGGCAACTGTTCTTTCCATTTTTTTACCCTGGAGTGATCCGTAAAGTAGAGAAAATTGACAGTCCATATGTACAACCAGATGACCCTATGCTAAACAAAAAAGACAATAATCAACCAGTCCCCCACTTGAAACATATCTTGTAGATATCTTTCGCACAGAATAACAGCAAAGTGTTTTCAGCCAGTCATAATATTCACCATCACAATACAACAAGTCGTTTGAAAGCTAGTTAACTAACAAAAATACATAAAAATACTGAAAATAATCATCTCCATCTACATAAACCACATATCGCGGCTCGCACTTTGTCACCTGAAGAGCTTGAAGCTGCTGAAAAAAGATTGGAGAGAGCCATTATTACTTGGCCAGAAACCGCGGAGCCTGGTTCAGGTGAGGAAGCCTCTGCTTCGAAGAAGCCAGCTTCAGGTTCGAAAAAGCAAGCGTATGGTTCGAAGGAGAAAGCTTCAGGTTCGGAGAAGCCAGCTTCTGGTGCGAATGAGCCAGCTTCTGGTTCGAAAGAGCCAGCTTCTGGTTTGGGCAAGAACGTTTTTGATGAAGAGGACCAAAGAACACATGAAGCTTTTGCAGCTTTGCAAGCATTGATGAAAGCAGATTGGCTCATGAAGGCGCCAAAGGATCATAAGGTAGACTTCGACGCCTTGATTTGATTGCACTGAGCCAAGTCTACCTTATGCAACAAAAACATTAAAACAATTTCATTACATAACTAATGTCAAAACATGAGACGATCGATGACTAATTATTGAGCTGTAAACATTGTAAGCATCAAATAACTCCATCTGTTTAACAACAACCAGATATCTAGCAAACACAGCAAAACGTAGTAGACATCAACCCAGCGTTTTTCATCGTATAAAAAATGAAAACATATTTCTACAATGTGCCCTCCCAGTTATAAGATTTTATATAAGTACCATAAACCATACGCGTTGGCAGTTATCAACCAAGTTTAGCTAACCAGGGCCCCCCACTTTCTTATAAGTACCATAAACCTTAGTTGTTGGTGGATAAACCCCATGAATACTATAGTTGTTACAACCCCCCAGTTAGAAGATGGTTTATAAACCTCCAGTTATAAGACGGTTTATAAACCACCCAGTTATAGGATGTTATACCAACATATATCTACCAGAATGGGAATTTGTGGGTACCATAGCGAAATTGCAGTTATAAGTAGATATAACATTTATATACAGCTTTCAATTTCACATCATTTATAGCATGTACTAATGTGATATAAACCATAGCGAACATATATCATAATAGTGTTATCTAAAACCATAGCTATACCACAATCCCCCATTATAATCAACATATATAAAATCAACATCTGGTTGGTGGTTTGGAACATTTTTCCATATTTTCCATATATTGGGAATAATAATCCCAACTGACTAATATTTTTCAGAGGGGTTGAAACCACCAACCAGACATATATTTACAAAAAAACAACATTGAACTTGGAGTGAGCTGTTCACCACGTCACCACGTCATATCCAGGCCGCCCCGGCGTTCGTTGCCGCGCAGCGACTCGCTGCCGGTGCTGCCCATGCGACCCACCATCGGAGGTATCGAGGAAGCAAAGCAGGCAGGGAAGACTTTGGGGTGCGGAGGTATGTTGAGGTTCTTAATGAGTTAACTATGTGGTATAATCTGGTATAACTATGTTTTCATCGAAGGAAGTCTAGAAGTCAAAGTTCCGACAATATGGACAAATGAAAAGCAGAGATGGGAAGAGTCAAAGAAGAGAAGAGAAGAGTAGAAGAGAGAAGATCAGAGAAGAGAAAGTCTCAGAAGAAAGAAGATCCAGGTGCGGGAAAAGGTAGGAAAGTCGCGACACACTGTGTTTTTTCCCCACATTGACGTGTGGGGTTTTTGTTTTTAGTTCTGTATCCTCCTCCTCCTCCTCCTCGCCCGTCCTCCTCCTCACTCACCTCACTCACACACACACACACACTCACCCACTCACACACACACACACTCACTCGCTCGCTCGCTCCCTCGCTCGCTCACTCACTCACTCACTCACTCACACTCACTCACTCACTCACTCACCCACCCACCCACTCACTCACTCACTCACTCCCTCCACTCCCTCCCTCCCTCCCCCCTCTCACCTCACTCACTCACTCACTCACTCACTCACCTCACTCACTCACTACCTCACTCACCTCACTCACCTCACTCACCTCACTCACCTCACTCACCTCACTCACCTCACTCACCTCACTCACCTCACTCACCTCACTCACCTGACTCACCTGACTCACCTCACTCCGCTGCTTTTGCGTGGCAGGCGTGGGACAATATGCACAGCCAAGGGGTTGGATGTACGCCCTGGTCCCTCTGTCGTCCCTCTGGCGTCCCTCTGGCGTCCCTCTGGTGTCCCTTGGGCTCCGCTGCTTTTTCGTGGCAGGCGTGGGACAATGTGCACTGCCAAGGGGCGTCCCTCTGCTGTCCCTTGGGCTCTGCTGCTTTTGCGTGGCAGGCGTGGGACAATGTGCATTGCCAGGGGTCGGATGTACGCCCGGGCGTCCCTCTGGTGTCCTTTGGGCTCCGCCGCTTTTGCGTGGCAGGCGTGGGACAACTGCTTTTGCGTGGCAGGCGTGGGACAATGTGCACTGCCAAGGGGTCGGATGTACGCCCTCCTCTTCCTAATCCTCCTCCCGTCCTCCTACTCATCCTCCCGTCCTCCCACTCACTCACACACATCACTCACTCATCACTCACACACACTCACTCTCACATAATTAATCACACTCACTCACTCACTCTCACTGCATTTCACTCACACACCACACACCACACACTCACACACACACAGTCACACACACACAGTCACACACACACACTCACCACATCACTGAGTCATATTGCTGCAGACACGCAGGCACAAACACATGCCGTTTAACTATTTCGGTCAGAGTCTCGGCAATTTGCTGCGTTAAGCAGCAGTTGTCTCTCTCTCTCTCTCTCCATTGCGTATGCGGTTTACAGGATGAGGCAGAGTCAGTGTGTGTGATATTGCATTGACTTGATTCTTACAGTTGGACAGTTTCTTTTCACCGGTTGTCTTGTTTTGCCATCACAAACGCAGACACATTTATTGCTGCAGCCGTTGAACTATTTCGGTCAGAGCCTCGGCAATTGGATTGATGGATCGATGGATGGATGGATAGATAGATCGATCGATTGCTAGATAGATCGATAGATAGATGGATAGATAGAGAGAGAGATCGATCGATAGATTGATAGATAGATAGATATTCTGATGCATAGACAGATAGATAGATAGATAGATTCAGATAGATAGATAGATTCAGATAGATAGATAGAGATATAGATAGATAGATAGATAGATAGAGAGAGAGATAGAGAGATAGGGAGAGAGACATCCCTCACTCACACACACCACACTCACATCACTCACTCACACTCTCACTCACTCACCTGTACATGCACATATAATACATACACACACACAAACTCACCCACCATCACCCCTCCATCACTCTTATGTCTATCCGGTCCTATAATTCCAATGATTTGTGGCTCCGGAGGGTCGAAAAGTAGGCTCGCTAAAGCGGCGGGTGCGGAGCCATGTGGCCAGATGAGAGATGAAAAGTTGCACGCCGTTGTGGCGCGAAGCATATTTCCAAGTCAAACTGTACAAAACACCGCAGCACCGGACCACTTTTGGAAGTTGAGATGTCGAAAAAGTGCACGCGTTGTGGCGCGAAGCATATTTCCAAGTCAAACTGTACAAAACACACCAGCTTCGGAGCACTTTTGGAAGTTGAGATGTCGAAAAAGTGCACGCGTTTGTGGCGCGAAGCATATTTCCAAGTCAAAATGTACAAAACACACCAGCTTCGGAGCACTTTTGGAAGTTGAGATGTCGAAAAAGTGCACGCGTTTGTGGCGCGAAGCATATTTCCAAGTCAAAATGTACAAAACACACCAGCTTCGGAGCACTTTTGGAAGTTGAGATGTCGAAAAAGTGCACGCGTTTGTGGCGCGAAGCATATTTCCAAGTCAAAATGTACAAAACACACCAGCTTGGGAGCACCCCAGTTAGATCCCAGTTTTGAGTTACCATCTGGTTATGACTGACAGTATGCCATGGAAAACGGCCCATAGAAATAGATGGTTTACCTGGGTTTACCGTTCTTAAAAATGGGTGGATTTTCCATGGCGAACTGTTAAATAACCACATGGTAGTGCAAGCAGGGTCGAATTTGGAGTTGGAGTCATAAGCCACACTTATTGTTATGGGCACTGAAGTATATAGTTTGCAAATTCACCTGCAGTAAAACCCACAGCGCGTAGCCATACATTATTTATATATATATACACATAATTATACATATATACATAATTATATATAATTATACATGATGTTGATGTTTTTTTAAGTAGCTAATCTATATACTACACATTTTTTAAACCTATATATTCGCCCATCTGTGGCTAGATTACATGCCATTTCTGCAAACATATCCCTCTTTGCGTGCCATTTCCTTAGATCCCTTCGCCGCTGACGCAGGTTGGCCGCTTCCCGGATTTATTGCCTGCAACCGGGCAACGTTTCAGATCAACGTTGAATTAACATGAACAGAAACTAAGGTTTGACCTCGTTGACCTCGATTCACCTTGGCCAGTTTGGTTTCCTTGGGTTTTGCTATAAATCGGAATATGTATAAACTCACCAACTGTTTTTTTTACAGAGCATCTAAGATTGGCCGTGATAAATGATTTCTTGAATTGGGCAAAGTGGGGAATCATCTCATGTTTTCTAGTTTGGTATTGCAATTTCAGACAGACAAGATCCCACAAGCTGAGGGTTGCTAATGAAGATGTGAAACCCCAGCCCTGTCACATGTTGGCCAAACCTCGGTTTTGTAGGCAAGGATGCCAAGGGTCGAACTTCAGTGACCTCACGTCCGATATCGGTCACTGGAATGATGCAACTTGTAAGGGGAATCATTCCCAAACGGCCATAACAATAACGATGATCTGGGGATACCTGGCCATAACCATAGGAAAACCATGGGAAAACCAAGGGAAAACCATGGGAAAATGGTGATTTAATAGGAAAACCCATAGGATTTCATGGGTATGTAATGGTGATTAACCCTGACTGGTGGTTTGGAACCATGGAACTTTATGACTTTCCATTCAGTTGTTAGGGAAAATCATCCCAACTGACTTTCACTCTCTCGTATTCTTCAGAGGGGTTAGCAGCAACCACCAACCAGACCTTATTTCACTTATTTTTGAAGTTGGTTAAAAAAGGTGAGTTACTCTAACTTCAGCCAGGTCCGTGACATGTGGGGAGAACTGGTGCTCCTTTGGGACGGTCATCGGACCAAGAAATTTGCAGTTGAGGTATCCCATGACGGATCCATGGTGCTGGTATTTCTTTGCTAACATGACTGGGGTATATTGATGGGATAAATGTTACCATATATGGCAGCACCATGGATCCTATGGGTATGGATGATCTTAAGTGATATGAATTGCAACCAGCATGTGTACAGTATCTCGAAATTTGTGTGCAATAGATGGGAAAAACAGTCCAACCAGCTTGAAAAAATCTAACTACCCTCCGGACTCAACGTGGCAATAGAAAATTCCCCATTCAATTTATAGGTCATTTTCCCATTCGAATTGCTATTTATAGGGATGTTCGATTGCCAGGTTTGACGATCTTTGCCATCCAAGTTTTGCTTGTGATGTAGAGGTTGGCCACATTAAGCCCCTATCATCCCCACGATTTGGAATGAAAGATGAATTTCCACTAACAAGTGGCTACCCTCTGGTGAACTTACAAAAAACTATGGAAAATCACCATTTTTGATGGGTAAATCCACTATAGATCACCATTTTTGATGGATAAATCAACTATAAATGGCCATTTTCAATAGTTTTTTGTATGTTTACCAGAGGCTATTTTCAAGATCAAAATGTTCATGTACTGGGGGGTATACCTGCCGGTAAACGTGGCTTGCTGGAAAATCCACCATTTTGTTCGATGATTCAGTGTTTGAAACCTTCATTTATAAGGAATCTTCAATATGTTCCTTTATTGTCCCATGATTTTCATCAGATTTTCCAATTCAAAGCCCGCAAAAACTGGGATTTACCAGCTTTGATGACCCCGGAGCGCTCCATCTGCTTCCAAGGCCCTCCTGAAATCGGCTGCCGGCACATTGCCGGATGCCACCGATGCCGAGCCGCGGAAGACCAGCAAGCAGACGCCTGCCGGGCTGGGGATGAACCCAAGTTGGATCTATATTTAATTTGGAACAGTGTTTTTTTGACTTTCCATTCAGTTGGGAAAAATCATCCCAACTGACTTTCATATGTTTCAGAGGGGTAGGTATACCACCAAGCAGTGGGGATTTTACCAGCAAAAATGGTGAATTTACCCATGATCCCATGGACATTTATGGTGATTTTACCAGTGAAAAGTTGTGTGATTTTACCCATAACATAGTGATTTACCAGGAAAAACTGTGATACTATGATGGGATTTCATGGGGGTTTTGTTTGCAATCATCATGATTTAATAAATGTCTAGATTGCCAACCATTTGGGTTAGCTAGCAACATTGGGGATTAACCAGCAAAAATTGTTAAGAACGGAGATAAACCAGCTAATCGTCATGTGGGGAAGGGGGCCATTTTGATAGCTAACTTGGTTTGTAACTAGGTGACCTGAGGTTTATTGCGGTTGTAACTATAGTCAATAAGTCAATGGGATTTAAAACCAACTTGTAAGCTGGGGGACCACATTGTAGGGTGGGGTTTATGATGGCTTATGATGTGTGTCTAACTATTGTATATCTGGCAGAACCTGGCAGATATTCCTGCAGTTAGTTGGTGTATCTATTGGATATCAATACATATGTGTACATACATTCATGCATGCAGGCAGGCAGGCAGGCATGCATATTTATATATATATATATACGTGTGTGTGTCCATCGCCGATGAGAAGTTCATGGCGTAAGTTGGTTCAAAGCCGTAGCTAAGTTGTGTTAAAGCTCCAATGACTAGATATATCTATATAGTTGATGGGGATTGTCAACTAGCTTAAACCTGAGGGGCACCATATCCCAACTTAGAAGCGTCAAGATACCATGGTTATATCCATTGCCCTCTGGTAGATTAACATAGACCCTGAAAATAACCCATGTTTATTGGAAACTAGTCTTCCAACCTCGATGAATACCAGGGTCTATGTTAATTTACTGGAGGGATACTGGAGGGTAATCCTATTTTATATGTCATTTTATCCCCATTACATGTTTGTATATTTGCTGGCTACACCCCTATGATTTCCAGCAGTTATAACCATAAAATCACCCAAGAACTATGGTCAATCCTACCAGTAAAATCCCCAGACCTCATCACCATGCGGGATTTTGACATCCAAAACCCAACAAAAATCCCAAAAGATCAGCATGAAATCCCAGAAGAATCCCATGAAGATTCCGGTGAAAAACTACCATGGCTTATGATCTTATTAGTAGAACTCCAGTTTTTGGTACCATCAAAATCCAGTGAAAATGACCATGACATTCCAGTTTCCTATAAAGGTAGACTATTGACCTGTTGGCTTCTCGTCTGCGCCCCGGCCCCAGGAACATCTTCCACGCCAGCGCCGTGTACCGCGATGCCTGCAAGCGTTGCAAGGTGCAGGTGCTGGAGACCATGAGCCTTGGACCATATCCGTTGGCCCTGGAATTGCTAAGATTCATAACTATAGTCCCATCTAACTATAGTTATATCCCCTATAAACCCCTGGATTAGTAAACCTCTAGGCTGTTTAATTGGGAGGGTACCATTTTAAGTATTAGATTATGACTATTGGAGGAGTACCCCCCCAAATTAATAAACCATGGTTTAGTCTCATCCGGGGTTGACATTATAGCTGACTATAGCTGGTTGGTGGTTTGGAACCATGGAATTTTTTGACTTTCCATTCAGTTGGGAATAATCATCCATATATTTGGAGGACTATGTTTGGCCCAAGGTAGTACCTTCTGGTAATCTGTTGCAGTTTGCTAGTGAAAATGGCCATTTAGTTCGTTGATTTACCCATTGAAAAAGGTGATTTTCCACAGTTATGTTAGTTTAGCAGAGGGCAACTTTAGATATTACAATATATAGAACTATATTTTCTATCTTTTAAATATATAGCAGATATAATTACCCATGGTATCTTGTAAATATATATATATAACTATACACTATGGGTGGTATATCCATATAACCATACTATGTTTTTTATAGTTTATAACCATAGGTATTACATATTGTTTTTAACTTTAGGTATAAGTAGATATTGTAACATCGATAGCACCAAACTCAACTATAAAGTTTTTATTTACCATAAATATTCATTTAGGTATAACCTATATTTTTCAACTCAACTATAGTTCACTTGGGTTTATGGCCGATATAAGTGGTGAACATCACCAAGGTAAGTGGTGAACAACTATAGATATAACCAAGATTTTCCATAACAGATATTGAACAACAGGTAGTAACAGGTTACATCTATAGTAAATCTATAGTTACATTAAGATATCTATAGTAATATGTACTACATATGTACAGATATAGATATAACCCAGATAACTGAACCACTATATATTACAGGTAGTAGCAAGAACCCAGATGGCGAGTTGGGTGGTGAACAGCTCAATCCAATTTCACTTGGTTTCTGGCAGATATGCAAAAGAGATTAATGAAATAGATATAGATCCATACTTAAACATCCTATAACTATGGTCTATAGTACTTATAACTTATAACATCTTGTAACTATAGTTACTGTAGATGGATCTAAATAGTTATATTGAGTATGGATCTTTATCCCCCACAATTATAGATTAACCCATAGTTATAATACTTAAGGGGGTCTATAAACCAACCAACATAACTGTGGGGGCACCAGCTTGCCCCGAGAAATGGCAATATGAATGGAGATGTCATGACATTTTTTTTGGGCTATTCATGGGAGAATGGAATATGAATGGGATCATGACTTAACATTGGATTTAATGGTGGTGCCGCCGTTGACCATAGCTGAGTTGAGGCACTATCTATGGTTCATGAGTATAAACCAACTTCTCACTGGGGGTGCACCAGATTCTGTGAATCGTGAGTTACGTGAAGATTTCATTGGATACATAGGGATTTGCTCAAGATGATATTTATAACCCCCATTAACTGTAGATATAATCCCCATAAACCGTAGGCATTGGACTTATAAACCAACTTGGCTAACTATCAAGATGATATTTGATTATTCCAATGTGACATCCACTACTTGGGACTGATGTGTTTCCTGGATCGCAAACCCAGGCGAATGGTGATTTCAGCAAGCAAATAAGATATATTTGGGTGATATACAGTATACAGGGGAAAAAAGAATAGAGAGAGAGAGAGGGATATAGTAATATGATGCTGGTTGGTGGTTTCAATTGTTTTTTCCATTTCATATATGGGATAATCCTTCCCATTGACTCATATTTTTCAAGATGGCTATTGCACCACCAACCAGTGATGTAATGGGATATCGAGACTTTGTTGGAGAGAATGGAACGTATTCGGATCCAATTGGATTTCAGTGGCATGTGATCTGTCGACACACAGGAATGGTTTCAATCCTATCATACCAGAGGGCGATGAACACTTACCCTCTGGTAAACATACAAAAAGCTATTCAAAATTGCCTATGTATAGTTGGTTTCCCTATTAAAGATGCTGATTTTCCATAGTTATGTAAACGTTTACCAGATGGTACGTTATTTGCCATCGGTTTTGATGTTCCTGGGATACCATGGTTTTGGTCAGATTTGGACGCAGAAAAAGTTATGCGATTTGACGGCCTAACAGAATCAAGAAGACAAAAAAAGTGGGAGATCGCAAAGCGCAATCCATGAAATTCTGGGATCTTACTGTAATATCTTATCCACATAATTTCCCAGTAATATAAATATATATATATAGATATCATTATTATATCATTATTATATGTGGGATAATTAATAATGTAGGCTGCCCAATAGTAAATCCCCCCCTAAATAAAATAATTATTTTAACAAATTTAGGGGGGGTCAGCATTCCAATAGTAAATTTTGGAACCTTATAGCTGGGATCATGGAAGTGGGGGCAGAGGTGGTGGAGGCGAAGGAGGAGGACGAGGAGGAGGAGGAGGAGGAGAAGAAAGAGAAGAAGGAGAAGGAGAAGGAGGACAACAAAATTGGAGTTGCGGAAAAAAGTTTCCACTATTGCCATGCCTGGTGCAGGTTTGTTATTACTATTCTGGGGCTCGCAAAGGGGGTACCCTTTGTGGACCTGTTTTCTTGCTTTTTTTGTTAAGGGTTTTATAAGGAAATCAGGTGTTTGGTAATTGGATCAGATTTCTGGAATCTAAGCTTTTGCTAATCAAAAGTGAAGGCTGCTTTGAAAAGGATTTGCTTTACTTGACTCTTTTGGCAATACTAAAAGTAAATGGAGCTAATTGACTTTTAGCATTGGAGAAAAAATTGGAGTTGGAAAAAAAGTTTCCACTATTGCCATGTTGGGTCCACTATTGGCCATGCCCTCTGGACAAGGTCTGAATATGACTCTTTTGGCAATACTAAAAGTAAATGGAGCTAATTGACTTTTAGTATTGGAGAAAAATTGGAGTTGCGGAAAAATGTTTCTACTATTGACAAGATATCATTATTGGCTAGACAACATTATTGTGGGATATATATATATATATCATTGTTAATATCTCATCCATATAATGCATACCTTATTAATATCCATGGGGGATCATGCCCGCAGTCCAAAATTGTTGAAACAGCGAAAACCTAGTTTTAACCTCAAGAATGGGATTTAGCCAATTTGGACCTCTGTGTGAAAAGACACGTGAATGGTGTGTTAAATTTTTGTGTTGTTGCCATTTTGAGATCGCATCCTGGTTCTGGGCATTTTTGTTGTTTGTTTTGTCGGGCACCTAGGGTCCGCTATGATACCCCAGGCCATTCGCCTTACTTGGGCTCAAACCACCTGATTTCAACTTGGAGGTGTTCTGCACCATTATTTTCAGTAGGGAAATTGAAAGAAAGCGAGTTCCGGAGTTGTGCTTAGTTGTGGCGAGTCAAATCACAACTCTCACAACTCTCAAGTCCCAAGTTTATGGCTACAGCCATTGGTTTTTCATTTAAAAGTTGCATCATTTCAATGGAAATCCACATCTTCTTTGTTTAAACCATGATTTCTACCCCCCCCTGCAGCTCTCCCCCCATGTGTCGACGTTTCTGGTGAGGCCTATCCTAGGAGAGATGGTAGAGGTGGTCGGGGCCAATCTGGAAGACACTGAGCTGCCTTGAGATGCCTATCTCGATGCCTATCTCGATGCCTCGTGGGGATATCAAATCCCAGCATTTGATGAACTATTTGATTAACGTTACATTTTATTTCCAATGATGAACTATATATTTGATATACTATTTAATTACTATCATATTATCATTATTTACAGCACTATTATAACTATGATCCCAGCATTTGATGAACTATATATTTCATGATTGCTCCAATCCATTGTATGTTTTTTTATAGCCACAAGAGAGGGAAATTGGTCATTGGGGATTTTCATGGGGATTTCTAGGTCAATCTTACACGGGTACTTTAATCCTTTTTTCTTTTGGTATTAATGGGATTATCCACTAACCAGCAAAGAATTTGTCATTTTTGCAGGGTATCTAAGATTGGCAATGTCGATTAACGTTACATATATTTGATATATAGATAGATATGTAGATATATAATGGATCTTAATATATGTTATTGATCAAATATATGTTGTTAATCAAATATATGATCTTAACTATTTGATTAAACAACCGAGATTTAAAAAAAAACAACGTTAAAAACCCATACTGGCTGGTGGCTTGGAGCATGAATTTTATGACTTTCCATTCAGTTGGGAATAATCATCCCAACTGACGAACTCATATTTTTCAGAGGGGTAGGTATACCACCAGCCAGTTAACGATTTGATTAACATTACATATATGTGATTAATATTGATCAGCTATTTAAGTGAAATAAGACCCTAAAAATTGTGATTGGGATTCGCCATATTGGGATCCAAGCCTGGTGACTCCAAACTTTCCTTGTTTAACAACGATGGGGATTAATGGTGGTTTGTTCTAGGGATGTCACGGGAATATCATAGGGGACTTCATAGGAAGAGAATGGTGGGGATATCAAACTCCTCCTGGAAGTCTCCGTATAGATGATGGTGACTCTATGGTGACTTGATGGGGCGGTTTAAGCAACAAAGATTAGGAAATGAGCGAGCCAAAATGGTGGATCATTGGATAGTGATGGGATACCCTCCAGCACTGGAAAATCCATGAACATCTTCTACGAACGGAGGTATGGGGAGCAGTTTTTTTGAGTGGTACCCTTCGGTAAACTAACATAGCTATGGAAAATGACCCATTTATAGTGGATTTACCTATTAAAGATGGTGATTTTCCAATTCGCTATGTTAAATTACTAGAGGGTAATGGTGATTTAACAATCCCATAAGTTGGGATATGACCCCATAATTATGGCTAGATATCCATTTACATTGCCCCAGGAATCGCGACTTGTTGGGGCTCACATAACTTTAATTTCACCAAGGTTTATGGTAGATATAATGAGCAACTTAAGGGGGTTATAAACCAACTTTGTTTTGTCCAATCCCCATTTTTATTGGTTAGAGTATATTAAATCCATACTTCCCATGGTTAACTCGGTGATCTCATCACCAAGTGGTGAAATTATGCAAAAAAAAACAGAGACTCGTTCCCAAATATTTTCTGGGTCATATGTACTACTCATGAACCCATTTTCCTCGGTTAAAACATGATTACTCTCTGGTAAACGTTTACATAACTACGGAAAATCACCGTGCTTTTAATGGGTAAACCTACTATCTAAATCACCATTTTCAATAGCAAACTCTTTGTTTACCAGAGGGTAAAGCCATTAAAACAATAATCAACAATCCCCCAAAACATCATCATTTTTATAGGTGGTATAAACCATTCGCATATGGATGGTTTATGACATTGTTTTACTTTACCATCATTATTATGATTCTATGGTAATATCCCATTTTTGCTGGTTAAATCACCATGTTCCTATGGTTTTCCTATGGTTTTCCTTTTGGTTTTCCTTTGGTTTTCCTATGGTTTTCCCATGTTTTTCCCATAGATTCCCTCTTTTCTTCTGCCGTTTTTTCGGTGCCAAGGAGACGAAGCACTGCTACGCGCTGGCGGAGGCAGTGCGCACCTGTGCGGTGAAGGGCTTGAAGGTCGAGGAGTGCTATATGCCGGTGACTGGGGCCAAAAAAAAGGTAATTTCCCATTGAACGGTGGTGTTTTATTGGGAAATCTATGGAAAAATATGGGTAATCTATGGGAAATCTATGTTTTATGGGGCCCCATCCTGTAATTTCCATGGGAATTTCATGGGATTGGTGGAAAACATGGGGAAATATGGGAACATATCAATATAGTTGGTTAGTTGATGTTAGTTGATGTTAGTTACCATCCCATAATTATAGTTACTGTAATCAATGGGAATTTCAGGATCCAATACATGGAGCTACGTAAACGTACCCTATTTTTGGCTATATTTTGTGGGGGTATTCCCTGAAATTTAAGCATTATATATGGTAGGCACCTCCAATAAATCGGTTCCTGAAATGTCCATTGAACTCATGAATCTTATGATGAGCAACCATCATTGGTAATCATAGTTACCCTAGTTCATATAATATATATATACACATATTTCATGGTTATGTCATATATACATATATACTTGATGGTTCACCCCAAGCATTTGTAATACATATGGGAAATCCATCACCAGAATCAGCTTGATGTTCAATCATTTTCATGGGTGCTATAGAGGAGGTATCCGACATTTTTCATGATTCTGGTGATAAGTTTAAGCACCATACTGTAGATAAGCTTTTTTCATGCTTCTGGTGATTTTGATTGGTGATGTCATAGGTTTCATTCAATATCCTAACATTTTAAATGATACCCTCTGGTAAACTAACATAGCTATGGAAAATCACCATTTTTAATGGGTAAATCAACTATAAATTGCCATGTTCAATAGTTATGTTAGTTTGCCAGAGGGTCGGTTTAGGGTTTCTGAGATGTTTTCATGTTTCGAGCTTGGGATTTCACCAACAATGGTGACAACCAGCCTCAACAAAGCCTGGTGGGATTTCATGGAGAACTGGGGAATGTTAGTAATGATTACTGTAGTGAATAATCAGGGTTAGTCATTTAGTAACTATAGTTACTGATCATAACAATATAATATATATATATAATACTACCAGTCCAGTTTATGGTCTATGGTAGTAACTATAGTTCACAATCACAGTTTCCGAAATTACCGCCACAATAAAAACGTGGCAATGCACGTGCATCCACCATTTATATCATTTATAGACGTGCTTTCCCATTGAAACCTTCAGGGCCATGGGTGATTTTCCATTGCGATACATGACATATTCCAAGCCTGAGATTTCACCGGCAGCCTGGTGACAGAGAGAGCCTCAACAATTCCTGGTGGGAATCATGGGGATATCCATCGGAAGATTCTGAGAATATGACCAGCTAGTTATTGAAATAAAAAAAACATGCAGTTTTAAGAGGTAAGTCATCATATTTATCACCTATTTCTATGGGTCATTTTCCAGTTCGCTATTTTAGATATGTTAGATGACCAGATGGTGTGTATATATATATATACACTATATATGTGAAAGTTTCCTAAACTTGGTGGTAACCCAAATCATCCAAACTAGACCATTGAAACATATTGAAACCCAGCAACTAAGGGATACCCCGCTTAATGAGCTTGGATTTGCTGGGGAATGCTGGGGACATTTTTGTCTTACCATGATCCCCTTAGGCAGATCCAAGTATGATATAGATAGATTGGTAGCTAGATAGATAGATAGATAGATAGATTAGACTAGATTAGATTAGATTAGATTAGATTAGATTAGATAGATAGATAGACAGACAGACAGAGAGAGAGAGATGGATAGATAGATAGATAGATAGATAGATAGATGGATGGTGAATGAACCATCAGAAATAGATGTCTTTGTGAAGAGTCTTACAAATATAGATTGACAGATTGTACAATATATCATATATCGGAAAATTACGGTGAATTAACCGGAATATCATTGGATGTTAACCAAAGATGTGGTGAGTGTTCAAAAGCCCTGTTTGTTGATGATTAATTCGGAGCTGAAAGTACCCAATATACATATATATATATACATATAGAGGACTATCGTAGTCTATTTTTGGAACCCCCATGAACCAACCAATATGATGGAATAGAGAAGCTGGACATGTCCAGAAGAGCGCGCGCGGCCGAAGATCAAGGGCAAACACTCGCAACAAGGAGCTCAGCGTTGGCGCGAGAGGCAACCGCGGCACGCCACAGCATGAGCAGAAAGTCTATCGACCGCCTTCCGGGTGGCGTTTCTTATGGTTAAGGCGGTTACACTGCTCAAGCAGAATCCTTGGAAACGCAGTTCATTACACTTTGCCCAAAACTGCAAGTGTTGACCTTCACAAGTAGATGGACTTCCAGTGAGGTGATAATCTAGTAGCTAGTATATATCATCTATCTTGATATAGTCCCACTTAATTACAATAGTTTTTTTGGGATGGGAGGCTGGCACAATTTTCAGAGCCCCATGACGTCCTCCCTCAGAGATGTCAGGCTGTGGTGGATCCCACCAGGAGCTTTTTGTCGAAGACCTGTTGGACCTGTCGCGTAAGATGGCCTGTTTTTTCGTGCCACAGCGCTCCACACACCTGCCCTCAGCGTTAAGGACATGGGCGCAGCCAAAATCATTGAGGCGGCATTCTCAGGCGGCAGCAAACCGTGGATTGCATCTAATGTTCCTAAAGCAAAAGGATCCACCATCCCAATTTTACCATGGGTGATATATACCACGGCTGATTTATCATTGCTTTACTATGATTAATTATGGACAAGTGGTAACGACCTCACTGTGATGTCATTGGAACCGTGATTAACAGCGGCTAGTAGGGGTCACTATCCGATACGGCTTTGTTTCAGTTTTGTGAACTATGATTTTACACAGTTGTTTGTCCAGATTTCTTAAGCTCCGGTAATGGGACACCCGGGAATTCTGGGGGAACATCAATAAAACAACACCGCTTGAAAACACTGCTACCGAGGGTAGCAATTTATCAAGGTGAACCAGGTCAAATCAAATCATGTTTTCAAAGCTTGGTCTGGTTGGTTTTTGGAACGGTTCATTTTTTTGCCACTCTTAAAGAGCAATAGCACATCCTACAATGAATTGACTTCAGTTTAGCCTTATTCGCGCAAGGTCAGACACAGTTTTCCCCTTAGGGGGTGGAGATGGATCTAAGGCTCTTGTACTGGCTCTCCTCAACATTTAGAAACCGTGACTAGTCATTACTTTTTGAGCCGTGCCTCTTCGAAAGTCCCAAAGCTATGTGAAGATGTGAAAAGAACACATGTTTTTTTTGACAACCCCGGATTAACAAAAGCCCTGGGCTGTTGATCATATGGGAGGTGTACCATTGTAATGACTTAGTTCATGAACCTGGCTTGACATTTTACCAGGGTTGAAATTAATTGGCTGGGTCATGAGATTTTTATAGATATATAAATGCATTTATATATATATAACAATTATCATCCCCAATTGCTCATCATCTTTGGTTTCAATCCCATATCAAAGAAAACAGTTGTTTCTTGACATTGGGCCGCAACCAAAAAAAAAAGGGGGCCGCAACGTCTGTTTCCGGCATGTTGGTAGTTCGATGATGTTTCCGTTTGCCTTCAGCCGCAGGTGAACATTTGGAAACTGTGACCTTATCCGGTACTTCGTTTGCGAAACGGGGCTGATCCTGACGGTCCTGGTTGATGGAGCCAGTTACCACTCTTTGGACCTTGCGATGTTGAAGAACAATATGTCACCCATATCCTTTGGGTTCTTTCATTTCCTGGTTGGTGGTTTGGAACATGGCTTTTATTTTTCCATATATTGGGAATAATGATCCCAGCTGGCTTTCATATTTTTCAGAGGGGTAGGTATACCACCAACCAGTTTCTATGAGCATATTTTGGTGGCTCTGTTTTTAGATCCTGAAGATGTTTGGGAGCGCTTTTCCATTGCAACATCAGGAGGCGAGGCCTTGCCATCGACTGCAGATTGGAGATCACAAGCGGTTAGTTTCACTTTGGGGTGATAGACTTGTGTATGGAAAGGTATGGTTCATGTATCACAAAGCTTATGAAACTAAAAGGCTGCAGAAGGGCGGTCTCGGGAGCTCATCGAGTTAAGAAGAACTAAATTCTTGCATTCCATTCTAGGGAACTCCCCAGTTCAGGGCCTTACATAACTTGAAATACCGTGATTGATATAACATGACTCTCCGGCAATGAAACGTGGCAATGGGACATCAGTTCGATGATTTTCCCAGCTCAACCTCCTTTTTTTATAGTGGATTTCCCAGCCATTAACATACAGCAATCTCAGCACGTCTTAGCCCTGCGGCTTTTGGTGAATCCTCCAAGATGTTCAGGTCTCACCCTGAGTTATCGGAGCGTTTTGGCACTCTATACCGCCCTGCGGCAAAATCGTGGCTCGCCTCAACCGTTGGTGACTTAGATGACAATCCATCATGTGGGTTTGAAAATGAGTACCGCCAATGTGGCTAATAGTGGTGATAAAGCATCAAATTTTGGTGTGTCTTCATTTCAGCCAGCTGCAACTGGAGATTCCATAAATTTCCATCAACTGCATTGCGGGACATCATTTCAGTGGATGATTCAGAATGGAGAGCGTTTCTTTGGCATGTTTTGAAAGCGTCAACTACTTGGAATGAACATCCACGAGCCATATATCAATGGATTGGGTTGAGGGACTTTTTTAACCAGAAACCCCCATATTTAAAGGTAAAAACCATGGTTTCCTGCAGATTTTCCCTTAAACCAATCCAATGAATATGAATAATTTAAACTCTTGGGAGAGAATTGAAATTTCGCTTCATACTGCAAGTCGCATTAGGAACAATCAAGTCATTCCTTTCATCAAAGCAGTTGTCCGCAGTTTTTTCCCCCGAATAGCAAAATTCCAATTCGAAACTCTTGTTTTGTATTTGATCTAATTATTCATTTAGGCCCTTAGGCCCCCTTTTCGATGATACTTGATATTTGGGTATAAGAGTGTTGGATCGTAAACTGGTAGGTGTCAAATCAAATATCTTTATTTCATTCGCTTTCCATCATATTTATCCTAGGATAATAGCCTGCATTACACGGTTTCCAAAGGAGTCTCCAATGGGTTTTCCATATCTTTTTGTTAGTTTGCTGCACGGTACTCCCTTTTTTGACCCCAGATGTTCTCGACAGCGATCTGGAGATCCAACCTCCCAAAGGTGTTTCCAGAAGCCCTGTATCCGGGTGGTGCCCCTCCAGTCTAATGATTGTTGGTCGAAAAAAAACACCTGAAAAAGTATAGGTGTTTTGTAAGTAATCAGCAGATATGTTGACCTGGCAATCCTGAATTTTCTATCTGCTGGTTACTCGCTATACATCTACCATAAACCCAAATTGTTAGAGTTATTTCAACCAACTTAGCGATTCCGCAATGGGGCGCGACCTTGTATCTTGTAGTATTTGGCTGGGAATCGCCTTTGGAAGTTACTCCAGTATATTATATATCCGATTTCAACTTGTTGAATTATATCACCATGTGTGGTGGTTAAACCAATGAAAACATAGTTGAATCAAAACAATAACATCCAATTGGTGGTTTTGATGGTGTGAGGAACCAACATCCTCAGATTCATAAGGTAAAATCACCCATTTACTCCTATGTCATATCCCATTATCTTTTTCCCATTACTGATTCCCATTTTAATTCCCATTCTAGGTCCCATTATATTACAACTATTTCGCATGATCTACCCACATTATTCTGTTATTTTTCGTTTGTAACACCTTTTTTTATACTTGAAATCAAATCCCATTGTATTCAAAGCTATCTCCGCATGTAAAGCTACATCCCATGATAACCACCAGAGGGTGAAATATTGTTTAAGTTGCCCAGTGTTTCCTTTTCGAATTTTCCCATGATATTCTCACAACTGTCGCCAGGCTCAATGTTATTGTCGTGATTATTCACTATGAATGTAATTGTAGTTATATAATTGAATCACAACAATAACATCCAATTGATGGTTTTGATGGTGTGATAAACCAACATCCTCAGAATCATAAGGTAAAATCACCCATTTACATCATTTTACATCTATATTCCAATCATTTTTCCCATTTATGATTCCAATTTAAATTCCCATTCTGGGTCCCATTCTATTACCATTATTGTTCCTGCATCATAATTTACATTTATATCATCCTATATCCCATGAATTGTTCCCATTAATGATTCCCATGAATGCTCCAATTTTAATGTACTTAGATGGGCCATGGAGCTAGTTAACTAGTTAGAGAATGGATTATACTTGGGATATAGGGGGTAACAAATCCCCAGTTACTAACCATAAATCGCTAATCCCATGGCCCACCTAAGTATTCCCATGTTTTCCCGTCGCCAGGCCTTGGCAATTCCCTGCGCCACCTGACCTTAGCCGCTTGCGGCTTGGGCGGCGACCTGGAATTGATGCCTCCCGGGGCGGCGGCGGCCTACGAGAAAGGCCGAACATCGGAGCTGTTTATGGGGTGAAACATGGCGAAACCGTGTGAAAACGGGGATTTCATATGATTTAACTTGGTAAACCTTGGGAAAACCCGGTGTTTTTCATGGTAAAAGCTTGGGGAAAGAAGTATTTAAGATGATTCAACTGGGTAAACCTTGGGAAAACTTGGGATATTGGAAAAATTAGGGAGTTCTGAATGCGAACCATGGGATAGTAATGGCGATAACTCGATTCAAGATGATGCACGGGGATTACTGGTGCCCCAAAAGGTTATAATTATTGGTTGGTGGTTTGGAACATGAATTTTATTTTTCCATTCAGTTGGGAATGTCATCATCCCAACTGACTAATATTTCTCAGAGGGGCTGAAACCACCAACCAGTGACTATTGGTTTATAGGCCCATCAAAGTATACTTATTTCATCACCATCGACTCCAGTTGTCTTATAAAGACCAACTTAGCATAACTTAGCTAACTATGGGGCAACTGAGAATACTAACATGAAACCAGGTTTCCGTGCTTGGGTCATGGCCTTTTCAGCCCATTTGAGCCAGCGAATGTGGATCAAAAAGTTCAAAAACCCTCTGGGAAACTAACACGACGATGAAAAAGATTCATTTTTAATAGGTAAATAAACTATATTAAACTATAAATAGCGTGTTCAATAGCTATGTTGAATTACAGGAGCGTAGACCACTTTTTGGAGGATCAGCATCCAAAGTTCCCATGAATTACTCGCTATTTTGATCCCGGACTAAGCCAGATGCGAAGCGAATTCTTGGTCATTTGGGGTCACATTTTGAACCCAGCCCCAAAAAGATATGATTTTCGAAGATGTCAGCTTTGGACATGCATGAAAAACGTAGGGACGTCACTCCCTCCTGGTGATGCCTGGTTCGGAAACACAGTTTTTCCATCGCGCCCCTTGAAAAGAATCATCTTGAGGAAGCACTTCATCAAATTGATAGTGCAACCCTCTGGTAATTCAACATAGCTATTGAAAATTGTTATTTATAGTTCATCTACCCATTAATTCGAAATGGTGATTTTCCATAATTAGTTATAGTTATATATGTTAGCTTACCAGCGGGTAAATGGTTTCCAGCATCTTTCAGATTGAAAAAAATCACCCTCACTATGGAGCCTATAGCTAAAGTTTCTTGGGATTGGTTGTCAAGTCCCCTGATCCAGAAAACCATCTCATTTTCTCCGGGGGAAGCGGAAGCAGGGTCGGTTTCTCTTCGACATTTGTACCCTGTCGCTTTTCGGATCCTCCCTCAGTTGTTTCAGTTGTTTGGAGCGGCCTGGCGTTTCCTCAACAAAACCAACCCAAATATGAGTTGGAACACTCAGGGGTTCCCCCAAACTTTTCACGAAATCTTGGATCACTGGAATTGGCTTGGGAATACACCTGGTACCTGGAAGCATGCTGAGCCAGGTGTTCTGACCCATCCCCTCCCCACAGTTGAGTTCTTGCAACAACAGCTTCGTGCATCTTTCCGTACTTCTATGTGGAACCACCACCACCAAAGTGGTCGTCCAGACGCCTTCTCTGAATCACGATACCATGCTGATTTCTGTCGCTGGGATAGGAAACAATCAGATTGTTCCCCAAGCGCAATAATTTCACCGGCTTGTTTTTCTGTCACCGAAACTGACATTGCCTTATGTTTTGTATGTCTTGCGGTTGCAAACACTGTTGAGCATGCGTGGGTTTGTAGCTGCTGACAAACCAATTTGTGGATCAATATGTCTCTCAGGCAACCTTCTCTAAAAGGCAGCGCTGACCTATAGTTTGCTTTCCCACTTCAAGTTCACCACAGGCTATTTCATGGCGCATTCTGTTTGCGACTTGTAAGTTCTATCTCAAGCAGTAGGGAGGTTGACCCCATTTTCTCAGGGCTTTCTCACTAGTGATTTTTCAGATATAAACAATAAAGTTTGGGCGTTCGAACCTGGGACGAAAAAGAGAAGTGGATGGTTGAGGGGTAGGTTTAATGCTTGGTACTTGCAGTTCCAGGTATAAATGGATGTATATTATATAATCATATGATATATATATATATAATATTTCTAAGTATTTCTAAGTATTTCTAAGCTTTAGGGGTTATATCCCAACTTTTGTAGCTTTATAACCATGGTAATATCCATCTGTAACTTGAACTGCCCCCAAAAGGGTAGTGAATGAACTTTGGGGAAGAATTTGAGGGTCCCGTGCAGTCGGTAAGTAGTACAGTTGAAAAATACACATTGGACCAGAAAATAGATTGACATACTGTGGATGGAAGAAATCCCGCACCTGTTGGTAGATCGTTTATGCCATTACAATTCCATGATTTACAGTATTTTGTAGCTACCAACAGTTTCCAACTGGTGCAGGATTTCGCAACCATCCACAGTATCATTGGGAATTACCATTCATTATCAAAACCCCTATTAATTAATCCACCATGGTAGACAATTATATATATCTGAATTATTCAATGGGAATTCCAGGATCCTAAATTGGAGGTACTGTACCATATAAGGCCATATTTTGTGGGGATATTCCCTTACATAGGCCTAAAAAATAGGCCTTATATACGGTAGGTACCTCCAATTTAGGATCCTGGAATGGCCATTGACTATATCATCAAAAACAGGATCATCTGCTGTACTCTCAAGTATCCGGTTAATACCATCATGTCTGGTTGGTGGTTTGGAACATGAATTTTATTCTTCCATTCAGTTGGGAATTTCATCATCCCGAGTGACAAACTCATATTTTTCAGAGGGTTGGCTCAACCACCAACCAGATGCATCATTAATCCCAATGATCTAGTATCCCATTAATCAGTCACATTACTTGGTTAAACCCCAAGAATGATCCATCCAGCAATGTCAAAAACCCGGGCCTTCGACCCCACGGCCCAAAAAAGGCCGTGCCTTGCTGGAGAGCCATCCGGTTGATGAGGAGACGTTGGCAAGAGGAGGCGGAGAGATTTTTCCTGGGAAGGGAAGCAGCAGATTTCTGGCGGAGAAAAAAAGGATCAAATACGCATTCTAGGTTAACAAACTGGATGGGTACAAACTAATCCTGAATAGTTTTTTGGTATCAATGGGATTATCTACGTTCACCAGCTAAGATTTTTTTTTTGCAGGGTATCTAAGATTGGCAATGATAAAATACACATTCAAAGTATGAAAATAAATTAGATTGAACCACTCAAAATGGTGGTCTAACCACGGAAAACCTGCGTTTTTTTCGACCCCTCAAAAATAGCGTGTGAAAAGCTGATAACGCGACTGCAGGTTTCCTGTAGGTGTTCCAGGAAAAACTGACATAACAGATGTTCACCGTATCATCATGTTCATTGAGAAGTTAATCCTGCCACAAAGGCTTTTTTTGACCCAAAAAAGTGGGGAGATTAAGATGATTAAGCACCATGAACAGGGAATATAACCTACCCTCTGGTCATTTAACGTAGCCATGGAAAATTGCCCGTTTATAGATGGTTTACCTATTAAAAATGGTGATTTTCCATGGCTATGTTAGTCATAACCAAATGGTATAGATCACTGGTTGGCGGTTTCAACCTATAGATTTTCCTAAATCCTATGTGATTTGGAAGCCAAATTCACGGGGATTCCAGGATTCCATCCCCCTGGTGGTGACTCCCCAATCACAGATGGCTTTTTCATGGTGGAGTTTCGCCGGTACAATTGGGGTTGATGATTAACAAGCCCAATACCCATAGGATCCATGTATGCCATATATGGTAACATTTACCATCAATATACCCCAAATGTTAGCATATATATATATATATACATACCATACATGGATCCTATGGGATATGGAAATTCATGGAAATTCGTACAATTTGCAGGGATCACTTTTGGGGGGTAGCTTGAATGCGGCAAATGTTGCCGGGAGGCGTCCCAGTTTGTAAATGCCAAGTTGTTGAACATAACTCCAATAGCTAGGGGTTTTATGGAGATATATCCAACTAGTTATTGAGGCTTAAAAGCCACCAAGCATAGCTGGCACCGCTTAATGCGTCAAAGCGCTCAATATCGAGGAGCTACAAAAGGAGTTTCCTAAGCACACAGGATGGTACCCCCCAGTTATGTGAACGTTGGTTTAGTTTCACCCCATGAATACTAATTCGTTATATCAACCAGAAACCATAGTTAATTCAGCCACAAAAATAAGACGTTTCTGAACGCGAGCTCGAACGGGGGCCCCATGCTGCAACTTATTATTTCTGCGGTGATGTCATCTGAGTTGGCCCCCGGTTTCCAGGTGATGTGGCGGGCTTGCTGTCCGAGCACCTACAGGAAGCTTGGCTGACGGGAATTTCACCTGGGATTTGTGGGGAAAGTCATGGGAAAATATCGGACACTCCCATTTTACATGGAGGTTTATAGATGTTATAGCTGGATAAGATACCAAGTCCTTAATTACTGGTTGAACCATTGGTGGTTTGGAACATGAATTTTATTTTCCCATTCAGTTGGGAAAGTCATCATCCCAACTGACGAACTCACTCCATCATTTTTCAGAGGGATAGCTCAACCATCAACCAGTGATCTATTGAATTCCTATGGGTTAATATTGATTTACCAGGATTTACCCACATTTACCAGTGTTTATTGGTTATTATAGGCCCATCAAACTATACTTATTTCATCACCATCGACTCCAGTTGTCTTAAAAAAAGACCAACTTGGGATTTGTTGAGTCGATGATTTCCTTGGATCTTCCCGTGGGAAATCCACGATTTTGGGGCACTTTTTTTTGGGAAATATGATGTATGATGACAAATATGATATATGTCTTATATATGATGATATATGATGATATATGATAATATATGTTTGGGAAATATTCACCTTAAGCAAATTCCAAAAAGTCACTGTCCAAAAACCAAGCACCGTGAAATTCTGCGTGCAGCTTTTAGGGGACCTCACCATAGATGATGGTTTTTTCAGCAGAATCTTCAGAGCCCTTTTGGATCTTGCTGGGGAATAGTTTCATGCTTGCCTTGAACAATGGTCAGTGGCCATTTCAGGAACCGATTGATTGGAGGCACCTACCATATACAAGGCCTATGTTTTGGGCCTATGTAAGGGAATATCCCCAGAAGATATGGCCAGAAATATGGTTCAGTACCTCCATTTTAGGATCCTGAAATTCCCATTGAAATGGCAATGAAATCATTGAGGGTGAATAGGTTGTCAAACACTGCCTGGTGGTTTAGAACATTTGGATTATTTTTCCCCAATAGTTGGGATGATGATCCAATCTGACTGGTTGGTGGTTTGGAACATTGACTTTCATATTTTTCAGGGGGGTTGAAACCACCAATTAGCTGTGAAATTCTTGGCAATCTATCCGATTTGGTGGTGAACTACCAAGTGGGTTACTGGGTTGCTTGTCCCCAGTTACAAGGGTGAGTATGATTAATCAACCTATATCTGGGGTGAAGTAAGCCACAAGGGGAGGCCCCCAAACTGGCTATGGGGCAAAATTCAGGACCTGGGGACCACAGATTTTGAGTTTTTGATGAGTATTAACCATCCAATGATTAAGGTTGTTCAATTTTGAGCTATGCCTATATAATTCATGGGGTTTATAAAACAGCAAACATAACTTGGGAGGCCTCACCTTGTAATTGGGCTATTTGACGTGGCTCTTTGAGATGACTTCCTAGGGGAATCCAACTTCCCGTAGCAGCCTGGCACTGCGCTTTTCGGCAGTCCTGAAGAAGAAGGACGAAGAGAACGCTCTGAGATCCCAGAACTGACAGCAAAAGTCCGAGAAGGCCCAGAAGCCAAAGACTTGCTACGCATCGCTGCGCTTTGTTTTGAAGCGCGGAAGCGCGGACTTCCACGACATGCCTGCCGCTACAGCCGCGGCATGCCGCAGACATGGATTTGACTTCAAAACTGGTGCACGCACCGTCACCAGACAAACATGTACCGCTTAAGAGGTGACTGGGCATATTTTGGCGGCTGCCTCAAACAGGCAAATCATGGTTTTCATGTTGTTCATTTAATATGTTTATTTGCTTTCATTTCGAGCACACACATATGTTTACCTGTCAATCTATCGACCTGCCTATCGATCATATCTATTTATCATATCTATCGATCATATCCAATTATCGATCATATTTACATGTATCGGTCTATCTATCCAACGAATTATCGATCTATCGATTGATCTATATATAATATTATATATATATATCTATCTATCTATCTATCTATCTATCTATCTATCTATCTATCGCTCTGGCCCCTTCACACCAGTCCAACCCTCCGCGAAGAGCCATACCCTGCACCCCAGCAACAATAAGAGATAATAGAGATAGGCAAAAGAATACTGTTGTTTTTTAATTATCTGCCACCCTCTAGATTGAATTATATTTCGATAACGGCAAAAAAATCCGTTTATTATTGACTTTTGTTATACTTGTGTTTCTTGATGAACTTGTTGATGAACTAAGCTCTGTTTGGCATCACAGCCCCAGGTAAAAGTCACTCAAGCCACTCCGAAACCATCACGCAATCCCCATTTCTCACCATTTCAAGACCCAGTGAACGGAGTATTGGTGGCTATCCCCATATCCCATGAAACCCATTAGACCTTCATGGAATCGCATTAAATCACCATTAAATCACATTAAGTCACCGTTAAATCCCCATGAAATCCTCTTGAATCACCCTAAAAAACGATATAAAAACTCTTCATCAGCGCCATCCAACCCCATTTGCCCAGGAAAGTCTGCGCAAGGCGAAACTGGACGAGCGTCCAGCGCTGCACATGGCCACTGCCACCAGTTTCGGTAGCGATGCGGGCGAGGCATTCGTGGGGACGGCAACTGTGGGATTGTTTGCTGGGTAGCCTCCTTGGTAAAACAATAATAAATGGTAAGAATTGGACATAATGTGGGTAAAACAATGCCGTAAACCATCCCCCAGTCATCACCATTTTTATAGGTGGTAAAAACAGTTCCCAAATGGATGGTTTATGGCATTCTCCACATTAATGGAAAATGGGTGAAAATTGACCATTTAGATGATGAATCCCGAAAATGATGATGAATAGCTATGTTAAAGTACCAAGGGGTATATTTCATGATGGAATTGATGGAAAACCATGATGAATATAGAGGGAAATCGAGGATAAATGGAGGTTCAATGACAAAAACCATAGCTATAGGTACTAGGTCACTGGATGGGTAGTGAGTAATCCTGAACAATCGTTTGCGATTTCAATCGGAATATCATGGAATATCTACTTTCACCAGCTAACAATTTGTCATTTTTTTGCAGGGTATTTAAGGTTTGGGAATGTGTATAACCCAGTTGTATATGGGATACCCCACAATCCACGAAATGGGGACTTACTAACTAGGGTTATTCACCAGTTACGATTCGTGGGCGGATCAGCCCTGGATATCAACCATGGAAAATCACAGGAAAAACGGTGGGTTAATTGGATATTGTCGTCCTTGGTTTGTTTAATGGGTAAACACCGGAGATGTGTCCTCCACAATCTTTGGGAAACCCTAGGGAAATGTAGGAAAATCAATGTTTTGATGGGATAGCCACGGGATATTTATGGATTATTGATGATTAATATTAATGCGATAATGGAATATCAATGGCATTATGACTTAACATTGTTGTATTTGAGTAGATGCTTGTTGATTTTCCCAGTGGGACATCCACCATTTGGCGAATTTATAGATCAGCCATGGCGGAAAAGAACACGACGTTGCTTGTGGGGAGTCCCGCCTGTGAACTATGTTGGCAGCTGTGTTGCTGACATGATGCTGAAAGCTGCATGACATGGCATGTGTCAGGCTGATTTGGCGAAATATCACCTCTCACAGATGGAGGCGAGCAGAGCTTGAGGCGTATGGATTTCCTTTTTCTCGGAGAAGTCGCTGCATGCCTGACCCGAACCGGATAGCCATGCAAGTGGCCGTTTGCTAGCAGACTTCCCTCCAGCCACACCAGATTGGCGGTCTGGGTTTTCTTACCCTCTGGTAAACTACCATAACTATGGAAAATCACCATGTTTCATGGTAAATTTCACTATAAATGGTGATTTTCCATAGTTACGTTAAATTATCAGAGGATATCTGAAGCTGACTTGAAGCACGATGGACTTGATTCTACGTGGTGGTCGTCGCTTGGTGTCAGCCATGGAGCACAACACGGAGTTCCGAAGTTCTGTATCGGCACCTAAGGATAGGGGCACCACTCTTGTAGTTGACCACCAATCAAAATGATGGTGGTAACCAGCAACAATCAACAAAAAACAACAAAAAACTTCTGGGACACAAACATAGGCCGGGAGGGAATGGAATGGGGGAATGTGGTATGAAATAAGTCAGCATCCTACTGACCTACTGAACCGAAGCGAATCTGTAGTTAAAAGCTACCCTTCAGCAACTGACTCTATCAGTGGAACTGTTCTTCTTTTCGTTGATTTGCTAAAGATAGCCATTTGTTTCCCAATGGAAAATCCACTACGACTGGGGAATCTTATGTGGGAAGAGAGGTTTATTTTTGGGAGAGCTCCTCACACTGTCACACGCAATTCCAAGTCCTGAAGTAGATATATTCATATTCAGTAGAGCGTGTCTGAAATTTAGGGGCGAACCAATAAATCCCCTGGTTAGTTATAATTATCCTTTTTGAAAAAGCCTCATGTGATATGAAATGCCTTAATTTACTGTACATGTTACCATCTGGTTATGACTAACAGTTTGCCATGGAAAATCACCATTTTTAATAGGTAAACCTCTATAAATAGGCTATTCCCCATGGCTATGTTAAATAACCAGAGGGTATATCTACCAAAAACCCCAGTGAAATTGGAGTTATAAACCAACTTAGATAACAAACTGGGGCACCAACTTAGCTAACCAACTTAGCTAAATAGCAAGAGGGTATTTTCTCTCCAAAGCTGTCTGGTTTTTTCCCGTGGATCCTCCCGGCTTAATCCACCGGATTTCCAGGATGAGGTGGAAAAGGAAGAAGAGGACGGGATGTGAACAGCTACGGAATTTGGAAAACCATGAGTACCATAGGACATGCATGGGAAAATACAAGAAAATCCACTACTTGGGGAATCTATGGGAAGTACGTGTTATTTATATATATATGTGTGTGTGTTTGGGGTGGTTCCTTATGCCTTATTTTGCTGCCTGTTTTCCACTGAAAATTCGATGTCGAAACGATGGATCGTGCGAAAATATGGGAAGATCATCTTTTGAATGGCGTTTTCATTGGGAAAATCATCGATCATAGTGACTTTAGTGGGTTTTAAGTTGCCATGTTTCATTACCAGAGGGTATTGCTCCGGATCAATTTCCCATACTGAAACTTGGGGATCCAAAAGTTGGATCAACATTCAGGAGGAAACGTCCTTTGAATCTGGGTATGTTGTACAGGATGGGGCCCCCGAGATAGCGTTCAGTTGAGATATGGCAGTGGCTGAATTCTATGGTTTCTGGTAGATATAACGAACTAGATGAACTATACTTTTCATAGGGGTTTTTCAACCAACATAGCCATCACATGGGGGCCCATCCTGTAGCTCTCAAGAACCCCACCGTAAATGGCCATGATGTTTGGCGGAAAGCCCTAGTTTTTTCACGGTAAAAACGATGGTTTTCCGGTCGTAAACCCCGAAAAAAACCATCCATGGAGATCATTGGAGCCATTCAATTTGCCAGAAAAAGATCTGCTTGGTCCATTTATTTCCTATTGGGGAATATTGGATAATGATGGGATAATCATGATATATATATATATATAATGATATAGATATATCACTAACAAACACTGGGGTTGGTGGTTTGGAACATGATTTTTATGACTTTCCATAGGTTAGGAATTTCCTAATCCCAACTGACGAACTCCATCATTTTTCAGAGGGGTAGGTCAACCACCAACCAGAGATCCATTTGATGGGGGAAATCCCCTTGAATCTTCCCAATCACAATTTGTTCCCACCAACCCAATGGATGTTTCGTCAGGGATTTCGACGCACCTGCTCGGGAATTCCCCAGCAAGCGCAGGAGCTTCCTCCTCCACCTGTGTTGCATCTCAGCTGCATCCCAGATGAGTTAATGGATTCACATGTGTTCAGCCCCGCCAAGATGGGTTGGTTGGCACATACTCTGAAAGAAATGGATGGAGGGAACATTGATATACAGGAAACCCCGTTTATTGGGCTTGTAAATGCATGGTTGATACACCTACAGGTCGAAGGGTGCAGGCTGCCCATTGCTGCTGAGGTTGCCAGTTTTCCACCAGCTGACACTTGCCAGGGATTCAGGTGGTTTCTGGCGATGATTGGGACCAGGAAGATCAGGAAGTGGGTGCTTCAGTGGAGTGATTCAAGTGAAATTGTAGAGGTACCTTCCGGTAGTGAAACATTGCTGGAAAAGTCAACACTTATAATAGATTAGATGCTTTTCCATGCTTTTCCCAGTTATAAACTTCCATATGATTATAGGGGATTTCCCAGCCGCATTTGATGACACCGGAGGGTAACCATGGCTTGTGCATGTTTGTACCATCTAGACACCTGGGAGTGCTATGTTTCTAGGGGGAAGATTTTAGGAGCCTCTTCCTGTTCGGGAAGCATTTTTGGAGCCTTCAAATCAGAGATATTCCAAGCCATGGAGGAAAAGTCAACTTAAGTGTCTGGTGAACGTTTACATAACTATGGAGAATCACCATGCTATTCATGGGACAATTCACTTTCTATGATGATTTTCAATAGCTATGTTGACATAATCAGAGGGTATGTGTCTTGTAAGCCATGGTCCTAGCTTTGCAGAGGTAAGTTGCTACAAGGTGATGCACCCCGAGTTATGGCGATGTTAGTTTATAAGCCCCATTAAGTATAGGTACCATCTGGTTATTTAACATAGCCATGGAAAATCACCATTTTTAATACGTAAACCATCTAGAAATGGGCCATTTTCCATGGCTATGTTAAATAACCAGAGGGTATAGCTACCAAAAAAGCAAGTGAAATTGGAGTTATAAACCAACTTAGCTAACAAACTGGGGCACCACCTTGTAGGTCTGCAAGGGAGGTAAGTTGCTATACTTATTAACATTTATTAACTAGTTCGTTAGATCCCCCAGCAATGTGCACCAGCCTGTCGCGAGCTATCGTGAGCCAAGCTGTGCTTCCCCCGTGGCCCTTGGAGGAACCATGGGGAATGTAGTTTATTGGATTTTACGATGGAATATTGGACAATGATTGGATAATCATGATATATATATAATATAGAGATATAGAATGATATAGATATAGATATATATATATATATCACTAAGAAACATGAGTGTATTGGATTTCACGAACAACAATTATATGTCATGAGGATACAATGTGATACACTTCATGGGGTGATGGGATAATCATGGGATGCCGTCGACACGTGGAACATCCTGGAACTATGGCAAGGTGGCAAGCTGGGAAATCCCAAAAAATGATGGTTGATAGCTGGAAAAATCATCAAAACCATGGGAAAATCTAGGAACATCTACTGTCAATGGAGGTTTATAGCTGGGGATATCAACTATAAATGATGAATTTCCCAGTGCTATGTTTGATTACAGGATCGCCCTTATTTCTCCTGGGGGAATCTATCTTGGGAACGTTTGTTTTTGTAGCCACCCTTTGAGCAAGTCCGGGCAAATCCTCGTCTTGTTGCATAGCAAACCATCCAACTCAAATTCAAGGTATGAAGCCAGTTTTGACCCATCTGACACATTGAACTCTCGTTTGTACATGGTGGATTTTCCAGCAAGCCCAGTTTGATGACACCGGAGGGTAAATCATGATATTCCCATGATGTTCCCATGAAATACCACCATTTGTGGTAGTTTTATCAAGTTATAAACTATCATGTTATCAAATAGCATGTTTCCAGGTCAACCTTGGATGGGTACAAACTAATCCTTTAGTCTTTTTGTATGGGATTATCCACTTTCACCAGCTAAGAATTTGTCATTTTTTGCAGGGTGTCTAAGATTGGTCATGTTGTGGTAGTTATACCAAGTTACATTCCATTTTTCATAGATTGATGTACTGCAACTATCATTCCATCATTATCCAATATCTAGTTATTCCCATGATATTCATGATACCCACTGGTAATTTAACCTAGCTATTGAAAATCATCATATTTAATGGTTATATCATATATGAATGACCATTTTCCATAGCTATGTTAGTTTACCAGGGGTATTCTTCTTTGGGTGTTTGACTGGAACCTCCACGTCGCGGTGTCGCGACCTCAGGACGCTTTCGCGGGTGCTGCACCTGAATTTGTCTCAGACTTGGTCGCCCGGAAATCGGCACCGGATGGAGACCACACGTGGATTTGCTGGGGATGATAGGAAAATCATGGGAAATATATAGGAACATATTGGTAAAACATGGGAACACCTAAGAACATCTACTATAATGGGTGTAAAACAATGTCATAAACCACCCATTTGGGAATGGTGTATACCACCTATGAAATTGGGCATGGTTTATTATTGTTTTACCAACATTACATGGTTTTCCTGTAATCAATCTACTTAGATTTGGGTTTGTTTGAAATAGGGCATCCCCCATTTCAATGGAGTATCATCATTATAAACCTGTTAAAATGATTTACCCTCTCGTTATTTAACATAGCCATGGAAAATGGCCCGTTTATAGATGATTTACCTATTAAAAATGGTGATTTGGCTATGGGTACCCCCTATCTTCAGACAAAGCCATTTGCTGAGTGGACGATGGGAAAATATAGGAACATTACCCTCTGGTAAACTAACATAACTATGGAAAATCACCATTTTTAATGGGAGAACTCACTATAAATGGCAATTTTCAATAGCTATGTTAGTTTCGCTATACAAATTTATGACAGAGACACTTCTGAATTCAGATACACTGCCAGAGGAAATTCGAAAAAACACATGCGTCGCAAATGATTCGACGCTCCGAGCCATCCGCAATAGTATCCTAGAGTTTGGTCGTGCAGGGGTGAAAACTGACGAAGTCAGTACAACGTACGAGTGTGCCGGCAGTGAGAAGCAACCAGGCATACACTACTGTGGGCGCAGCAAAATGGTTACATTTGTGAGCCTGGAAAGAGATACTTCGGCCACAAGTGGATCTCACACTGACCTGGCGACCTACCAGTTTTTGCATTACTGTCTTGGACAATTGGACCCCATCCAGGAGGTCTGTCGTCCGAACGTCCAGGGATTTACCAAATGCTTCCATTTGATCTTCCCCTCGAATGTCATCAAACATGGCTTGGTGCAAAATCTGTCATAGTCGATGAAGTTCAGGCCCCATGGTTTCTTCGAATGCCGGAGGACCATGACTTTTTTCGAATGGAGACCAAATCACCAAGCAAACGTTAACCCATATTTTTCATTAACCATCATTAACCCATCATTTTTTGATCATTAACCAAACATGGAGACCAGAATGATGCTTAATGATCAAAAACTGTGCTATCACTCGCATGTGGGATGAAATTGATTCTGGATGAATGATAAGACCTGGTAGGAATTTAATGGAACGACCTTTGGAGGAAGCATGGGTTGATCATGCAAGTTGCAGGTACGAAATTCAAACCTCTAGGCATCCCGGCAACCAACTAGTTTTGAATTTGCTTCCAAATATCCAGCTGCCAAAAACATGTTCCAAACATGCAGCCCAGACTCTCTTCCGACTCTAAATGCAGGCCTCGAGATACGGACAAACAAAAAAAAGTTCCAAGCAACTTGGTAGGAAAGCAACAAACCACCAAGAGCTTCACCTGGGTTTGGTTAAGGTGTTGTTAATTTTCCCAATGGCAAATCCACCATCTGGGGAATCTATCATGTCAACCTCCCATTAGTAAAGCACTAAAATGTTTAATTTTGGGGCTATCATTTTAGTAGCCAATCATCATCATGGCAATTATCATTCACTGGTTGGTTGGTGGTTTGGAACATGTTTTATTTTTCCATTCAGTTGGGAAATGTCATAATCCCAACTGACTTTCATATTTTTCGGAGGTGTAGGTCAACCACCAACCAGTTCATTTTAGGGGACCCCCAAAATTCATCAACCAGGGCTGATTCATCCGGGGTCGTCCCAAGGCTGTCTCCCAGTTCCGTACGCGCTTTGTCGAATTCCTTGCCACAGACACAGATCGAGGTCATCAAGCTCGATGCGTCTTGGAGGAAAAGTTGAACCCTCTGGTGTCATCAAACATGGCAAGTCGGAAAGTACAAGATGGGGCCCCCCTTCGATAGCGTTCGCCTGATGTTTTGTGGCTGATTTCTATGGTTTATGGTAGATATAACTATATAAAGCAATAACTGTGGGGCACCATCCTGTATCAATGGAGTTCTTTTTTCATGTGGAATCATCATTAAACTGAGGGGTTTATCATCGCCATGATTGATTGCCAGTGAAACTATGGATTTTACAGAGACCTGACTGGTCAAACAGTTCAGATAGTAAGGTTCTCATTGTCATCCATGCTATCCCACATTCTGGTTGAGGAAATCAGTAGAATCATGACTTCAAGTGTACATCAGCTTGTGATGCTTGTATATCACTTATGTATACATATATATATATCATATTATATAAATCCATAAATATATATACACATATCACTGATCCTCTTTCCATGGATGTCATTAGATGTAGCCATCCCAGCATTGGCAGGACATGTGGCAGATTCTAAGCTCAAGACCTGTCGATTCAGCCAAGAATCCTTGGGGGATTGCACAGAAAGTTATATAGCCACACTTTGGCTGGTTTAATGTTCTAGGTTCCCAATTCTCCTCATAAATTTTATTTATTGGCTCTAAATCCCTATTTTGTGTTTGGTAATTAAGTTGATGGTTGCTGTGACTAAGGGCCAACCCCGCAAAGGTACCCGCTGTTGATGGTTAACAACCCCCAAAGAAAAGAGCCTCGTTCAGTTGGGTTCACATTCTCGTTGGGCGCCCATGGACGGTGATAGCTCACACCACCGCAGATACTGCCCTTGAGATATTTTGGCAGCTATTGTGCCATAATCAAGGAATTTGAAATCCTGATGACCCAACCATGATTTAGGGCATTCTTCCACGGCTCACATGCTCGATGATACCAGTCGTTTTAAATCCCTTCAACGTGACATGAAGCACCACTCCTGAAACCATGCTTTACTAGGAGATAATTCCACATGTTTCGAACGTACATAGGGGATGCTTACTATTAGGAGGATGTGATTATTTTTAATGCCCATATAATCCCTTCCTCCTAATACTAAACGTCCCCCTAATACTAAAAACAGGCATCCATCTCCAATTTCCGAAAATTTCAGTTTGGCCAATTTGACTTTTAATTGATCCCCTTTAAAAAACAATTCAAAAATCAACCTACCATTTGTGGGTTCTCCCCCCTAATACTAAAAACTAATTCATCCCGGGGTGTTTAGTATTAGGGGGGCTAGTTTTTAGTATTAAGGGTTTTAATTTAGTATTAGGGGTAAGCTTCGAACTGCCATTTTTGGCAATATTTTAATTGCGTTATATAAGGAAATTTAATTGATTTTGAGATCGGAAAAAATAGTTTTTAGTATTAAGGGTTTTAATTTAGTATTAGGGGTAAGCTTCGAACTGCCATTTTTGGCAATATTTTAATTGCGTTATATAAGGAAATTTAATTGATTTTGAGATCGGAAAAAATAGTTTTTAGTATTAAGGGTTTTAATTTAGTATTAGGGGTAAGCTTCGAACTGCCATTTTTGGCAATATTTTAATTGCGTTATATAAAGAAATTTAATTGATTTTGAGATCGGAAAAAATAGTTTTTAGTATTAAGGGTTTTAATTTAGTATTAGGGGTAAGCTTCGAACTGCCATTTTTGGCAATATTTTAATTGCGTTATATAAGGAAATTTAATTGATTTTGAGATCGGAAAAAATAGTTTTTAGTATTAAGGGTTTTAATTTAGTATTAGGGGTAAGCTTCGAACTGCCATTTTTGGCAATATTTTAATTGCGTTATATAAGGAAATTTAATTAATTAATTAACATGACTTCGATTTGGTTCCCTAATAATAAATACCCCCCTAATACTAAAAACTACCTGCCGTGTTTTGTATTAGGGGGGGGGGTTTAGTATTAGGAGGAAGGGATTATATATATATAATATGTCCGTTCATGTCCCACATCATTTTCATAATCCCTTTATATGTCAATTCTAACAGATGATAACCCAACCATGAATCAACCATCATCCCATTGCTTAAGCCACACTACCCATGTCCAGGTTCCGTCCACCGTAACGGCGCCCGCCCTAAGGAGTGTGGATTGAGCGATGACGCGGTGGAGGAGTTTCTTGGAGTGATATTACAAACAGATAAAGAAATCGCCAACTATGATGAGTATAGCTATATATACATATATATATATACATATGTGTGTGTATATTTAAACGGGGTTCCCACACACTGTCCGCCAACCACCGGCCCCCTGCAGATGGAGCATATAGTGCAGTGAGAGATGCTCTGAGCAAGGGACTTGGAGACAAACCACCTGTTCAAGAACAGCATCTTCTAGCCCTCGATCAAGCTTTTTCCTTGCAGGGGCTATGGACAGCCAACTGGAACGTGACGTCACCACGACGAAGGAAATATTGCGGCTTCCCCCAGTTTCCGCCATCTTCGACAGGATGCAGGCGGAGAAGCGCGCCCAGGAGCGTGAGGCATTGGCGAAAGCATGTGAGGAAGCAAGGAGCCTCATGCAGCTTGGTGTAGACTCCATGGTAATTTAACATAGCTATTGAAAATGGCCATTTATAGGATTTTCCCATGAAAAATGATGATTTTCCATAGTTTTGTTAGTTTACCAGAGGGTACCCTCTGGTAATTTTACAATTGGAAATGGCCATCTGGTTGGTGGTTTGGAACATTTTCCATATATTGGGAATAATAACCCAGTTGAGGATGCGCGTCGATTCCATGGGCTCTGCCCGTGTGACAGGGGCATGCCTGGCATTGTCAGCTTCCCAAAGCGGATTCCCGACACACGGGCCTGCTGTTACTCTCGTGAAGTTCCAGGAAGAGACAGCCTCCTTCGACACGCAGCAGACACAGGGCCTAAAATCAGGCATAACCCATATGCTCCATGTATGGTATATTTACCTGCGTTTATATAGGTGATTTTTAGGGCAAATGTTGGTAAATATTCCAAACATGGAGCATCTGGGTAACCGTGTTGCAGGCGGCAGGCGTGATTAATCCACCAGTTGACCGATATTACACGAGCGGTCACGAGCGTCTCTCGTTCCAATTTCGCCGAAATCGAATTCTTACAAAAGGCTGGAACGCAGAAAGCATTGGAATGGCAAAGCCGATACAACTCGGCGCTGTCTGATGCTGTGACAGAAGGCTCCAAAATGCTCTTTAAGAGCTGAGTGATTTCTGGAGGAAATCCAGAGGCCAGCAATATCAGCGAATAGCTGATCTAGGCCACTAAATGCATGGAACTTTGGGTGCTTGCTGAAAGGTGAATTTCTCTTGGGAGTACGGGCTGATCGGAAAAAGAAAAGCGTTGGGGATTGTATGTCCCTGAAAAAATATATATATTGGGAATAATACCATCAACTGACTAATATTTTGCAGATGGGTTCAAACCACCAACCAGCCATTTATAATTAGTTGATTTGCCGGTTAAAAATTGTGATTTTCCATAGCTAGGTTACAATACAAGTATGGCCCGAAATACCAATTAAGTACTAACAAACCCCATTTATGGAATGTATAATCCCATAGGCATAACCAGTTATAACCATTTACATTTTTTCAACGGCCACTAAACTGTTGGTTTGCGTTGGTTTGCAACAGGATTACCCTCCGATCATCAAACATAGCAGTTGGAAATCATCCATTTATAGGTGATTGCCCGAAAAAGAAAAAATGCCATCTATAAAGGATTGTATACAAGAGGGTAAGCGGGGATTTTCCATTGCCACATTTGATTACCAGAGGATAAGTGGGGCCTATTGGCACAATGGATACAGTATATACATGATGATATGTCATGATATATCTACTTTAGGATAGGTTTTTAAACCGACTTAGAACTTGGAGGCTCCTTCCTGTATAACATCACCACGACGTCAGCAGAAATCCTGGTTAGTCAGGATACTATCCCAAAATTACCTTTTTCAAGGATGTTAAATTATGATAATTAAGCCAGAATATCATATTTGGTGACACTTGAGCATCCAGATATACTCCATTCCCATATGATTTCAGCGTGGCTGTGTGGTATGTTAATCTTTTGCTGTAAATTGAGCTATTAGACTTTAGATTTAGAATGTTTTTTTACTTTTCAGCATTTAAGAGTTATGTTTTTTTGGAATGCGGGGAGAAACCCAATTTTGGTTGGTGAATTCTGATGGGAAATTCAAACACAGGCCATGGGCTGCCAACATCAGGTTGGACTTTGTCCAAAACATACTATTTGGGAGACTATGTATGCCATGGTGACTCAAAAATGACTATATACCCATAATGGGTGACTCAGAAAATGGAGAAGAATGGTGACTATGGTAACTTTTTTGACTAACTTTATATACCCATTATGGTGACTCAGAAATGTGTCTTCCAACTATGAACTATTTTGACTAACAGTTGATCAATTGGGAGATGTCCAAAATGCAGCCGGGTCATACCAACTTTTTCATCTTCGATGATGCGAATGAACCAATGACAACCGCAAAAAAGTCACCAACGAGGATTAATGGGACCCCTTTTGATCACAACCAATGGGTAGCACCAAAAAGACCCAGAAAAGATAAATCCAATCATAAAATTCTTGGAAATGACTACCGTTTTCTGCATCCTTTATCTGGTTGGTGGTTTGGAACATGTTTTGTTTTTCCATATATTGGGAATAGTCATGCCAACTGACTAATATTTTTCAGAGGGGTTGAAACCACCAACCAGTTATGTATGTGACAAAAAACATTCCCATTATTGTGCGGAAATCACTGCCCCATGGGTAGTGGTGTACCAAGGTTGGCCCTGCAGGGCTTGTTACGCAGCCGCCTCTTGCTGGAAGTGTCCTTGCGACGCAACCAGTGCCTTGGTGTCAACGAACAACCACGAGGATCAGGTGCCAAAGATCGTTGAAGAATTGTTGAGTAATAAAGATAAACCATGGTTAATAAGATCAGTTAATATTGCAATGGCTGATGGTTAATAATGGTAATTAATGGTTGATGGTCAATTAAATTATATAATAATCTGCACAAGATAAGTGGTTGGTTAATAGTGGCTATTAATGATATTGCATGTTTAACCATGGTTGATTGTTAGTAACTGCTTATGACTATTTACTAGGTTAACCAACTGGATGGTTAGAAACTAATCCTCTGGTCTTTTGGTATGGGATTATCTACGTTCACCAGCTAAGAATCCAATTGTTTGTAGGGTATCTAAGATTGGCAATATTTTGGGGCCAACACCAACAACAACCAAACAAGCATCAAATGATATTCAATAACTTCACTTTTTCGCTGTATCGTTGGGCATTTCTTGCAAGGTACGAACGATTTTTCTCACTATAGTAAGGGTGCAGTAACCATCTGATCTTTGGGGTGCCATTTTTGCTGCCGAAGCTGGATGGAAGACTCAGCCGAATCGCCAGGTTGAGCGGCAATCCTGGTGCCATCAGCACGCTCTTTCACGCTGTGCGCATTCACGTCACCCGGTGACCATGGGGTCTGTGGTGACATTGTTGGACCACGGGGCCGGTAGATGTCAGTAGGGCCAACCTTTATCCCACTACCCTCTGGTAAACATACAAAACGGGTAAATCAACGAACTAATTCAATGCTATTTTCAAGAGCAAACTGTTGGTTTACCAGAGGGTAATTACATGGATTAATCACCATTAAGTCACCATTTTCCTATGGTTTTCCTATGGTTTTCCAATGGGAATCACCATTAAAAGCTGAGCCTTTAGAAATATCTTTACATTAAGCTGGGTAAATTATTACGACCTCACGGCGACCTCACTGGAAATCATAGTTAGTAAGGGGAATCATCCCAAAATGGCCTCAAGATTCAGGTTAGTGAAATATCATAATTTACCCAGATATATTGATAGTTATGGGGAATGATCATAGTTATTATTGAAATATTATAATTTTACCCAGATATATTCAGGTTATAGAAATATTTCCCACTATATTCCCATTAAAATCCTATTAAATCCCAATAAATCACAATTATTACACCATTATCTCATCATTATCCCATCATTATCCCATTCATCACCTATAGAAATATGTTTTAATTAAGGGATGGCCCAAGGGTTGTCTGAGCAACCGAAATCATGGCGGAAATGATCCCCAGAGAGCGACATCGCGAGGTTTCCGCGTGATTTTTCGCGGCAGGTGAATCCCGTGAATCCGCGTGTTTCAACATGGTGATTACCCTTGGAAAACCATAGGAAAACTATAGGAAAACCCTTGGAAAACCCTTGGAAAACCATAGGAAAACTATAGGAAAACCATAGGAAAACCATAGGAAAATGGTGATTTAATGGTGATTAATCCATGATTTTCATGGTGATTCATGGTGATTACCCTTTGGTTATGACTAACATATCCATGGAAAATCATCACGTTTAATAGGTACATCAGTACATCATCTATAAATGGACAATTTTCCATGGTTATGTTAAATAACCAGAGGGTAAATCCCCTGGAATTTTCAACAAATCAACGGCCAGCTTCGATCACTGGAGTATGGTTTGAAACCAATTAACGGAAAGCCGGAAAACTCTCGATTTGAGGCTGAGTTTTTGACTTGACCAACAGAGTTGGAGTGGCTCTGGATAAGCTAACGATACAAGCTGGTGCCCCCCCAGGTATGTTTGTTAGTTTTTAACCCCCATGAAAAGTAGTTCGATATATCTACCATAAACCCAAGTGAAATTGGAGTTATGTGAACCCCAACTTAGCAATTCCGAACTGGAGCAGCACCTTGTATGGAAGACCAATGCGGAAACCCCCAGAGACGGTACAGAGCTAAGCCATGCGGTTCGCTTTCTCCCATAATGGAGCCTCTTCTTCTCCCAAGGAGGTGAACTGGTCAGATAAGTAGTTTTCGGTTTGGGGGTAACAACAAGTGAGGTGCCATTTCTGGATCAATTTCTTTCGGTTGTTGACCATATTTGTGTTAATTCATCCATGTTTGATTGGGCTCATGGAGAAGCAATAGGGAATCACTGAATCACCCTAGTACTTTTGTTGGGGGAGCTATTTAGGAGGTATTCTGACTTGGATGAACACCCTATACTGAAGTCTCACTCTGCTGCAGAGTCCTATACTTTGCCAGCTGATCAACCCCGGTCAGGGTTGGGCGGGACCCTTCAACCACCATACCATTGAGAATTTATGGCGATGGTGCAGATGCGCAGCAACATGTCGAAATCTTGACGATCCTCCCCTATTCTGTGAAGTTCCTGTTCTACATTGGACAGTAGGATTGCGTCATCATATCATGGAAGTCCACTGGGCTGTCAGCAAAACCTATGGGATCAGCCAAAACCCCCCTTCACCTACTAGCCCAATATACAGAAGTGTTGTTCTTTGGTGTAAGATATTGTAACTAGTTGCAACCCACCATGTTTAGCTCATTTTCTGTCATAAACCATGGCTTTTCCATATTGTTTTCACACTTTACTGCAGGGTAATGATCCAAACTATCATGTTTCTGGAAACTCTTGGTAGCTCCAACGGTCTCTTTAGAAAATGTGGCATAGATGTCCTTTTCCCATTGGTTGGTTGATGAATAAAGAGGTTTTTTTTTCCAGAAACCCCTTTAACAACAGGTTTGTTTGATGGTAGATGGTATACCAGTCACCGGCCCAAACCTAAAATTTTCCAAAAGGAAATTATCTTTCTGGTGCTAAACGTAGGGAATGGATTTGTTGCTGGGGGTTGCTGGGATGATTATTGATAGTTAGCCAGTGGATCATTCCCGAAAAATCCCTGCTAAGTAGCACCAGTAAGATGATCTCTATTCACCATTTAATATCCCATTAATCATCATTAACCACTGGGAGTGTTCAATGTTGTCCAAAAGGGCATTATCTTGCTGGTGCTAAACGTAGGGAGTGGATAGTAAGTAATATATGATAGTTTGTTGGGTTCTGGATTTAGGATGGTTTAACAATGGATATATATATATATATATATATACATAAATATATATATATATCATATAGGATGGTTTAACAATGGATATATATATATACATAAATATATATATATATATATATCATATAGGATGGTTTAACAATGGATATATATGTATATATATACATAAATATAAATATATATATATATATATCATATAGGATGATTTAACAATGGATATATATATATATACATAAATATATATATATATCTATCATATAGGATGGTTTAACAATGGATATATATATATATACATATATATATATATATATCATATATCAAATATCATATATCATATATCTATATCTATCTATCTTCTGGTTGGTGGTTATTGAAATGTGGATTCCTTCACCGCTCCACTAAGGCCAGGATTGCACATCTGGACTTGGCGGAGAATCTCATGCACCCGGAAGCTGGGGATTTTTCGGTCGACCAGTGGTCAAACCTTGGGTTTTTGAGGGCAACCACCATAAATCACCATAAATCATAGGAAAACCATGGAAAAACCATTGGAAAATGGGGATGTCATGGGGATTAACCCCAACTGGCTGGTGGTTTGGAACATTTTTTCCATAATATATGGGAACAATCATCCCATTTGACTAATATGTTTCAATATGGTTAAAACCACCAACCAGTTCTCTAAAAATAGTGACAAATAACGAACATTTATCTTCTTGGGGGGTTGAGAGAGAGATTTCCCCCTTCCTGAAGGGTACTTCCCGATTGGGCCCATGTTCAACCCAACCTCGCACTAGTCCCATTTTTCACCCCAAGAAAGCATGGGGATGTTCCTCGGCACTGCCTTGCCCTTGTGGCAAGAAACCGAGACGAAGCCAGGGTGAATGGCCATTTCATGGTATACTAATGAATTATTAATCCATATTAATCCTTTAAATATATAATGCCAAAAAATCATGGGAAATATAGGGAAACGATGGTGAAAATGGAGGTTTTCATGGGAAAATATGGTGGATGAAGGGTATATCTTCATATATCTTCCATGATATCTTCCATAATAATGGGATGATAATGGGATGATAGAATATCAATGGGATGTTGAGTTAACATCGTTGGAATTCACGGGATATGTTCTGGATGAATTTGATCATGACCTCACGTCGTGACGTCACTGGAATAGTAAAGGGAACCATCCCCAAATTGCTGGTTGATTATGTGCCATACATGGAGGGAACTTCTATTTTCACCTAATTATGTTGTGTGCAGCTCAGATAGGCTTTGAACAATTCAACCACCCAACACGTCATGGGAACGGACCATGCAATGCGTGAGAGCATCGTTACCACAGCACGTTACCACAACCAGAAACGTGGCATTCAAAAATGCCATCAAGACATATGGCGGATGTCATAGTGGACTGCGGCGAAAGACCATGTATTCCTATGACGCACTGCTGTTGATCCGCCGATGTGCTGGGAACCTACCTCGAATGGGAGTAATGTGGTTAAAACAACCATAAACCACCCCACTTTTGATGGTTTATACCACCCATCTATGTTGATTTTGAGGATGGTTTATGACATTGTTTTAACCACATGATGTTTTATTTTTGGCAGGCTACGAAAATCCAAGTTGACCGGACTTTGATTTTAATCACCAGGCTTATTCAAGAGTGGAAGGATCATCTCCGAGGAAAATAGCCCCAGATGGATCTAACCATAGCCCACCAGAACTAACAATCCAGGGTATTTAATAGATTTAACAAACATAGTTGGAGTTTGAGTAGATTTGTCTGGCCGATTGTTGTTTGCTATATAGTCTAACTTTGCAGGTGTGGTATCCACTCGGTGTAAATGATCCACGAAGTTCCAATAACTTGGTCCGTTGCTAAACGAACCGTTGTTTTGTTGGTACTAACCTAACTATATTATATTGCCATTCAATATGATACAAGTACTAAGTACTACCCTCCAGTAAATTAACATAGACCCTGGTAGATAGGGGTTGGAAGATTAGTTTCCTCTAAAAAATGGTGATTTTCAGGGTCTATGTTAATTTTCCAGAGGGTATAACTCGCTAAAATTATATAGTCATCCCAAGTATCAATGACCAGCAAGTCATTCGAATCTGGTCGCTGGGAAACCGAGGAATGTGTGCCTGAACTCTCAAAATTGCTGAGCTGCTTGGACGGTAAGATTTGTGCGGATCGAGTTGCCATTCGATCCAACTTGGGAGATTAATTCAATGGATTGGTTCAAGGGAAAATTTACAGGAAAGCCCCATGTTTAATGGGAAAATCTTTGGTTTCCTGTAGATTTTCCCTTAAACCAATCCATTGATTAATGGGATATCTCTGGAAAACCCTGAAGAAATGTGGGAAAATCAACCTTTTCATGGGATATGAATGGTATATTCATGGATTATTGATGATTAATATTAATGCGATGATGGAATATCAATGGCATTATGACTTAACATTGTTGGGTTTGTTAAGTCGATTTTTTGTTATTTCCCGTATGGAAAATGACTTGGAAAATGCACATCACGTGGTTCAATTTTTGGTTCATTTGGGTTCAGCAGATCCAAAAAAAAACTTCAAGTTGGCGATCCAAAATTGGATACCCTCTGGTAATTTAACATAGCTATTGAAAATGGCCCATTTATAGTTGATTTACCTATTAAAGACGGTGATTTTCCATAGAGGGTAAATTTGCTGGCAAGGATTGGGGCATTCATCCACATTCATCCCTGGCAGATCGATGTTCTGCGGATAGCTGCGATAGCATATTTCCGATCAAAATAGCTATGAAAGAAATACTGGCAATAGGCTTTTCTATCAAAAATAGCTATTCGAAATAGCTGTTAAAATTTCTCTCATATTAGCTTTCCTATTGCTAGCTGCTTGATTTTTCTAGAAGTGGAGCCAGTTGCCCAGTTGCCAGTTGCCCAACCCCCTGAGGTGATAGCATCCTGACATTGCGTCAAAAACCACTCGAAAACCGAAGTCACAACCAGTGGTTTCAAACTTGGGATGAAAAGTACACCAACCATGACGCACATCACTTAATAACTTGGTTGATTAAGTATGGTGTATGAGGGACAAAGTGAGTTTTTATGTGGTGTTTTTGAACCAACTTATGACTAGGGGCCTCCCCTTGCAGATGATGGTCCTGTTCGACATGTTGATTTTCCGCTTTGGAAGAGAATTCGGACCATCATCAGCCAGAGTCTCTTTCCAAATTTTGCACATGTCCTGTACATCACTGCTGTCATGATCCCTTCTCCGTAATCCAAAATGAAAAACTACCTCCCGAAAATCAAATCACTCTCCAGTTTATATATGTTTATATTTGATTTTGAGGGGCCAGTTAGGGTGGATGTAAACATGGGAGAAAGGACCATTAACAGTTTCTGTCAACTTTCAGCATCCGATTTACAGATCGAATGCACCTCGTCTACGAGGAGGGTCTCTCCTGCTTTTCATTTCCCTCACGGATGCCCAGCAGTATGCCGACTTTGCACTCCGCAACACTGTCGAGTTTGGCCAGGGCTCACTGACATGGCTCCAGCGGAATGATTTGCTCACGAGGTCTAAGATGGCATCCCTGATCAGAAGGGGGTATACCGGAGGCTCAGCACTGACAGAAGCGGTGAAGCAGTGCCACCTAGAACCTAGAATGGCATGCCCTTGCCCTCCAGGCGTCTTGGACCCCGGAGCAGGGGCGTGCCTCTGGGCCCAAGACCCGCCAAGTGCCCGAACCTGAGCTGCCTCCAGCTCCCAAGCGGCAGAGGATGGTGAAGCCAGATGGCCTGCGCAAGGGAGCGGAAAAACAGCTGGGCCACCGTGCCACCCCTTCCATTGACCCTTTGACCTTCAAGAACTTGCAGAAGTTCAGCAGTCACAACGGGAGGCGGCCACCTGGGCGCCAGCGGGGGCCTTGCTTCCCAATGATTGCGGAGTACGTACTACACCAGTGAGATCCATTTCTGAGAGGGAGGATTCCGATTAGGAACGATGGTTAAACAATCATCAACATATATCAACATCATTAGGCCCCGGGTATGGATGAGCATTATATCGGGGGAATCAACCAAGCCTCCGAAGCTGATGCCCTCAATGATGGTGAAGATTCACCTGATCGAATAGCCCATTTTTCGAGAGGTTTTTGCAGTAGGGGAGAGCATCTAAGATATCTAAGTCTTTGTGAGATATACCCTCTGAAAATTTAACATAACTATGGAAAATCACCCGGTCTAAATAGTGAATTTTCCCATGGAAAATGGTGATTTTCCATCGTTTTTCGTATGTGAACCAGGCCGGGTACCTTATAACATCTTTTTTCACAAAGGTGTTTGCGTCTCCACGATTCACCACGATTCGAGGACATTCGGTGTCCTTGCTGTGTCTCCATCTGCTGGGATGTGAGGATAGTCAAGTCGAGGACCTTGAGAACGGCTGGGGGATCTGGAAAAGCATGGGGTACCGGGCCCATATTTGGTGTGTCATCACGTTTGATGACACCGGATGGTAACCGTGTAACCGAAGCAATTTTTTTAGGTGGTGAGCCCCAAAATTGGGATTTGCCCAGCAAGGGGGTGGCATTTGACCAACACGAACAGAATTAGGGGGTCCAATCAACTTGCTTTGCTGGGCCATTTTGGTTTGACGTTTCTCTTTTTATTTTAAGTATTCAGAATCATGTCTGATGGTTTTTTCGATGCTGATGTGGTTGGCTTATGGTAGCACCAGTCACCAGTTCTCACTGAAAAGTCACCTCTGATTCTCATGTTTTGCCTTGGTTCTTTGGAGCATGCGTGGTGAATTCGTGCGCATCCCGAAGATTGGAGTTGTTCATCGCTAAGCTGGGAACCACGACTAGTCATCGTAAGCATATGAAACCAGTAACAGGTTACCCCCAGTTGATTTTTCACAAAGCAGATGGAACCAGCAAAATATCTGCAGCCAAAATCATCGGCTCCTACTTGGTTGTTTGTTAATAGCCCCCAGGAATGCAAATCCATTCAGTTCGATGATTTTCCCAGCAAACCTCAATGATCCTCAATTTAGTTCTGAGAGTTGCCAGCCATGCTGACACTGGAGGATCCAGCCTGGATATACCATCAAAATTCCACTACAGTATTATCCCACTGCATCTCAGTACATCCCATAAAATCCATTAAAATCCTATAATTTGTCTTGGCCCATGTCCTAGCAGACTTCGCCAGAGCCGCCATTCATATGCCTCAGTTTCATGCACCATCGAAAGCTTGAGAGTCAGGCATTTGTTTCAAAAGGATATCAAAATGATATCCTCGGATGGCATCAGGTGGATAATCATCACAGCTTCTTGCTCAGCCCTGGTGACCCAAATGCTTTGACTTCTAGCTTTCAACTTCTCAAACTCAGCATCTGTCAGAAACTTTCACTCACCTTTTCTCCCAAGGCTCTGTGCAACCGCATGCGGAAACACTGGGAAATCGAGTCGACGCCGATAAACATGTCCAGATTGGACAGGCCGATGTTGATTACTGTTGATTTGTGCATCGCTCCATGAAATGATCCGCAGTGGAAGATGTGGAAGGCAGCAAGCGGTACTACCGAGTAGTTGGCTTTTGCCCGAAACACTTGCGAAGAAGAGTGGACACCACGCCATACTTGAAGGACAAGGCTTGGCAACTTGGATGGCAGACTCCAGCCATGACATTGCGGCCAAGATCCCATTTTTCCATGAGCCAAATCACCTTCAAAAATCACCATGTTCGTTGGTGATTTCTCCCCAATCAATATCAATCAATGGCAAGTTATCTATAAACCGTCTATTTTCCATGATGATACATTTCCATACGTGTCATTGGAATGAAATATCCCAGTGGATATCAGTGATATCCCAATTTTCAAATATCCCAGAATCCCAATGAATAATCTATATTGAAGTGATATTTAAATGGCTGGTTGGTGGTTTGAAACATTTTTATTTTCCATAATATATGGGATAATCCTTCCCATCGACTTCATATTGTTCAAGATGGTTAAAACCACCAACCAGAATGGTATTAGTGGCAACAAAACTATGGAAAATCATGATTTTTAATGGGCAAATCAACTATTTCTATGGCCATTTTCAATAGCTATGTTAAATTACCGGATGGCAATTATGGATTAATCACCATTAATCACCATTAATTATGGATTTTTGCTGGTTAAATCACAATTTTCCTATGGTTTTCCAATGGGACCCTGATTGGTATTTCACAGCATGCCCTGGGAAGATATCCCCATCCCAGCATCAGCTCACCCTGGCCATGGCGCCATGGCGACACCAGGACACGGTGGCCATCCAAGGGGCCTGCTACCGCTGGGTGGCGCAGAATGCCGCAGTGAACGAGCACCTGGAGCCTGAGGCGTGCGTCTAGGGGTTTGGAAGGGCAGATCCAAGTGGAATGAACATGGAGGTTAGCCCCATTTTCGGAAACCTCCATGTAATATATATATATATATATATATACATATATATATGTATGTATATATATATGTGTATGTATATATGTGCGTGTATAATATATATATATATAATTTATATATATATATATATTTGTATCCATATATTATGAGATATTATATGCCCATAGATAGGTGATAAATGTTGATAACATATACATGGGGTTATGCCCATTCATATGCCATGTTTGGATATACAGGTTCAGTAAATCATCATGTTTATCATCTATAAATGGGACATTCTCCATTGCTACGTTATATAACCAGAGGGTAAATAGAATGAACATTGGACAACCATGGAAACCATAGGAAACGCGAATGGTGCATATTAGAACATCCACTAATTATAGATGGAGGGGTCTAGCTGGGAAACTCATCTATACACTTGCTGGTTGGTGGTTTGGAACATGTTTTATTTTTCCATACTGGGAATAATCATCCCAACTGACGAACTCATATTTTTCAGAGGGGTAGGTCAACCACCAACCAGCTTGGATTTGCTTAAGATGATGCGTTATTTGTTCAAAGGGAAATGCACGTTTTGGGGAATCACGGGGGGAATGTATGAACTCTTTTTGTGGGTTCCTTGAGCAAATCCAAGTAAAAAATGTATCTATATATAATGTAGGAAGGAAATTGTAGAATACACATTTATGATCTATATGCTTATGTTTAAATAACCATTGTGAACCACATATGTATATTATAGAATTACATGCGTATACATGTATTTTTGCACATACTAACTCACATCATATTTATTCTATATTTACACATCGTATATATTTTTGGTGTGACAACACCAGTTGCAAGCTGGTATGCGCAGCAAGCACCTCGATGAATCATCATTTTACCCGAGGTTTTGGGGTTTTTCATTGGATGATGGGAATCAAAAAAAGGGGAATCGTTTGCATATATTGATAGTTGTTTTACCAGAGGGTAACTAAGGAATACTATGGATTAATCACCATTAAATCACCATTTTCCTATGGTTTTCCTATGGTTTTCCAATGGGAATCACCATTAAAAAGAGCCTTTAGAAATATCTTTACATTAAGCTGGGTAAATTATAACGACCTCACTGTTCTCCCTCACTGGAAATCATGGTTTATGTTAGGGAAATCATCCCCAAATGGCCGCAAGATTCAGGATAGTGAAATATTCTAATCTGCCAGATATATTGATAGTTATGGGGAATCTTTTGATGATGATTATATGGAATTATCATCTATTTACATATCAAGTTAGTGAATTCATATAATTCAGGCGCATTTTTTTTGAACCTCCCCACCTAAAATTCTCTGCAAATTATCTAAGATTAGCCATGTTGAGATCATCCAGGTTGTTCAAGAAGTAACGGAAGTAAGTGATAATCTGGTTGGTGGTTTGGAACATTTTTGTTTTTCCATATCTTGGGAATAATCATCCCAACTGACTTTCATATTTTTCAGAGGGGTAGGTCAACCACCAACCAGGCATGGTTTTCCCTATACTTCGCTTTAGTAATTGTCTTTTAGAGTTTCATCAAGCCCTATTTATGGGGCATGTTAAACCCTTATTCTTTGCTGCATTGTGGTGCGCCCCAGGGATAAGCTGGCGTTTAAATCCAATCGTTAACTTAGCTGCAAACAAATTGAAAACACAAATCACATACAATGTGGGGCCCCTAACTTAGCTGCAAACAAATTGAAAACACAAATCACATACAATGTGGGGCCCCCAAGATAGCTAAGTTGGTTTATAACTACAATAACTAGGGTTTATGGTAGTTATAAGCTTATTTAGATGGGGCTATAAACCAACTTATAACTAGGGGGCCCCACATTGTATAGATCTCCATTTTGTTGGTTGAATCCCAATTTTTGCTGTTAAGCCACCGTCTCCGGTTGATCACCCTCCTAAAATCACATGGATAGGTCACTACAGTATTCATCTTGGACCAATCACCACTTTTCCCGGCATGTTAGCTGATGCCCCCCAACTATGTTTGTTGGTGGGTTGGTTTCTAACCCCAATTAATTCTTGATATATATATATATCCCACATATACACTTATCCCCACTTATTCCCCTCCCCAAAAAAAAGAAGTAGTTATTGTTATTGCTATATATATATCCCATATATATCCCATATATATATATATATTCCCAAAAAAATAAAAATTAACCAACTTAGCAATTGAGCTCACGGGGGCACCACCTACGACGTTACAACCTTTCGGTAGGAGATCAACATCCCAAAACCGGCGCAGGGAGAGGCGTGTGGAGCGGGTGGAGCGAGGGGGCGGGGCTGGCGCACGGGTGATGATTTCATCTTTGGTCACTTTTACCCTCTGGTAAATGAACAGTACGACCCCGAAAATAACCCATTTTAGAGGAAACTAATCTGCCAACCCCGATGAATACCAGGGTCTATGTTAATTTACTGGAGGGTAAATGCCCCAAGAGAAGGACACCAAAATTATGGGACCATAGAAAAATGGGTTATTCATGGGTTATAATTTCATGAAAACTATGGATATATCACCTAGAAAAAACCATAGTGAAATTGGACTTATGTTCACCAACTTGGCTAACGATAGCCATAGATGTCCCAAATTCCCATTGGTTGGTTGATGAGTGGATTGGAGGAACTATCTATAGTTATAATTATCTGGTTGGTGGTTTGGAACATTTATTTTTCCATTCAGTTGGGAACAATAATCCCATTTGACTAATATTTTTCTAAGGCGTTGAAACCACCAACCAGGAAGGACCCCAAGATGAAGTTACCCAATGCCACACCAAGATTCATATCAAGGAGGACGAATATCTAATTTATAACCGTCTTGGGGTGGCATCAAATATATCAAATTTTGCCACCGGGTTCAGAAATGGAACCCACAAGCCACATTTGCCAAGCGAGATGATAGTAGTGCTTGGGGTTCAAAAGAAACTTTAACATTGCCCTTTCCGGTGGTCAGGAGGGAGCTAAGGAGCTATGGGTATCCATCTTGTTTACTCAATGGATCAATGGTCATTCCAGGATCCTAAAATGGAGGTACTGTACTATATAAGGCCATATTCTGGGGGTATATCCCCTTACATAGGCCTTACATAGGCTTTATATATGGTAGGTACCTCCATTTTAGGACCCTGAAATTCCCATTGAACAACGTGGTTGTTGTTTACAACGTTGGATGTGTGTGTGAGCTGAGTGTCAGATCCTTCGGAGAGCAAACCGAGCATTTGCAATGACGTAGCCACAGAAGTCATGGCCCCAGCAAGGTTACCCTCTGGTAAACACACAAAAAAATATGTAAAATCACAATTCTCAATGTGAAGATCCACTATAAATACTATAAATGGTCATTTTCAATAGCTATTTTGACAACCAGAGGGTAGGTTAGGATGAGATGCAAGCGTCTCCTATCATGCAATGTGACATGGTCCGGGCAAGCCTTGATGGGTAATGTGGTAAACCTAACAATAAATCATTCCCAAAATCACCATCATTATTATGGGTTCTACAAACCATCCCCAAATGGTAGGTTTATGGCATTGGGTGTCCCACATGTCTGTATTTTCTAGTACATCACATGTGTTAAAATTTGGGAATCTATACGAACCAACTATATTTTGCCCGAATAAAGATAATTGTGTCATCTAGAAATTCACTCCAAAGATGCCAAAAAGAGCTAGAGATAATTAAGATGTTCATCCTTTGCAACTCATTCGAGTTGCAAAATGTTCCAAAATCATTGCTCAATATCATTTGTCATCTCTTCAGATGTTCGTGTCCTTTATCATCACATTGTAGTCACCACATCTACAAGGTGGTGCTCCTGTGTTCACTAAATCGCGACAAGTTGGGGTTCACATAACTCCAGTTTCACTAGGGTTTATGCCAGTTATATCCCAGTTACAAGTGGGTTATCCCAGTTATACATTACTAGTCAAGGTGATGCCCCATAGTTTGCTAAGTTGGTTTATAACTCCAATTTCACTAGGGTTGATGCTTGATATACCGAACTATTTCATGGGTGTTATAAACCAACCAACTTATAACTGGGGGACACCACCTTCTATGGATCCGTTGACACCTCCCGAAATTCGGTACGGTAACCCCACAAAAGATACCACAAAGACTTCCTAAGAAGGTATGGCTGGATCCATAGGCTATGGTGATTTACTCCTTAATCATAAGTATTTTGCAACTTACCCTATTATTAATACTGTATGATTTATTTCATAGGATATCAATATGATTTATTCCATATGGTATTCCTTTACCCTTTATCATACCCTATGATTTTTTTTTAGGATTATCACGCCCTATGGATTATTCCCATGGTTTAGGATTATGTTGCTCTTCTCCATTTTTTGTTAAATAGTTACACCACTATCACATCCCATAAAATCACCCTGAAATCTATATAAATCCCATTAAATCCTCATTAAATCCCAGTAAATCATCATTAAATCCCATTAAATCATCATTAAATCCTCATTAAATCCCATTAAACTTCATTAAATCCCATCAAATCACTATTAGATCACCGTTAAAGCCCATTAAATTACATTTTCCCGTGGTTGTCTCCAATTGTTTTGCTGCTCGCAGGAACACAGCGAAGTGATCCTGTGCCGTGCGCCGGATGCCAAAGATTGGCAGGCCACGAAGATTTTCGACGGGGTGGGATGATCCCAACCAAACGGTGGCTGTTAAAGAAACCCACGGGAAAACCATGGTAAAATGGCAATGGTGATTTAATGAGGATTTGATGTGATTCAATGCAGGATGGGGCCCCCGTTCGATAGCGTTCAGTTGAGATATGGCTGTGGCTGAATTCGATGGTTTCTGGTATATATAACATGATCTAACGAACTAGATAACTATAGCTGGTTGGTGGTTTAAAACATTTTATATTTTCCATTTCATATATGGGATGTCATCCTTCCCAGTGACGAACTCATATTTTTCAAGATTGTTATTGCACCACCAACCAGATAGACTTAATGGGGGTTATTTTTGCCAACTTACACAACTGGGGGGCCCCATCCTGGGAGATTTAGCCACTTTTAAAGGGGAAAAGGCCCATAGAGGCCCCGTGCCAGCCTGAGAAATCATTAGAGGTTGTTGGTGACATCAACTTGGAACGGGCTGAAATGGAGATCCACAAAATATGGAAGATGTTTGAGTTCGAGCCTTGGATGTGTGCAAACCCGAAAAATGGGGAATTTAGGCAAAGTATGAGGAAATAGTCTACAACTTCTCCCGTAGGGATAAGGCCTCATCATCCAAACGTAGACAAGTTCAAATGTTGAACCTCAACTGGAATTCATGGTGATACAATCGTAGCCTGAAATGGTAACTTCTAGAGTGCTTTAGCCGTCGGGAGATTCTCATGTAACCAATCGTTGCATTTCTGTGCATTTCTTGTAGTCTGGGACCAGAAACTTGAGATTTCACAAATCCCACCCGGAATTGCTAACCAGTGACCTACCCTACCCTTTTTTGTTGTGTTGCATCGGCTCAAGTTAGAGTCTTGGATTTGTATGTGTTTTTGTTTCAACCGGAAAAAGTGGATTCAGCCCAAACATGGGGCGATACTCCAATTATAGTCTTGGAACGTCTTGGATTTGCTGAGACGGTGGTCGGCAAAGTCTATTTCATCTATTTCCGATATTGGTTTCATAGAATTGGATGGTGGAAAAATGTACAGGAAACCCCTTTATTTGATGGCAAAAACCATGGTTTCCGGTTAAGATTTCCCCCACCAAACCAATCCATTGATGGTTAGATGACTACTCCATATAGGTCCATATAGGGAAAGGATTTGGAAGATGTCTTCTTTTTGAGGAGCTCCTCAGCAAATCCAAGGCAATACAAGGGGCTGAACCCAATAAGATAGGAAGTGAATCAAAAATTGACAGGACAACATCCCATCGACCAATCAAAATAGTTGTTTCAACGTCAAAAAATGTGGTTTAGCTACAAGAATAGGGAATGACATGGACAACCCTTCGCCAATAGTGACCCGATTGATAGGAATTGGTACGTGGTGACCGAAGCAACAAGATGGGTAATATTTTGGCCAGAAGGGATGACAATTATCAACTTAAAATGGGCAGAGATCCAACAAAAATAATGGCGTGAGGTATGGGATAATCCCAGTGACCAACCAAAAAGGGAAATCTGATGTGCTGCATTGCGTGCTGTGCATGTGAAACCTACCAGCTGTAGCTTTGGCATTGGCTTTAAGTGTGGTTTCCCATGTTTTCTAGACAGAAGTGTAAGCTGTGTTGGAGGCACGTTGGGCCAAAACGGGTCAAAAAAAATGGCTTAGTTTGCCGTAAACCCGGATGGTCATTTGCCCAGTTGGTTTTAACCCCAACTGATTATAGAGATATCCCATATATTCCCATTTACCCTCTGGTAAACGTTTACATAACTATGGAAAATCACCATTCTTTTAATGGGCAAATCCACTATTTCTATGGCTATTTTCAATAGCAAACTGTTAGTTTACATGAGGGTATCACCATCATATACCATCATTAATCACCATTATCCCATCATAAACTATGGAAAATCACCATTTTTCATGGGTAAATCACCATATCCCATAAATTCCCACATAAACTCCGATGAAATTGTCGTGAACTAAAGCAACTGTTCGCAGCAGGTGGCCGCGCCGCCACCCAAGCCCATGCGACGACATGATGAGGTGAACACGGGATCCAGATACTGTGATTTCTGGTGACTTTATGGTGGTTGAACCAACAACAATAGTTGAGGGGTTTAAACCACCATAAATCACCATAAATCATAGGAAAACCATGGGAAAACCATTGGAAAATGGGGATGTCATGGGGATTAACCCTGACTGGTTGGTGGTTTGGAACATGAATTTCATTTTCCCATATCTTGGGAATGTCATCATCCCAACTGACGAACTCATATTTTTCAGAGGGGTTGAAACTAACAACCGGTTATGGTGTTTAACCAACAGCAACTAGGAACTTAACTTACAAAAATGGCCGTTTAATGGGAATATAATGGGATAGCACCTCACAAAAAGAGAGAAAACTTGGACACCGGGAAATGCTGGGAAACACATCTTTGAACTAAGACACTTTTTGGCATCTGTTTGGGGGGAAAAAAACGTAAACCAAGGTTTTCAAAAAGGTTTCATTTAAGGTTCACCCATCCTAAAAACGGCTAAAGCATGTTTGATTTCGGCACACCCATCCAAAACCATTTTTTGGCTTACAGGAAACTGTTGGGGATGGTGAATCCTGACATTATGTTTTCACCATTCAGATCTTGCCTCTGTGTTGTTTTTAGCTTAGGCTCCTTAGGCTCCTTATGGAAATCCCATTCCCAGTCATGGGTGGTAAAAATGACATTGTTTTAACCACATGATCTCTTTTGTGAAAACCTTCAATGACGTGGGCAAAGATGTCAATCCTGACTCAGAGCATTCCAAGGCTGTAGGACTCAGCTAGCAAAATATGGAGGTTTCCGTCCAGTCATGGGGGTACCCCAAATCATCCACTCGTCATGGATGACCACGACTTTGTATTGAAACCCCGATTACTTTACTAGGTTAACCAACTGGATGGGTAGAAACTAATCCTGAATGGTCTTTTGGTATGGGATTATCTACGTTCACCAGCTAAGATGTTTTTGCAGGGTATCCAAGATTGGCCATGTTTAGTGACTCTAGCTAGTAACCATAGTTCCTTACAATATAGATCCATAGTTCATCCATTTATGGCAATTTACCTAAACTGGAGCTACGTTAGTACAAAACATAACGCCAAATATTTTTCTGGTGCATATTCATATTCTAGATATCAATGGATTGGTTTAAGGCGAAATCTTAACCGGAAACCATAGATTTTCGCATTAAGATCATGGGGCTTTCCGGTTTCAATTTTACCTTAAACCAATCCAATGAACATATCAGCTCCCCATTAAATCACCATTTTCCTATGGTTTTTCCTATTAAATCACAATTTTCCTATGGTTTTTCCTATTAAATCACCATTTTCCTATGGTTTTCCCATGGTTTTCCTTTGGTTTTCCTATGGTAATGGCCCGGTACCTCCAATTTTTATTGCTCGCCAGGAGTCTCCGACACCTTGGGCACCGGCGGCACCGCCACCAGCGACGCCGGAGAAGTCGGTTTGTCCGGAGGGATGTGGCTTGGCGGGCTGTGAGTTGTGACTTCGTGGGGCTTAATGGGTTTTTGATGGGCTTTCATGGACATATGCTGGGATGGATAGATATATATATATATATTATTATATTATATCTTATATATTATATATTATATTAAATTATATTGTATTGTATTAAATGTTATTATATTATATTATATTATATTTTTATTGAATTATATTATATTATTTTTTATGCTACTATATTTTATTTTACTATATATTTTTCTTGTATTATATTTCATTTTATTACTAAATAAATATATATATATACATTATATTAGTATATATATTATTATTATATTATATTATTTTTAATTTTTATATATAATTATACGTTATATTTGAAATGATATTTATTTCAATATAGAATATACATAATATTATATAATTATATATAACCGACAACTTGCATATAGGCTCATATAGGATAATGGTACATCATGGTTACCATGACGCCAGTATTTAAGTTGGTGAGATGAGGTTCATGGTTGGTGATATCAATAGCGGTTCAATAATAATTGACCAATAGTTCTCAACAAACCAACTATCAAGTATCAATTTCACGTCCATCCTTAGTTAAACCCAGTAACAATGATCATGTTTACTGTGTTGGTGAATTACTAACGAATACTTTCTCAATTGTCATTGCCATTATTTTGGTTGACCCATGGTAATGACATAGCTAGTGTCACTAGTTCTACGACTAAAGCCACCGTTCCTCCTCAGAATGGCCCACTTGGGTGTCAACCCTGGATGGGACTTGGAAATTTGATGGGAATTTACCCTCTGGTAAACATACAAAAAGCTATTGAAAATGGCCATAGAAATAGTTGATTTAACCATCAGAAATCGTGATTTCCATAGTTATGTAAACGTTTACCAGAGGGTAATAGAAGCAAGGTTGCCAGGGCCAACGCGTTGAGATTTTGTAGCATGTTTCGATTTCGTAGCATGTTTCTACCTCTCAGTCCAAAACGGTCCCTCCGGTGTCATCAAATGTGGCTATGGAAATCTCCCATTTATAGATTGGGTTCTCTCCCAGAAGTTGACGCAGCGAGAGGTCATGAACCCCATGATGCCCAGCAAGAAGAAACCCTTAGCTTCCGAGAAGACAATTTGTGTCCTTCAAAAACCAGAGGCCTTCCAGAGAGTCTGCCAGACAAGATTTTAGGCTTCTGGAAAAAGGTGAAATAAGAAACAGCAAGTCCAGAAGACCAAAAAACAAATCATCTTCCATTTTTTGCAGAAGACAAAATTTAAGGCTTCTAGGTTTTCTTATTCTTGGTACAGAAACGCACATTAACATATCAAAAAAGATAGTGTATATTTAGAAGTTTGCGGCTACGCCAGACTTTCCATCACATGTTTTTTGCATGTCACCATGCACAATCTGTAGCCTTTCACAGGGCTAATAGCCTTTCACAGGCTGCTGGAAGAGCTTAGATAAGAGTGCTGTAATGGAACATTGCTAGGTTAACCAACTGGATGGGTAGTTTAATCCTTTAATTCCCTTGCGTAAGTAGGAAGAACCTTTAACTAGCTCACATTTTTTGCAGGGTATCTAAGACTGGCAATGATTGTTGTTGCTTGTTGTTACCGGTTGTTGTTACTTTTTGTGTCTTAGTGTTAACGGTTGATAATTTATAACTGGGTAAAGCATTGCTGATGGTTGATGATGCTCTTGGGCGACGGAAACTGATTAAACATCAATAACTGGGTAAACCTGGACTGGGAACTTGGCACGCGCTTGGTAGACACCCGTGTGTTCCTCAATGCATCCGGTATCCCTGTTGTAATCATTTGTTTGCAGCATCTTTCTTATGGTGATTAGCATGTGTACGCATACTTTGACGCTATGCTACTAAAAGTGTAATGGCATTTGTAGGCATACTTCACGCTAGGCGGGACCAATGGACTCAGCAGAGTTGCTGACCAGCCTCGCACGCTTGTTGAAAAATAAATCTGCCGCCTGAATTTGAAGCTCGACAGATGCAAAATCATCAAAATGCCAGAGGCATTTATCAAGCGTGGGCCTACTTGATGCCCCACTGAAGCTGGGACCCATGGGGAACCATGAAGGCTCCGCGGTTCTTTGCGGAGCTCGGCTTGTCCCGGCAAAAGCTCACCTGGGCCAGCTACGGAATTTGTTGAAATAATATCCTGGGGATTGACCATTTAATAACGTATATACTCTATATAAATATATACAATATGCATATCATTATATGTTGCATATGTTGTACTAGTCTTGGATTAAGAACCCATGTCCAGCTGAGAAAACATCATCAATCCAATCTTTAGCCTATTTTTTTCAACCAACTTAGCTATAGACGCTATAGTTTGGGGGCCCATCTAATCTTCCAAGCAATTTGCTTGGTTTAAGCGTTGAACCCGCATGTTTCAGCATTTGTTCTGGCTAAATCCCCATCACCATCTTGGGGTCACCTCAAATCCAAACCACCACATCCACCATCCTTTTCAACCGCTAAGGTTGGATCAAGGAAGCCAGACAGGCAAACGTCAAGTTCCAAATCCCAGTTGCTCGTTTGTCGGTTTGTTGGATATGGATCCCAGTAAGTGGCAAAAATATGTCATCCCATGTACACGCCATATTCATCAAATATACTTAGTATATATATAATATTTAGTTTGTTAAACATGGATCCCACTTAAATATAGTCCATATATAAGCTATAGTTCATCCCATATCATCCAGTGGGGATATCCGGATGTTGCCACTGGGGCAGGTTGCTACGAGTTGTAGGAGTTGGGTGAACCAACTGGATAGGTAGTTGAATCCTGAACAAGATGTTGTGATTTCAATAGGAATATCTACCCACCAGCTAAGAATTTGTCATTTTTGCAGGGTAATTATCTAGATTGGCAATGTTGCTGCACATATTTTCGATGCATGTGTTCATCATCAAAGGGGAGTCTCTACTGATGAGATCAAATAGATAGATAGGGAATGATGAAGATGAAAGGACAGGACAGAGAACAAATAGCAGATAGCGATAAATATAAATATGATGAGGTTGAGATCACTGTTTTTTTGAACCATTGCGGTTGTTCCCTATGTTTCATTAGTCTTGGCACTGATTCCATTATTGATCACCTTATTCTGTTGTATTCTGTCATTGTTTTTACTGTGACCCGCTCGCCCCCCATCATTCATCCCAGCCGTTGCCACTCCATGCAGATTATCATCGGGATGATGATTTTTTGAGGTGATGATGATGATGATGATGATAATTGTGATGATGATGATGATGATGATGATGATGATGATGATGATGATGTGTCATTGTCATGTTTTAATCCGTTTGTTTTATAATGGCAATCTAGTCAACCCGACTCAACCCCAACAGACCTAAGATGATTTGAACATTACATTTGGAGCATACCCCAAGTCCCTTCAACGCACTGCAGTCGCAATCTGTTCGAACCCCTTGAAGCCGTCGGGGTCACTTGGGGGCATAGTTGTAGGTGTCACATCCCAGCTTTTGGAGGTTATTAGCATAGATATACCATACTTATACCATACTTGTACCATAGTTTTACCCATTCATAAGCCTTTGGCCTGCGCCCAAAAAGGTCGTCTGGTAGTGGGTCTGGAGTATTTAGATGGTTGATGGTTAGTATTGGTAATTAATGGTTGATGCTCAATGAAATTAACAATCTGCACAAGATAAATGGTTGGTTAATAATAATGGTTAGTGGTTAATGGTTAGTAATGGTTAGTGGTTATTAATACTGGTTGATGGTTAGTAATAATGGTTATACGTTATAACCCTCATTTGATAGCCATTTATTAAACCATTATTAATGATGTCGTTTTCTGGATATATAGTATTTCGTCAATAATGGTTATCGATAATGTTGCATGTTTAATAATGGTTGATGGTTAGCAATAACTGCTAATGACTATTTACTAGGTTAACCATCTGGATGGGTAGAAACTAATCCTGAATCATCTTTTGGTATGGGATTATCTACGTTCACCAGCTAAGATTTTTTGGTAGGGTACCTAAGATTGGCAATGTAGTGGATGAAGGAACTAAGCCATGATTAGCAACCAGTCACTCATCATCACTGGTTCCAGTAAATCTCAACTTTGTTGATTTATATCCCAGATGTTTGCTTCTTGACCTTGGTCAATGGTGATTATCTCTACCACTTCCTACCCGCAAAATTCGACCTCCAACCCCCCCAACGCCCCCAAGCACCAGGAAGGCGTCTCCGGACCGGAGCAAGTGACCCCTGAAGAGATCGACGATTGGAGTCAGGGACCCTCACGAATCCAGGCGAAAGATGAGAGGATTGGAGGAACTATCTATAGTTATAATTATCTATTGGAATACCATGGGAAAAGGTGATTTATATCATACAATTTAATGGTGACTTAATGGGATTTTTTAAACTTAGATATAATTACATCGACTGAATGTTAACCATCAAAGTTGAAATACCATTAAATCACCATTAAAAAACAAAATTAAATCCCATTAAATTCACCAACAAGAATCCCATTGTTGTTTTAACCATCACTCTTCTCCCGAACCCTGGATTTTTCGTGATTTTTTTATACGGGGAATTCTCCCAGACCCACCGTCCAACAAAATCACTGGATGGTTTTTGTTGGTGGAAAATCCTCCTGAAAAATCCATGATGAAATGGGGGAACCCTATTTTTTGGTTCGGAAACCTCCATTTATTGTTTATGATAGATATAGTCAACGGGCTTGAAATTTGCGCCAACTGTTGTCTAGATTTATACTTAAATCATTTCAATCACTTGAATTGCTGTATTTTGTGGCCAATCAATTCGTCATCTGTCGTCATCAAATCCATAATTTATCAATTTCTGGTAGCTTCACCAGAGATCCAGACATGTTCCTTTAACGTTTGGAGCAGTCCGACCAACCGCTTGCTTCGATCTGGGTTCCGTTCTTGTCGGTTCGTGGGTCAAGACGTCGCCCCTTGGCCCCTGGGCATATCCATCAACCTATCGTGTTCCGAAAAACGTTGATCCCAACCATTTCAATGGCCTTTTCAATGGTTATAACTACCATAAACCCTAGTTATATTTTACTTATAAACCAATTATAGATATATATATATATGTATATCCTGGCGAAATTATTATAAACCATCCATTTTATACCAGTAGTACCGCACAAGGCGGTGGCGGAAGTTTCAAACATGGAAAACCTATAGGAGAGGTGAGTTGGTGTGACGCAAAAATGGCAGAGCGAACCCACTGATGGATTGAAAGGTGGGTGAGTGTTTCTCCCTTTCTGTCTCTCTTTCTCTCTGTGTCTCTCTTTCGCCATCTATCTACAGAGCTACCTTTCTAGCCATCTACCTATCTAGCTGTCTATTCATGTATCTATCGATCGATTTGTTTATTCACCTATCTATTAAACTGTCTATCTTTCTGTCTATCCAGCCATTCATCCATCCACTTACTTCTCTCTGTTAGTTTTTTTTCCGTCCATCTCTTCATCGATCCATGTCCACAGCTATCCATCACCATGTTCTTCTTTCTGTTTCTCTATCGATTCATCCATGCATCTGTCCGTCTACCTCTTCTTCCAGCTATCCATCCATCTATCTAGCTACCCATGCGTTTATCTGGTCATCGACGCTTCTAGCGATCTTTCGATCTAGCGACCTATGTGTCCATCTGTCGATCCATCTACCTGTCTATTGATCGATCTGTCTCTCTATCTAGCCACCCATCTTTCGATTTATCTCTCGATGTATTTATGGATCTTGGATGCACAATCCACTCCACCTGCCACACAAAACGACGTCTGAACGTCCAAATGTCTCCGAGACCCTCAGTTTTTAACACTTTTGACTTCGAAATGTGCTTCGCGCCACAACGCCGTGCACTTTTTCGACATCTCAACTTCCAAAAGTGCTCCGAGACCGCCAGTTTTACACACTTTTGACTTCGAAATGTGCTTCGCGCCACAACGCCGTGCACTTTTTCGACATCTCAACTTCCAAAAGTGTTCCGAGACCGCCAGTTTTTAACACTTTTTACTTCCAAATGTGCTTTGCGCCACTTTTTCGTCATCTCAACTTCCAAAACTGCTCCGAACCCCTCAGTTTTTAAGACATTTTACTTCCAAATGTGCTTCGCGCCACAACGCCGTGCACTTTTTCAACATCTCAACTTCCAAAAGTGGTCCGACGCTGAGGTGTTTTGTACCTTTTCACTTCGAAATCGCCACAACGGCGTGCAACTTTTCATCTCTCGTCTCCCCAGATGTCTCCGCACCCGCCGCTTTAGCGAGCCTACTTTTCGACCCTCCGGAGCCACAAAACCACGAAAAAAAGCAATGTTTCGCGACTTTCCTACCTTTTCGCGCACCTGCATCTTCTTTCTTCTGATCTTTTCTCTTCTGACTCTTCTCCCTGCTGACTGCTTTTTCATCTCTCCATATTGTCGGAAGTTTGACTTCTAAACTTCCTTCGATACTTGGATCAATGGCCATGCAACAGGAACCGATTGATTGGAGGTACGTACCATATATGTTGGGCCTATTTTTTAGGCCTAAATTTCAGGGAATATCCCCAGAAAATATGGCCAGAAATATGGTACTAACTTAGGATCCTGAAATTCCCATTAACCATTCCCTCAAAAAACATCAGTTTTCCATTGAAACATGTCATCAAGTGAGGGTGTTTGAAACATGTTCAGCCACCCCCAAGGGAGCAAAGCCTCAGTTAGATCCCATCATATCCTATATATTTTAGCCCATTGCATCCCTGTTAAATATATTAAATCACCATTAATCTTGCCATTTATTGGGGGTGTAGCCATCCATTCTTCAACATCATTCACCAATCCAAAAAAACAAAAGGACATGACGCAAGGTGGAGCTCCCCTCAAGGTTTTCCAGCTTAATTTGACCGGCAATGGGAAGAGGTTACCTTTTTGAACAGCAATGAATCTACAAAGATGGGGGAATGGTGGTTTAATGGTGATTTTTATCTGGCTGGTGGTTTGGAACCATGGAATTTTATGACTTTCCATTCAGTTGGGAATACTCTTCCCAACTGACGAACTCATATTTTTCAGAGAAGTAGGTATGCCACCAACCAGACAAAGATTGGATTTTCCGCCGTGTGTTTTTTTGACTACTTGAGGGTGCGAATGACATGCAAGACGCTGAGCACAGCCAATTCATGGAATCCGAGCATGGGGAGGAAGCCGCAGCAGGAGAGAAGGACATCTCCATGGCATCGCTACCAGCGCTTTCGGCAGCGCCGCTGACCCCATTGGCGCCAGGAAAGTCGCCTGCGAAATCGCAGTGAACGCGGAAGCAGATTCGTCAGGCGGTGGTTTTGGCAAGGAATCCAGGATGGGCGGGATTGCTCGAAAGGTCATACGGACAATCACTCACGGAACAGCAAATCAGAGATGCCCTGTCCACACCATATGCAATGCATATGAGTCAGCCAGTCCCTGGGCTGATCAGGAAGGTGACAGGCATTTTGTGAGTGAAGCACAGAGGTTTGACTGAAGTATGGTCTTCATATGACCAATCGAGAATCACTGTCTCGTCTTCTCTTTTTTTCCAGAACCCGCCATTCGAAAAACTCTGCATGAATTTGGCGTCAGAACTGATGAAAAAAACTGCGTTGGATGGGAGATGTGTGACCAAAGAATAGGATTGGAAGATGCAATTGTGGATGAGTTTTCCAGGTAATTGACGATTAGCTTAACTTGGTGTAGCATTTTAGCATCAGATTGGTTGGAGAGCTCCAAGTTTTTAATCAAGCAGAGTTACCAAAAACTGAAAATCTGGTTGGTGGTTTCAAACATTTTTAATTTCCCATGATATATATATATATGGCATAATCCTTCCCATTGACTATTTTGTTTAAAGCTGGTTAAAACCAACCAGCCAATCACAGGTGCTCACGGCATTTTCCCTTCTTGTATTTGCTCGTCGTGCCAAACAATTTCTTGGTGGATAAATTTTGGTTGTCCTGGTTGTTCCATTTTCATCTAGAATCATGATGAGGTGGCCGAGGCGGAATCCCAAAATACACTTTTCCCAATCATGCACAAATGGGTAGTAAACATTATCTCCAATTTCTGATTTGTTATTTATGTTCACCACATTAATGCCCATCGGCATGGCTTGACAAGATTTGAAGGCCCCCCATGACCCCAGTCATGCCAATTTTGATGCAGGCTTTGTCGGATTGCTTTGAGGAGGATGTCAAGATCATTTACCTGAAGGATGTCTGTCACGTCGGCCATCCGCACCTATTCTGGGTTTGTCCAGACATGTACTACAATATAGATTTTTACCCTCCAGTAAACTAACATAGCTATGAAAAATAGGTCATTTATAGATTTTGTACCTATTAAAATGGTGATTTCTCAGCTATGTTAGTTCACCAGAGGGTAGCATGAAATCGTCATTTGAATGGGAAACATGATCGTGGACCCTGTTTCTAGACAAACTCTAATATTTCCACCAGGGCCTGATTTGGCTCTGTTGAAATGCATCAATGGGAATTCCAGGATATTTCCTTACATAGGCCTAAAAAATAGGCCTTATATATGGTAGATTATGGTAGGTACCTCCAATTTAGGATCCTGGAATGGCCATTGATATCATGTCTATGTGTGCTCAACGTGTCCTTAAATAGAAAAAATCAGGCTTATCTGGAAAGCCATAGGAAAGCGCCATACATTCCGTAAGAATCGACGTGCTCCCACATTGGCACACGACACGGTCACTTTCCCAACCGCTCCAGTGAGCTTTCCGAAGTGGTCTAGCGACTGAGCGACCAAAAAGACGGACTGAAAGGCGACACTCTTTGCAGTAGACCCAGTAGACCCAAACAAGATCGAAAAGGTGTAATTGATCATTTTTCTGGTGATTGGACTTTTAATGATTTTACTTTTCTGCATCCTTTTTTCGTTGACATCATTCCCACGTCATTTCTTATCTCCCTTGCTAAGGTCGATGATGAAGAGGCTGTGAAGGAAGCTTTGCGAAGTGCCTGGGATGGCTTCGCTACAGCGATGTCCGGGGCAGGTGTCATTTCAATGATCTGACGAAACCCAAGAAAAAAAGCATAGAGTTGCAGTGCTTTCCACACATATCATACATGTTCACTGTTGGCACCATACAGCAGTTATGGTGGGATTATTTATAGCATGCATCCAGATTCGAGTTTTGCTGCCGGAGCTTCGATTCGGTTGAATCAGGAGGATGCCAACAAGAATCGGTGCAGAGAGAGGGGTGAACTCCATAATACCAGATCCTCTACCTGACCAATCCCACTTTGGAGGGGCAAGTTTGAGTCGGCTGAAAACTGAACTTCCATTAGATATTGATACCATTGCTTAAATTAGCTTATACAAGGTGGTGGCCCAGTCCCTTTTGTGTTCCCATATAAACCCTAGTTATTGTAGTTGTTCATCATCAACCTAGCTATGGAACAGCACCTTGTATTGTCGATGGTTCGCCCTAATTTGTGTTGAATATACCCCTAACCATCTCAATCCTATTATTGTCAGGGGTCAACCGTAGGTCAACTGTTACTATCTCAATCCTGACCCTATAGGTTACTACGATATGTTTATGATTATCGTATTTTTATTATGATTATTATTATTGTTATTTATTATTATGATTATTATTATTATTAACTGTCCCTAATTATGCTTCTTTACCATGATATGCTGAGGCAAATATGACCTCTACTACGAGTGCTACGCCCTGTTCGCGGGACGCTCCCAATGGCCCTTCGTGCGCTATGTGGATATGTCGCTCATCTCGGGTGGCGGCGGGCGAGGATTCGATGGCTAGTTTGTTTCCGCGCACGTTATTTCCCCATTTTCATGGGGATATGATATAATTACAGTACTGGTTGGTGGTTTGGAACATGAATTTTATGACTTTCCATTTAGTTGGGAATGTCATCATCCCAACTGACTTTCATATTTTTCAGAGGGGTAGGTCAGCCACCAACCAGTATACCTTTTGGGAATTTAACATGGCTATAGAAAATCAAGATGTTTAACATCATTTTAACATAGAAAACCAACATATTTAGCAAGAAAATTATCGATAAATGGGTAATTTTCCTCGCACAGGCTTCCAGAGTCGGCTCGGCTCACTTTCGGTTTCGGCGCCCAAAATCCCTAAGGTTTCCTAAAATAGGGGTACCCCTAAATCATCAATTTTAATAGGATTGTCCATTATAAACCATCCAGCTATTGGGGTACCCCATTTATGGAAACCCCCAATTATGTTCCGCTGTTTTGTTGATCAAATCCCTTTGTTCTTGCTGTTTTCTTGATGAAAATGTTTCCGGTATGCCAGCAGGGCCCCCAGTTACCCTCTGGTAATTTAACATAGCTATTGAAAATGGTGATTTATAGTGGATTTACCCATTAAAAATGGTGATTTTCCATAGTTTTGTTAGTTTACCAGAGGGTCATATTTTACCCCATTGAAACAGAAATATATCCAACATCGATTCTACACTTAGTCTAGCTATTTCAACCAACAAAAAGAACCATTAAACTTAGGCACCCGAAAACCTGTAGTTCTCACGTAGCCATTTTGGTTGCCTCAATCCGAATTTTCATCACGGCGGGTTAAATCCTCAAGTGATCATGTGGGGGTTTCCCTAGTCATGGGGTACCCCAATAGCTGGATGGCCTATTACAAGGCAAATCCCAATCTAAATATGAATGATTTGGGGGTAGCCCCATTTCAGGAAACCTCCATGTGTTCACCCTTGGGTCACAGATGTTCAGCTCGTCGTGACTTTTTTGCCCCAGGTTCAGCGTCTTCGAAGAGGCTCGTGTGGTGGACCGCACCGGCGGCCGGAAGAGGATGGAGAAGCGACGACTGCATATGCAGGCGCCGCGGCGCCTGGTACATCCTGGTACTTGGAAGATCATCCTACTTAGAAAGGTTGGTAATGTCAACCCCGGATTAATAAACCCCAAACTGGAGGAGTACCCCCCTAATTAACAAGGTTTATTAATCCGGGGTTGACATTAACCCTGGTTAGATCATCATTATATAAATGGTTAATAACCCTGGTTGATAAATGATGATCTTCCTGGTTAGTAAACCCTCGTTTACTAAGTGGGTTATCTCCCGTTTATGAGTGGCCTAGAACCCTTAATTGCTAAGCAAATCATCCCTTTCCAATTTTGATGCTCAATTTATGACTGGCTGCTATGACGTTGCCTTCCCCATGATATGAACCTCCCAAAAAAAAACATTGTTTTTCTTGTTTATGAAATTGGGCATACCCTCTGGTAAACTAACATAACTATGGAAAATCACCATTTTTAATGGGACAACTCACTATTTCTATGGCCATTTTCAATAGCAAACTGTTAGTTTACCGGAGGGTACCCCTAGCTGCCAGGACTGACGTGTAATCGCCCCCAAGCGGTTCGCCAATGGTTGATGAATCAGACATGGCTGGCTTAAATCCCTTAAGAATGGAGCTTTCTAGCTCCAAAAAAATCGAACTACCATCTGGTTATGACTAACAGTTTGCCATGGAAAATCACCATTTCTAATAGGTAAACCCAGGTAAACCATCTATAAATGGGCTATTTTCCATGGCTATGTTAAATAACCAGAGGGTAGATGATGGATTTGTTTATTGCTATGTTACCAGACGCTATCCCGACCCAGGAACTGTAAAGGGGTAAGAAACAGATGAAAGACCCCCCGTTCGAGCAATGGAAGATCCCCGGTTTTGAACCATGCGCCAATGCGCACATCCAAGTCATTGGCTGTAACCGGAATGGTGGCCCAATGGGAAATCCACTACTTGACCGTTCAATGGGCAACGTTTGGCCATGAATATAAACTTCCTCTAGACTAAATACAATTATATATATATATATTATTATTATCATTATTGTTACTATCATTATCATTTTTACTTTTACTACCATTATTATTACTATCATTATCAACAAGATTGTTGTTGTTATTGTTATTGTTATTGTTATTGTTATTGTTATTATTTTGTATGTATATACATCCTTTTCTCAGTATATATATATATCCTTTTTCTAAGTTTTCACTGGAAAATACATGGAAACTACTATTTTGATGTGAACATGTTGGCAAAACTTGAACACGAACAAACCACATGGCTATAGTTCGCACTTCGATGCGCCTGGCTGCCACCCGCGGAATGGGCATTGGTGCTGCGCATGTGCTTACCGGATTGCGCCGTTCCGAACCGTGAAGCTTGCCGTTACAAAACCAAATCGCTTGGAAGAGCGAAAAACAAAGGCCCACTTGAGCCTTTTCGTTTCCGACGTCTTCTGCATGTTTTCTGAGTTTTTTTCTTCATTCCTATTTGATCCTATTTGTTGCTTCCAGGGTTTGGTCGTCTCCTATTTGTAAGCGAAATGATGAGGAGTTACTGGGGGAGCCCACTGGGACTTAGTCTAAAATATCCAGAAATCAGAGGGCCAAAGAGTAGAGGAAGGCAAAGAAAAATAGCAGATGGGCAGATGAGCAAGAAAGGAAGTTGTTTTCTGGTTGGTGGTTTGGAACCTGAATTCTATTTTTCCATTCAGTTGGGAATGATCATCCCAACTGACTTTCATATTTTTCAGAGGGGTTGAAACCACCAACCAGAAGTTGTTTTTACATGTTTCTCTGTTTGTCCCCTGAGTTTTTCAGAACTCTACTTGGATGTGCTTCCTAGGCATCGTAAGCGCTCGCTAATCATAATTTACCCCAGTTATTTTTGTAAGGCATACCTGAGTCATCCTGAGTTACTGGACTTGCTGAAGATTCTTTATTTTCCCACTGGAAAATCCCCTCTGGAGCCGGGACTTATCCCAGTCGGTTCGTTTGTATCTCCAGTCTAGACTCAGCCCAGCCAGTTATTTGTAGATACCCGAGTTACTGGTAGTGGCTATTGCCATTGACATTGGCATCCTTGGGTCCTTGGGTCCTTGGGTCCTTGGGCAGGACATCCATGTGATGATCACCCAGACCCTGGCCAATCACAATGGCGGCGACCCTGTCACAGCTCCTGAGGCCCCGCGGTTCTTCGCTTTGGATTCGACCGATTTTCAGCATGGAGTTTAAGCATCTAAGATCGGAGGTCAACATGGGGATTTGGCCATTTAAAATGAAGATATAATGGACAGAATGATCTGGTTGGTGGGTTGATGGCTACCTTTAATTTTTCGAAAATATGACTCTGATGATGATTATCAAGGACAAACATATTTGTTCGGTGGGGTTTAAACCACCAAACAGCAATGCTTAGAAAAGGACAAACACCAAACTGGCCAATGGTCTTAGCTAGGGTGAATTTGCAAGAAATTGTGCTTTTAAGCTGGGTATTTGTTCTGCGGAGATTAAGAGCACCTTTTTGCAGTTTGCCAGTATTGTAAGGAAAAACCTATATCAAACCCTAACCCTTGCGGCTAAAATCAAGGTTTTCCTGTAATATCATGAGCAATTCATTGATAGTGCGCGATGGAACTAAGAAAACCGACCTGTAAGGTGGTGCCCCAGTTCGTTAGCTAAGTTGGTTTATAACTTTGATTTCACTTGGGTTTATGGTAGATATACCTATACTTAATGGGGGTTATAAACCAACTTATAACTGAGGGGGGCACCACCTTGTGTGGTTCAACCGGAGATCTCAAACGCTGCTTTGGCTCTGAAGGGACCAGATACACAGCCAGAAACGATCAAGAGCCGCGGAAGGACATCTATCATCCCAAAAAGCATGTTTCAGATTGTTTGGAATTTAATGGGATTTACCGAGTCTAACGGGATGCAATGGAGTTCAGTGGGATTGTTTGAAGATTGTTCATGGGATTTAAGGAGTGAAATTTCATTAAATCAATTGGACAAAGACTGTTTGGAAACATGATTGAAGATAAACCACCAGTCTGAAACCAGCTGCTATTCAACATTGTTTGATATCCGCATGATTGAAACATGCAAAGCTTATATTTGCCCCAGGGGTTATCTTCAGAATTCCGGGATGTGCCTTCAAATACCCCCCCCCTTCCCATTGTGAATCATCATTTTCCCGATGGAAATGGCAATGAAATGGTGGTAAATTACTCATTTCATTTAAAACACATCCCAAATTGATTTGATACTGTTAGCTTTATATCCCATCATAAAAAGAAATCGACCCCTTTTTAATGGCACCCCATCTCATCTCATATTGTGTGTTATCATGTGTTGGGTAATTATCTCCTCTTAGTTTCCATGTCATATTGTTTGTTATGTACCCCTTTGCCTTCCAATACATCCTTTTTGAATATCCCATTATATAATCGCTGATTCTGCTTCGTTCAAATCACCATATCGCTGACATCCCATGATTATATGTGATATATTAAGCTTACGGATCAATTAATCCGAAATTTGGTTTTCCAAATCACAAAAAATAGATATTCTCTTGTTATTTAACATAGCCATGGGAAATGGCCCATAGAAATAGATGGTTTACCTATTAGAAATGGGTTCATTTTCCATGGCGAACTGTTAAATAGCCAGATAGATACCATTTCCAGCCATTGAACCTCTGTTTCGCTCAGGCAGAAGGAGATCGTGGGCCAAAGAAGAAGATAGTCCCCGAAGGAATCCTGGCATCGGCGGTGATGGTGCTGGAAGCTTACCCTCTGGTAAACGAACAGTTTGCTATCGAAAACCATCATTTTTAATAGGTAATTATAGGTAAATCATCAAACTTACTGGCGATTTTTAATAGCCATGTTAGTTTACCAGAGGGTAGGTTTTGGATAAAGGTGAGGCCCACCGTTTACGATACTATGTAAGTGAGTTATTTTAGCTTCAAAAATGGTGATTTAATAAGATTTAATCGGATTTAATGAGATATAATGAGATTTAGTTTGCGAAGTTGACTTATAACTTGTTTAATCATGGCTTATGATACTTAAAACTATGGTGAGTGAGGGTTTTAGAATTTAAACCAACTTATAAGCGGAAGCCTCACATTGTACTACAACCATCAAACTGGGAATCTAAGAAATCTAAGCACGACACCTGTTGATTTGCCGAAGATCATCGTATATTTCCCAAATGGGAAATCCACTACTTGGGGAATCTTTGTCGGGAATATGCTGATTTTTGTTGATGGTTCCTGAAGCGCAAATCCAAGAATGAAACTCTGCGACAATATATACAGGGATCATAATGGAATCTAGGGATATAGTAACCCAAAAAAAAGATGTCGAAACGTATTGCCAGGATGGTAGTTCGATGATGTGTCCTCCATAATTTCCAGGTGTTCAACTTTTCGGCATTTTGGGTGCTAGATCTGGAATATCATATCTGGTTGGTGTTTGGAACATGAATTTTATTTTTCCATAATATATGGGAATAATCCCTCCCATCGACTACTATTTTTCAAGATGGTTAAAACCACCAACCAGAAAAGAGTTTCTTCTCCCTGGATGTGAAATTTTAGGTTTATGATGAAGGGGAGTCATGTGGGAATGATCCGACATGATGGAAAATCCGAAACATCAAGCAGCATAGATAGTAGTATAATATGTATAAAATGGGAATGACTACAGGACCTTCTTGTATTTGGGTCCCCCTCATTGTGGTCATCATCGTCATGGGTTCTTTTGAATCGTAGTGTTTGAGGGCTGAAGTCCTCCAAAGTGTCCAGTTTCTGAACTTGCGTCAACTAGTGTCAAGATTCACACAAAAAGACGGAACCATATATGTAACTACATATAGATATAGAGAGAGAGAGAGAGGAGAAAAGCCTGGGTTCTGCGGGTTGGACACTCCCGTGGCTAGACAGATTCCCTCGACAACGTTCCTTACTTGCGAGGGAATCTTTGCCAAGGCACTCCAAGCACAAACGCATTCTGGTAAGTCCTCTGGATATTGCAGGGTCTGGCAGTTTATGTCTTTGTGTTTTCTGACATACTTGCTGTATCAAAAATGATCGAAGCAGGACAATGACTTTTGAGAATGGCATTTGAGGCAAATTTGATCTCTTATTTTAAGCATTGCAATCTCATTTTTGTGTAGGATCAGTGCACGGCAGCCCCATATTTCATGGTCTAGTTGTTGATAGCTACATCAGCTTTAGAGGTTGCATGTGAGACTTTCAGAATGGCTCACGGACTCTAAGCAATCCCCGGCCACATGTACCACCTGGAGTTGATCATTTCAACAGTGTGGTAGTTCTATACTCACCATTCATTTAGGTCAATCTTAGATGGATACAAACTAATCCTGAATAGTCTTTTGGTATTAATGGGAATATCTACGTTCACCAGCAAAGAATTTATCTTTTTTTGCAGGGTATCTGGCTGATTGGCAATGTCATTCAGTGAACCTCAAAACAACCACTTGGAGAATCCCTTAACGTGGTTGCCGCTTGCTCGCGACTCAGGAAATCCCTTAACGAGACCTCAATTCTGCGAGGTGGCTTGGGAACTGGGGGCAGAGTTATGCTGGACCGTAGATGGACGAAATATGAAACAACCCTTTCTATCCAAAACAACCCCCTCGCCCCCAAAGTTCAATGTGAATGTAGCCTGCGGGGCATTAGCCCCAATGGAAAAAAGAAGTCCAAACCCTCAACATCACTTTTGATAACATGCGCGCATCATGCGCGCTGAAAAATTGAGATTTGGGGGCGCGAGGGGTTCAACATCGTGTGTGTTGCAGGGTGGCCCTCCTGTTAGAGATTTCATCAGCAGGTCCTTTGCATGGTGGCTTTCAGGCCTTTGCAGCGCCACGAGGTCGACCTTTGATGGATAGTTTCAAGAGAAATATATGTACTATATAACCAGCATAAACCAGCATAAACCAGCATAACTGTTGATCATCTTTTGGAGGGTATTTTTCAGATAGCTACAGCTACATGACACGAATCTCACCAGATCCGATCTCCAGGTGATGCTTCGGGCCGCAATCAGCATCTCAGCTGCGATTGTTTTCTCGTCCCATAGAAGGTCGTGGCTCCGGTGGTTTCGGTTCCTAAATGGTGATGTACCCCGCTGGATGATTGATACAATGTGAGGCCCCAAAGATAGCTAAGTTGGTTTATAAGTCCAATAACTATGGTTTATGGTATTTATAACTATAGTTACTGGAGCTTATAAACCAACTTATAACTAGGGGGCCCCACTAGAGGATCGGCTAACACGAACAGAACCAGAAGGGAAGGGCCAGATGGGCCAGGTTTTCAGGTTACCGGTTAGCAAGTTGTGTTTGACCTGGTTTTTAGGAGGACAACAAGGCAGCGATGAAGCTCTCATTTCTGCTGGGCCATCTAGGAAGACAACCGATGTTACGCGCAGAAACGAATGCTTTCTACAGTGATTTAATATATTTTGTTGCAATAGCAGCGAGCACCACCACGACAAGAGGAGTCTTAGGTGCTGTGCAAACAGCCCAAGAGATGTACAAAGAAATCTGGCGCAGTACGCACCGGCACCATTGTTGCAGGTGATGTCTTTGAGCAACACCTAGCCGAGACAGCATTACCAGATGCAGCGCACGGGTGAATCTTTCACCCAGACTGACAGGCGGAAGAACACTTCGGATATCATTCGCGGGGACTGCGCGCTTTTAGCAAGGGAGTACTGCAAGCAGCCGGTGCCGCCCTGAAAACAAAGTGCAGAACAGGTTCCTGGATGCTGCATGCGTTGTCCACGCCGACAACCATTTCATGGCTCTGGAAGGCGATTACATGGTGAAGATGATGACTGAGAGGTCTTCTTTTTTCTTTGCTAACTTTTCCCCTTGTTGGCTGCCTTTGCAAGCACTCTGTGGCATCCACACCATTCTGGAAATCGCGTCTAAAATGAAAACGAAGATCTTCTTAAAATATGTGATTTTGGGTGGTCCTATTTTAGGAAACCTCCATATGGCTGTGTCTGACATGGCTATACGTCCAATTTGGGCAATTTTCATCGGGAGATTGATGACTAACCTGTGGACGTAATTGAAAATTGAATGGCGCACCATATTTTCAGACAAACCCACGTGTTCTAATTACAACCCCATTTCAAGTGTTGATTCAACCCAGTAAATCAACAATAGAGCATGAAAGTAGATTGTTTCCTAGAACAGCAACCATGGATGTCCACAACGTTACTTTCAAGAGAAGTGATCATTGCTGTGTTTATGACATCCATGGGTCGCTCAGAATCGGCCACTTAAGAGGAAAATGTAGTCTTCCAACCGCCAGGGGCAGAGTCTATGGCTGATGTTAGTTGCATGGAGGGTATCTCACCACATTTTTTTTTGTGTCGCTAGTGGGAAACCCAGCATGAAAAGCCGTTCCTTCCTACTTAGATGGGCCATGGAGGTAGTTAACTAGTTAGTAAATGGATGAAAATTCATTGGGATATAGTAAATGGTTATATCCCCAGTTACCAGGCCCATTTTTGTCGCGTTTTTCCCATGGCCCAGGGCCCCTTCCTAAGGACGTTACCAAAACTTGGAGCAGTTCCACTGGCTGAATTTTTCTGGCTGAGATTTCACCAGAGATTTCAGCAGGGGCTGCAGGGGCTATGTTGATATCTGAACTTATGGAAGTTTACATAGCCATACCCTCTGGTAAACATACAAAAACCTATTGAAAATCACCATGTTTAATGGGAAAATCAACTATTTCGACTGGGCCATGGCTTCAATAGCTATGTAACAAATTACCAGAGGGTAGTTATACCCATTAAGTTGGGATATCCATTAGTAGCTGGTTAAAATATGGTTGATATATATATATATACCCATTATGGTTGATATATACCCATTAGTTAATATAATAAGTTGGAATATCAACATGAATAAGTTGGAATATCCAATAAAAAACTACTTGATTTTGCTGGAATATTTCATAACTTGGAATACCCATTTTTATCCCATTATATTCCATCGTATCCCCATTATATCCACATTAATTATATCCCAAAGAAAATTGTTGGTAGCATACCTTTTAGATTTCCAGTTAAAATAACATTGGACCATAGTAGCTGGTTAAAATTGCATATTACCCTCTGGTAATTTGTTACATAGCTATTGAAAATTGTCATTTATAGTTGGTTTACCCATTAAAAATTGTGATTTTCCATAGTTATGTTAGTTTACCAGAGGGTAAAGAAAGAAATGACCCCAAGGAACCATGTTTTTCCACTTAAAGTGCCTATGATTTTTCAGTTAAAATATGCCATTTAAATATCATATAATATTTTGCTTCTTCTAACCGTGCTGGGGAAATGATTAGGGATACTTCTTTAAAATAACGAGTATCGCGTATTTAAATACCAATGTTTTTCGAATAAAATATTCGACGATTCAGTGAAATATACCCTTCCTTAACTATGGTTCTAAATTCGGAAATCCACTATAATCAGCTTAAAAAAATCATCAACTATAATATTTTTCCAAACCAGTATTACACCATCCATATCGTTTTCGTTTTCATGCTGCCTGTCTCCCCTTGTCGCGAGGCTGGGGGGACGATCTGAGCGCCAGTGCGGCGATCACGTTGTTTGCGGATGAGATCTTCGGCACGTGGATGGTGATTTAATATAGGAAAATCATAGGGAAATCCACTACAAATGGTGATTTAATAGGGATAATCATGGGATAATCATGGGATGTTAGTTGATGTTAGTTGATGTTAGTTGATGTTAGTTGATGTTAGGTACCACCCCATAAATATAGTTAATCAATGGGAATTTCAGGATCCAATTGATGGAGCTACGTAAACGTACCATATTTTTTGGCCATATGAATTGTGGGGATATTCCCAAGCCTTACATAGGCCTTATACATGGTAGGTACCTCCAATTTAGGTTCCTAAAATGGCCATTGATATCATGGGATTCTAGTGGAAAATATCGGAAAATGTGGGAAAATATGTGGATGGATTTTATTCAGTTAACCATAATGATAACAGTAATGTTGATGATCCATAATGGTGATATCCGTGGTGATGATCCATAAATAGGATTATATGTGGGATTATCATGGTATTAATTATCATAGAATATGTGGAGATATCTGTGGTGATGGGATTGTATTGAAAATAGGACAGACCATAGGAGTAATTATACTACTATAATCCCATGAGTAATCATCCATAAACAGGAGGGATTAATAATAATCCATTAATATCCAATATTTTGTGATGGTGATGATCCATAAATAGTAATAATGATAATATCTGGACACACACACATATATATATATAAATGATAATAAAGGATTAAATATCTGGATAATAAAAACAATGACAAAAGGAGTGGATTCCAGTACGCAATAAAAATTAAATCACGATGTAAATCGTTACTCAACCATATACTCTTCAACCTGTGCCTGCTGTGAACTCTTGATTTAATTCTTTGCTAATGACATCCGGGGAATTGAACGGGAGGTATCCATTTGTGGGGCATCAAATCTTGATTTAATTCTCTTTCATGGGGTTTGGCATCCTTTCTGAGGAATTAAATCCATTCCATTCATTTCATTTCATTTCATTTCATTGGGCCAGTGGTTGCAGCTGTCTCGTGGTTGCCTCCTTGGCGTCATCCTTTGACTTCATCCGGGGCCGGTTGCGACGTACATGGGACGTTGCAACTAAGGAAACATCGGGCAAATGCACTTAGAAAGAACACGTCAACAGACTAGAGAAGAAAAAAGGAAAGAATCAAAAGAATAGAAAAGGTAAAGGAGCACCAGAGTTGAAAAGAGTAGGGAAGAATAAATACAAGCAGAGTAGAGAAGAAGAGGAAAGAAAGAGCACGAGGTATCAGAACCAATATGAAGAGAATTAGCTCAAGATTTAATTCTGTCACAACAGCTCCCAAAAAACTGATGGGAAAAGCCGGCTTTGCAAGGACAATGTGGAAAAATTAAGGAGAAAAGTAAGACCAAGGCCTTGGCATTGACTCAGAAGTTAATGCCTTATCATTTGCGGCCAATGCTAACCCTCAAAGGTAGAGAATTAACGCACACGAGTTAAGCCTTGCACACCGACCTGGAAACGCAAACGGATAAAGGATTGAAACACTATTTGATGCTAATTAAATCGTGTATCCATTCCCTTCCACAATAATATTGGTACTACTGAGGATGGTTGCGAAATCCTGCACCAGCTGATAGGTGGTTTATTCCATTATCTATAGGGTTTCAACCATCCAAGGTGGTGCAGAATTTCTTCCATCCACAGTATCACGGGATTATAGTGGAAAATATCGGAAAATATTGGAAATAACGGATTATCTTGGAAAATCTTAGGAACATGTAGGAAAACAGTGGGAATTCATGGGAAAGTGAATTATCATGGGGTTAAGATTAGAATGGGATTTAATGGGAAAATGTAAGAAACTGATCTGGATTGATGGAGGTTTCTAGCACGGAAGATGAATTAGAATTGATTTTGGATTGATAATCTTGGGATATCTATTGTTTATAGCAACCCCAAACAAAGATAGAAAAGTGGTTCCAACAAGGCTGCAAGCTGGTGCCCCAATCTGTTGGCTGGTGAACATAACTCCTATAGTTTGGGCTTATGATAGAAAAACCAGGTATATCTAATTATAGGCACGGTTGTTTTATAAACCAACTTCATAGACCAAATTTCCCAAGGAAAAACTTTGAATCAAATTCAAGGTGATGAAAATAAACTTTGCAAAATGATACACCCAATACAAAAACAAAATCCAGGCATTGAGAGTTGCACGGAATTCCTTATTATTGGCAGATAGTACCTAAAATTGTCCTCTAAATTGACAACAGGGATACCAGGATATTTGGAAATATGCATTGCGAACGATATCGAAGGGTTTTGTCAGCGATAATAATCCCAGGATTGCATTCTTGCCCCTACTAATATGATTTCCTGAGCAAGGCAACGGCAAATCCCCGATAAATGCAGGTTTTAATGGGGAAATCATCTATAGATATGGATTTTCCATTTCCACGTTTGATTACCGGAGGGTAACAGTAAAATTCATATTAATTCAGTTGCCTTCTACCACTAGGGATTTCATGTCTCGCACTCAAAACTAATACCAGCCAGTAAAATAGATTTAAATAGATTTAAATAGATACTTAAACTTGGAATCATATCAGCTTTGATAAGATCTACATTCAAAATGATTGATCAGGTTTGCGTCATTGAAAACTGGTTTAATGCCTATAGATGGAGAAAACCAGCCGGTTTCCTGCAGCTTTTGAACCGATTCAGTGGCCAGCATAAATTGATTCCAATTGAAATTAGTTATCAGTTTGAGAACATTTTGAAGTATCCCAGGTTCAAAAAACATGTTTTTCTAGATTCAACAGACACCTTTGTGAACTCGGAATCACCTACATGTATACAATTAAAATACCATTAAAATTGATGATGAAATGGGGTACCCCTATATCAGGAAACTCCTGATATATACCTAATTATTGATATTATAATACCTAACATATATCCCAATATTGATATATATATATATATGGGTAAATTTGATCACGACCTCACTGTGTTCTCCCGAGCACTGGGAATCATGGGTTTTATGCTAGGGAAATCATCCCCGGCCATTAATGGCCACAAGATTCAGGTTAGTGAAATATTATAATTTACCCAGATATATTGATGGTTATGGGAATCTTTTGATGATGATTATATGGAATTATCATCTATTTACATATCTGATATATATATATATATTTCTAGCTGTGTATCAACAATACTGATTGAGATAAAGAGAATCCAAGATTCCTATTTCTCAATGTGGGAACTTCCTCCACAATTGATAATATCAATCACTAATAATCAAGGCAACCACTATTAACCAGACAACCCATACTATGGGTTGGTGTTTGCAAAGGGTCTCTTATCATGTTTGGGCGGGCTACCAAGAATGAAGTCTATCTATCTATCTATCTATCTATCTATCTATCTATCTATCTATCTATCTATCTATCTATCTATCTATCTATCTATCTATATGTCTGTGTGTTTGTTTGTTTTTTCTGTTCGTTTGTTTGCTTGTCTATCTATCTTTCTAGCTACCCATCTATCTACTGATCTGTCTACTTATCTACTTATCTACTTATCTATCTATCTCTCCATCTTTCTATCCATCTATCTGTTAAACAATGTCATTATCCATATCAGTCATATTTTTATTCATTTTATCCGGTCAACCATATTCACAATAGTAATAATAATGATAATATCCATTAATATTTGGATAATAAAAATTACTTTACTTCGTGTGATCCCCACCATGACATTTATACATTTTCTTGCTGGCAAATCTTCTGGCATTCTATCTGACATATCTTCTGACATTCTATTTGGCATTCTATCTGGCATATCTTCTGGCATATGATCTGGCAAATCTTCTGGCATTCTATCTGGCAAATCTTCTGGCATTCTATCTGGCATATCTTCTGGCATATATTCTGACATATCTTCTGGCATTCTATCTGACATATCTTCTGGCATATATTCTGACATATCTTCTGGCATATTTTCTGGCATATCTTCTGGCATATCTATCTGGCATATCTTCTGGCATATTTTCTGGCATTCTATCTGGCAAATCTTCTGGCCTTCTATCTGGCATTCTATCTGGCATATTATCTGGCATTCTATCTGGCATTCTTTCTGGCATTCTATCTGGCATTCTATCTGACATATCTTCTGACATTCTATTTGGCATTCTATCTGGCAAATCTTCTGGCATTCTATCTGGCATATCTTCTGGCACTCTATCTGACATATCTTCTGGCATATCTTCTGGCATATCTATCTGGCATATCTTCTGGCATATCTTCTGGCATATCTTCTGGCATTCTATCTGGCAAATCTTCTGGCATATCTTCTGGCACAGATTGGAACAACTTCACTACGCACATGCATGACAAGCTGAGTCTGGGGAAGGGTTTGCAGCGAGATGAGAGATGGGGACCCCGGCGATTTGTCGCATGTGTAGTGTGTGCTGAAAGACGTTGGTCAGAGGAACTCATTCCGACTTTCATTGCTGGTGCGAAGACTGAGTTTCAGAAAGAAGATAAAGTTTGTTTGCTATTAGACCCAAAGCTGTATGTGTCAACTTGGCCAGAGGTGCCATCGGAAAAAGTCTTCAAGTCTTGTCCAACTGTTCTGTTGCAAACAGGTGATAAGGTCCAAATGCTTTTACACAAACGTTGTGTGACGAAACGCATGTGCACAGGCGAGGAACAATAAGCCCCTTTGTGCAAAGAATGTAGGCGGTGTTTGGTCAAAAACCCACCTGAAATGCCTGTGCGAGCTTTGGCTAACGGAAAGTGGCTCGGGCGACACCCAGAGTTGATGCGCAGGATGCCATATGGGCACAGAATGTTGTTGCCTTTGCGCAGGGTAATTCTCACCAAGGTATTTTTTACGGCCAACAGCAAGAATCCTTGGGAACGGTCGCACGCTGCATTTGGACTCGATGGCGTTACCACCATCGTAGAACAAGCGCCCACCTTGCCACCAAGCGGCAATTTGCAGAAAAGCTGATGTAGAAGAGTGGATTGATGGTGAGACGCCCGAAGTGTTGCAAAAGACTTTTGTTGACGCGCCTGTGGAAGAGTTGGATGAAGAAGAGGTTGAAGAGTTGGCAGGCAGAGCGGATTCCAACAAATATCGTTGCCCTGTGGATTCTACACTGGAGGCGCAAGAGTTGCTGGAAAGCTCCATTTGGCATTCTATCTGGCATTCTATCTGGCATATCTTCTGGCATTCTATCTGGCATATCTTCTGGCATTCTATTGGGCCATTATCTTCTGGCATCTATCTTGACATATATCTTATGCATTTATCTGGAATATCTTCTGGCATTATATGCGATATATCTTCTGGCATTCTAGCGGACATATCTTTTGCATATATTCTGACATATTCTTCTGCAATCTTCGGCATATTTTGGCATATCTATCTGGATTAGTTCTCGGCATATCTTCTGGCATTCTATCTGGCAAATCTTCTGGCACGCTATCTGGCTATCTTCTGACATTCTATTTGACATTCTATCTGGCATATCTTCTGGCATATGATCTGGCATATCTTCTGGCATATCTTCTGGCAAATCTTCTGGCATTCTATCTGGCATATCTTCTGGCACTCTATCTGACATATCTTCTGGGCATTCTATCTGGCATATCTTCTGGCATATATTCTGACATATCTTCTGGCATTCTATCTGACATATCTTCTGGCATATATTCTGACATATCTTCTGGCATATCATCTGGCATATCTTCTGGCATATCTTCTGACATATCTATCTGGCATATCTTCTGGCATATTTTCTGGCATTCTATCTGGCAAATCTTCTGGCATTCTATCTGGCATATCTTCTGGCATATTATCTGGCATTCTATTGGATTCTTTCTGGTCCATTCCATCTGGCATGTCTGATTCTGCATTATTTTCTGACATAGTTCTGATTGGCATTCTTTTTTTAATCTGGCAATCTTCTGGATATGATCTGCATATCTTATGGCATTCTATCTGGCAAAAATCTTCGGCATTCTATACGGCATATATTTGGAATATCTGACATATCTTCTGGCCCTTCTATCTGAACTATCTTCTGGCATATGATCTGGCATATCTTCTGGCATATCTTCTGGCATTCTATCTGGCAAATCTTCTGGCATTCTATCTGGCATATCTTCTGGCATATCTTCTGGCATTCTATCTGGCAAATCTTCTGGCATTCTATCTGACATATCTTCTGGCATATCTTATGGCATGATATCTGTCATTCTTGTTCCAATATCTCCGACATGAGGTCCGGCAGGACACTTGGGGGATTACTCGCGGTGAGGTTCCGGCAGGGATCCGGCGGGGAACACTGGGCGTGGCTGGTCGTGGTTGAGGTCCGGCAGGGAACACTGGGCGTGGATGGTCGTGGCTGAGGTCCGGCAGAGAACACTGTGGATCGCGGGTCGCAGTTGGACGAGGACGACGAGGACGACGAGGACGACGAGGACGACAAGGACGACAAGGATGACAAGGAGGACGAGGAGGAGAGGAGGAGGAGGACGAGGCAGGAGGCAGGAGGAGGCAGGAGGAGGCAACTGACATAAAATCTAACAACCCTCACCTGGCAGGTGGGGAACAATAATAAAGACAATAGTATAACATCTGGATGATGTATATGTACGTACGTGTACCTATGAATGATAATAATGAATGTAATACGTGGATAATAAATAACAATAATAGTGGTGGATAATAATCTAAAGAGATTTAATAATTATGATCCATAAAGAAAATAATTACTGTTCATATCCATTAGTGATAATAGTAGATAATGATCGACAAGTATAGATACTAATAAAAAATACATAATCACTGATGCTGATAATAGATAATCATAGATGCTCCAGTAATAACATTGACAATCACAATAATAATAATGCTTCTATCTATCATTATGCATGACCATAATAGTGGTGGATAATCATCTAAAAGGATAGTAATAGTGATGATCCATTGTATAAAATATGGGTATGAATATTTACATATATATATGTATATACATATATATATATATATTAAATGATTATATATTTTCTATGAATAATAGCAATAATAATAATGACAACATCCATTCGTCCTGCCAAGGATCGTCGCAGGGCATTTGCTGCAGCCGCCTTTAGCGCCCTTCCCCCGCGGCCTGGCACAGCGCGCGGGGGACTACAACGATGCGCTGCAGAATTCCAGCAGAACCCTTAAGGAGGCGCCCAAAAACATCCAAAAACCACGAAAAAAACGGGTGGTGGTTGGGTTGTTGTATGGTTTTTATATAGTTTCTAGGTTTTTTCTATGATTTCTATGGTTTTTATTTGGTTTCTACGATTTGTGATGGCTTTGTCCTATGTTTTTTGAATGGTTTGATATGGCTGCATGGGGTTTTAGGATGGTTTCCCAACCAGGGTCTCGCGGATGATGAAATGCGACTTTCTTGGCAAGAATGCGGATTTGATTGCCAAATGGTTGGAAAAGATGGGTTACACCCTTGGTGGTTTGCATGTTTTTACCCTGAAGTATAAGGTAAAATCCTGTGAAGTTTTCGGTAAGCCAACTGGTGCATGGTTGGTTTTATATGGTGTGTATGGATTATGAAGTGTCAGAGGGATTTCATGACCAAACATTTTGATTTTATGATCAAAAATTGGATTCGATAGCCAAAGAAGCTAGAGAGATGGGACAATGTCATTGAGTTTGCCACGTTCAACGATCATGCAATTTATGGTGATTTATGGTGGTTTAAGCCCCTCACATGTTCCTATTGTTGTTGGTTAAGCAGCACCACAAATCCCATTTATATCCCATTGCATTCCCATTCACTATATGTTTATTATATCCCATTTTTAAAGCAGCATTTATAGTAGATCATGATTTTCATATCTAAAATCGCCGTAAAATCACCATAAAATCCCTCCAGAAGTCTTGAAAAACCAGGCGTGGGAGAGGTTTGGCTACAGCAGTGTATCTTGGCGCCGGGTTCGCGCCGGGTTGGCGCCGGGCCGGTAGAGCCGCCAGACGAGCCGCTAGCCAATGTGTTTAAATTTCTTTTTATGAATCTATGATAGATAGATATATAATAAATCTAACTATCATATCTAAAACATCGTAAATTATAGATATAATGTATGATATATCATTTAGAGAGAGAGAGATATATATGTATATATATATATGGATATATGGATATATATATATATATAGATACAAAATGCATCTATAATTTTTGGATGGAGATAACGGATCTTTTTTATATCGATCCTAGATGAACCAACTGGACGTCATTCATCCTGAATGATCTTTTGCGATTTCAATCGCAACAGCTACTTGAAGGCCAGCTAAGATGTTTTTCATGGTTTGCAGGGTATCTAAGTTTGGCAGTGAAAATGAATCTTAACGAGTTAATGGACATATTCAATGAGACATCACGAACCAAGCAAAATATATTATGTAGTTAATGGAAAAGACATTACTTCTGGTAATCGGCATGTGTGTTTTTATTCTCACTATGATAATCATACAATGACCCATAGCTATCGATATTGTACACTATATTGTAGCGTTGCTTTCAACTATTTAACGCTCTTTTACAGAATTATAAGCTACTATATGTGTTTTATCCAAGAATAATATATATACATATATTGGTTAAGGGATTGAAGGTTCCACACATCCTTTATGTATAATACGTATCAGTATTTTCTAGCAAGTTGCTATCATCAATGTGAAATAGTGTTTTATATCCAAGATATGTATCCCTTTAGATAGTGGGGTACGATGATTGAATACCAACATTGATATCTGCAACATTATTCGAACGCAAGCTCTACAGACTCCATCCCTACATCCGGGATGTCACTGACTCCGATGGTGTGCATGGTCTCATCTTGCGGAGCATCTTGAGGCTGAACTTGAAGCCTTGACTGGCGCCAGGAAGCTTGGACTCTTCCCTGGCTGCCTGTCAAGGAGAGCATCAAGACATCATGGCAGTTGAGACTCACTTCATCTGGTTTTTTTTCGATCCAGGCATGGACTAGGTGACTACTTGTCTTGAGAAGCTCTGCATCTTCCGTACAACTTGCCACCGACCCGGATCTTCCTTGGAGGTCCCGGTCATGATCTGCTTGAAGGTGGCGGCTGCCATCGCTGTTGTGGACAGAGATCCGTTGGCCATCCAGACCATCAAGCACAACTGGAGTACCCCCTGGTAAATTAACAGTTGGACCCTGAAAATGACCAATTTATAGTGGAAACTAGTCTTCCAACCCCTATCTGGCAGGGTCTATGTTAATTTACTGGAGGGTACTGCCTTCGATGGCGTCATCAACGTCTACGAAGAGGACGTCTACACGACTGTACCCAAGATCTTGTCAGGAGCAACATGGCTCCAGACCATGTAGATTTCCATAACCTAATTGGGATAATCCATATAATCCAGTGATATTTCATGAATATGGAATCCATATAATCCATTTAATCCGTGGCTTATCATCCATCCAACCCAGATTTCCATATATATATATATATAATCCAGTGATATTCCATTGATAATCCTTAATGGTTAGTTCATAGAAGTGGATGATGGGAAAATTTACAGGCAACCCCTATATTTGGTAAAAAAAACATGGTTTCCGGTTAAGATTTTCCCTTAAACCAATCCATTGAATAATGATTTTTAGCCATTTACAATCCAGCCGGATCCAGCCATTCAGGTGGCTTTCCAACGCCTCGCCCAGCTGGTGCGCCTCTGCGACCGATCCTTCACCTCCAAACACGTGCGGAGCCGGGGGCGGGCGGAGACGTGGGAAGTGGGAATTCACCACCCAAAAATGGGGATTTCATGGGATTAACCCATGAAAATGGGGATGTCATGGGAGTTTAAGCATGACAAATGGGGAGTGAAGTGATTGAAGCATCGAAATTTACGAAACAAGATTGTGATTGAACCATCAGACATGTAGGACCTGGTGATTTTTATTGCCAGAGATCAACCAGCACAGGGGGATTAAATCTCAACAGAACTTTGAGTTTCTTCCGAGTCAACCTTGGATGGATACTTTCAAAATATGATTGTTTACCCTCTGGTTATGTCAAAATAACTATTGAAAATCAATATTTATAGTGAATTTTCCCATGAATAGCATGGTGATTTTCCATAGTTATGTTAGTTTATATGATTGTTTAATTGAAAGTAGCTGGTTGGTGGTTTGGAACATTTTTTATTTTCCCCAATAGCTGGGATGATGATCCAATCTGACTAATATTTTTCAGAGGGGGTGAAACCACCAAGTAGGTAGGCATGTGCAGAAACCATGTAGAACCATCCATCATGTCAACCCTGGATTAATAAACCTCTAGGCTGTTTAATTGGGAGGGTACCATTTATGTACCATATTGTGACTATTTGGAGGTTACCCTCTAATTAATAAACCATGGTTTATTAATCCGGGGTTGACATTAATTGAAAGTAGGCATGTGCAGAACCATTTACAGATCATTAAAGGTTGGCGGTTTCAATGATTTTGTCATGTTCGAAAGGAGATTTTCATGAGATAAATGAAATGAGAATCTCCAATGACATTCGTTTATTTTCTGATGAATCAACCACCAGCTGCTACAGTTGACCCTGATGTTTTTTGCCAGGTGGCGTCTATCTACACCCTGGCGAAAGTGCCGGTGGTCGACGATCGCGTGAGTACTGCAGGCCTCATCCTGTCATCACAAGGATTGAACGCCAAAAAAAAGGTTTAACTCGAAAATTATGGTGGCTGAACTGGTTGAAGTATGTATTTTTTGAGGGTTTGTTCCAACTGGTGAGTTGGGTCGTTTGATTGTTCAATCCTTTGTCCGTTTTCTTTCCGGCGAAACATCTAATGTGTCAAAGATTGGCAATGATAGATCATGAATCCCGAACCATTCTGGGGAGGCACTCCTGGTGCATTCTCGATTTGGAGGTGTTGTTTACCACACTTGCGAACCACTTACCTTGATTTTTCTCAGTCGACGATTTGTTGTTTCAGAATGGGCAATCCACTACTTCGGGGAATCTATAGGGAATACGTGGGAATAGGTGGTTTTCTTTTTGGATAGGGGTTCAGCAAATCCAAGTTACCAAGTGGGATGATTGTAGTAACCAAGCTGCGGGCCGTAGTACCGTAGCTACTAAGCAAAGTTGTTCGCCAGAGTTGCAAACATTTACTAACCACTTACGACCAAGAACAGATATTGCAAAATTGCTTAAGCCATGTCAGGCACAGGTGATGGTGATCATCACATGGAATGTCATCATATTGAAGACATTCGCAAGGTATAACTGCCACAAATCATGGAAGAATGGAGGAGTTTCCAGGCTAGATTTTCAGAAGGTAATTGCATAGATGATAAATCATGATAAATCAAGAACATCAAATGACTATGCAGCTACGCATGGTGAGAATTCTTCAGCCGTTGATTCTCTTAAATTGTCCGAGCCGGTGATGTTAGAAATTGTGTTCTTGAAGAAGATCCACCGATCGGGGAATATACCGGGTATTTTCCATGAGTTAGGTAGATTTGTTTATTACCATATTCCTGGCCATATTTTGCTGGGATATTCCCTTACATAGGCCTAAAAAATAGGCCTTATACACGGTAGGTACCTCCAATCAATCGGTTCCTGAAATGGCCATTGTTTATGACCAGCAAATCTAACTACCGCCAGTGAATATTAACCGCATTTTTTGGCGGCTGACTGAGTTGACTGACCCGTTTAAAAAACCTGGTGGTTAAACATCATGATTTTGTAAGATCAATGGATGTCGTTTGTTCTATCATCTTATCATCTTGTCGGCTCCCTCCGGTAATCAACCGTGGCAAACGCTGGGAAATCCCGGAACAAAAGGAGGTTTCAAACGCTGGGGAAAATTGTTGACCTAAATTGGTTGATTTCCAGCAAGCAACGTGCAAAATTTCCGGTGGGTATATCCCATGAATATCCAACTTTTGGGGATTACTTGGAAGCTCGTCTCCTTTAGCAACTGAAACTCAGAAGCCTGGAGAGAGGACGTCCCCATGTCGTGGCTGATCCCATAAGTGGATAGGAATATAATATGTGGAGGGTTATACCCGTAATTATTCCATTCTACTAACTAACCTTTCCATAGGTAGTATACCCTAGTTACTAAAACGATGTAATTAACCCAGTTGGGTATAACTATGGTTACTAACCAATTCCGATCAGTAGAATGATCTTCGAAGTAGTGACGGTCCCGTCGATATTCCATTAAATCATCATTCAACCACCATTCGATCACCATGAAATCACAAAAAAAACGCTAAAACTCCCATTGAATCACAAAAAATGTTGAAAACAACTCTAACACCACCATTACACCAAACTCCCCACGATACAGCGCCCAGGTGATACCCGAGGCCTTAGCTACTCTGAGTTTTTAGAGGCCGTTTCACGTTTAGCCATGGTCTGGAGCAGATGCTCGGTGCGGAAATGGGTCAATTTAATGGGGATCTTAGCGTTTAACCATTGATATGGAAGGCCGAGGTTCAGAAATGATAGAGATATCTACCCTCTGGCATCTAACATAACTATGGAAATTGGCCCATTTATAGTTGATCTACCTATTATAAATGGTGATTTTCCAGGTCGCAAACTGTTAGTTTACCAGATATATATATATATTGTATATTGTATATTTGTTGATATAGATATGTTGATAGAGGATTGAACCGTTAAACCATTGAAGATCATGGAAGATGAGGATTGAATTATCAAAAATGGAGATTCGAACCATCAAACATGGATGCATTTCACATGATTTACCATCTTTAACATAGCCATGGTATAGATGGCCCATAGAAATAGATGGTTTACCTGGGTTTACCGTTCTTAAAAATGGGTGGATTTTCCATGGCAAACTGGATTTAAGTAGCATTTCTTTGGGGAACAAACCCATCCAATTTTCATGGGATTGGAACCACTACAAAAATTGGGATTTAAGCACAAAAACAAACATGTTTTCATTCGATATAGCGTCGCGGGTATGGTGGCGGTACAATGGGACGCTGCATATTTCATGAAGTATATCCAAGCTTGGGCCAATCCTGCACCAGGTCGTAGATGGTTTATCCTGTTGTAATCACATTAAATTTGCATGTCTCATAGTTACCAATAGATGCCTGCTGTAGGATTTCGCAACCATCCATGGCATTTGGGGAAAACCCAGGGGTTCCTTTTGATTTGTTCAACCAATCCCTCTAAATATAATGTGACATGGCATGAAAGTACCATCTGGTTATTTAACCAGAGGGTAGTGTTTTGCATTTTGTTTGGTGGCAAAGACATCCAAAATTTGATGTGAAATCGGGCCATAACCAGTAGATTTTAGGGGAAACAAAGCATCAAACATCTTATCGGATCAGGTTTGGGCCATTGGGGTTTGTTTAGGGATGCATCTGGGGAAACCATCAGTTAATACGAGTTACCCGACCTGGTAAACATACAAAAAACTATGGGAAATCACCATTTTTAATGGGTAAATCAACTATTTCTATGGCCATTTTCAATAGCTATGTTAGTTTACCAGAGGGTAATGGGTAAGCCCAGCATGTTTTGGATGTGCTGCAGCTGCTGGACCACTGGATTTCCCCCAAGAAAGGGGTGATTCTTATGCATTCGACACCACATTTCCCTGAAACTTATCACGGCGTCGCCGTTGGAACATCTTAGCAGGGCATGGCCGTGGTTGATACTGTATGATTTCCATGGCAGGTTTCCTTGGGGACTTGGGAATGCAGCTCGACCTAAGTCGATATATTTCATCCTGGTAAGTTGGGATATCCCAACTTTGGGGTGTTCAAAACCCATACCCATGAAAGTCAGATCTGTGATGCAAGCGTCACATCCTTTTAAGATCGGTGCCTGGGATGACTTATGAGATAAAAACAACTGGGATAACTGGTTGATAACTGGTTGATACCATCTGTTTATTTAACAGTTTGCCATGGAAAATGGCCCATTTATAGATGGTTTATCTATTATGGTGATTTTCCATAGCTATGTTAGTTTACCAGAGGGTAATTGCGATGACTTATTGGGTTCACCATGATGAATTGTCGTTGCAAACAATGATGCTTTGCTCTGACCGGGGGGGTTCTGCAAAAACTGACCAGTCGCGACCAGAAATGATAGTTGTGGAACGGCTGTCCTTCAAAGGATTGGTTTTCACGGGAATATTGAAACCGGCTTTAGCCCCATGATCTTAATGGGAAAATCGATAGTTTCCGGTTAAGATTTTCCCCCAACAAACCAATCCATTGAGTCACTGCAGAATGGCATCTGGGCAAGCCTGGCTACAAAACAAATCACACCAGGCACATCCAGGCCACAGACAAACACCACGAAAACTACTTGGATTGCACCATCACTTGCGCGGTTTCACAGATGTGTTCTATCTGAATTCTCCAGGGCTTCTTTTGCATCGGCAGAATCTTTCGACACCCGAAGCATCGAAGCATTGCTGACAGCTGGCCCAAATCGTCCAGGTTGCGCGATGTGATGACCAACAGCATGCTTCGATTGTGCAAGGTGGTGCCCCCTAGATAGCTAAGTTGGTGAACACAACTCCAGTTTCACTATGGTTTATAGGTGATATATCTATAGTTAATGGGGTTTATAAACCAATTTATAACGTTTGGGGGGCACCACCTTGTAGAGCGTGTTTCTTTAGCAATGCCGGGACTTGGATTCCAGTTTTTCTGTTTTGCAACACTTGTTGCTTTTGGTTTTGTTGTGATGGTTTTAAAATAAGTGGGATGTTTCTTTCCTTAGAAAATCACACAAGGCACCACATTCGCAGACGCTGCTGCATTTACAAACGCCAAAATCAAAATTGAGAGACAGAAAATCCTCCTAAAACCAAACAAAAAGATGCAAAACCGCAAAACATTAAACAAAAAAATGCAGTGTTGGCTGTGTTTATTTTCTGGAACTCAACACCGCATAATATATCCAAATCTAGACATCCACTTTGACATCATGGGATCGGGAGGATGCAGTCGCAAGGTAAACAAGTCTCAGTTGGTTATACTATACCCCTTGGATGCTATACTTGGAGCTACAGTTGGTGTGATTAATGAGTAGAACCATGGGATTTTTACCTCCATAAGTAAGTTGGGACATGATCTGCCTTGTAACTATGGTTGCTATAGTATCCATTCAAATAATGTCAAATCCCTTTTCGAAGCTTGGCAGTAGAGGCCAGGTGATTTTTGGAAGATTCGCCATGCTGTGTCAGTGTCCCAGAAATGTCGTCCGAGGAAGCGGCAGGATGCCAGCATGCTGCCCACAGGCTGGGTCCCAAGGGTTTCGAACCATCCCGGACAGCTAAGATAGACACTGAGAACCACACTTTTTGAACCACCCATGTTTACAGGGAAAATTATTCATCTTCCAACCTGTCAGCTAGGAGGATGGTAAAGATGTAAAACATTTAAGAACTGGACACCTCTTTCTTTGTGGTGAGAAAAACGTCAGATGTTTCCGGCAGATGTTCGTCTCATCACCATACCTTTTGGATGGGCCGAATGACCTTCGCAGTAAGTTTTTCACCTGACCATGGAACACCATGGAGCATCCATCAAAAAATGACAATGTCCTAGGTTAACCAACTGGATGCGTACAAACTAATCCTTTAGTCTTTTGCTATCAATGGGATTATCTACATTCACCAGCCAAGTTTTTTTTTGCAGGGCATCGAAGATTGGCCATGTTCCCGGAATGTTCCAATTAAACATAGAGGTTTCCCGTTGCCGGCGTTTACCAGAACGGTGGCCTAACATTTTAGGAGGCTAAGCTTACGGTTTAAACAGAGGGTAGCCTCCTTTGTGTCAAAACTACCAACTTCCCAAGGCCCCTTTGGGTGGATTGTGTGATACTAAAAACGATAGGCGTTTTAGGCCCAATGGGAATTTATATCCATAGCATCTCCTGCAGTAAATTTACCTCAATATGCTTTGAACCCACCATTTGTAGATCATGTTCCTTGAAAAAAACCTGGTATTTGTTCCATGTCCAATTTGAAATAAACCTCAATCAATAAACCCCTATATTCCCCTTCGGTGAGACTATAACCATCCCCAAAGGGTAAGTTCACTCTGGTTTTTCCATATCTATGATAATTAACCATCTATGATTGGTTGGCCTCATATGGTTTTCACCCGTCATGAAAGTAAATCATGTTCCGTAAATGGTTTTCGAAGGAAATTTTGCCAATCAATGGGAACGACTTTAGTGTAAATCCACTAGAAATAGGGATTCAATGGGATATTCCGATATTGAGTGGCTGGAGAATCCATCATGAACCATGATCAACATTGGAATAATCCATTGAATATCCCATTGAACCATTTGTTCCACTATAATCCATTGGATAATCCAAAATCAAAAGTTGGATGAACCATGATATAATCATTCCATTATCATTCATCATAGACCAAAATCAGCTTTGATCTATATGGAATGATATCATTATTAAAATATGGGAATGATATCATAGACCAAAACCCATTCCCAGACGTCTTTCCAGGAGGATTTGGGTTTAATTGGGTTTTGACCCAAAAGTGATTTTGGTCTATGAACTATAACAGTCTATGATATTCTATGATTAATGTACTCTATGATATTTTGGTCTATGATATTCTATGATATCATTTCAGACAATGAACTCATTAATATACAGTATGGGTTCATAAGTTCACCGAACCCAGACGTCCAGGAGGATGGATCAATGCGCGGCCGCAGATGGCCCCCACAACCCCAGGTCCGTGGGTTATCTCATGGGAACTGGATATGCTGGGGAAGTGGGTTGGATATGCTGGGATTTACTGGGATTTGCACACCCATTCGCATCATGGGGATAGAATGGGAACATATTTTTTGAAATTACTGTATGGCCAGATCATGAATGGCCATACAAAGCTCGGTGAATCCTGATGCATCTGATCCGTGGCTAAAACGAAGCCAGATGAAGTGGGATTCAAATCGAAGGCCATAGACCCTGCCAAACAGAGCTCGGAAGATCACTTTTCACTTACCCTCTGGTAAACTAACAGTTTGCTATGGAAAATCACCATGTTTAATGGATAAATCAACGAACTAAATGGCCATGTTCAATGGCTATGTAACAGATTACCAGAGGGTGCCCTCTAGAAAACTAACATAGCTATTGAAAATGGCCATTTATAGTGATTTTTCCCATTAAAAAATTGTGATTTTCCATAGTTTTTTGTATGTTTACCACAGGGTACTTTCGGATTTATGAGGTCTATGTTTATTTACTGGAGGGAAAATATTCTTAAATGACCGAACTTCTCAGACTGAATTGATGTCATCCATCCCCAGATGCGAACCATGGTGCTGGTATATTTAACTACAAAACTGGGTGATTTTGTTCGGGCAAATGTTGGTGAATATTCCAGCACCATGGAGCATATGGGATATAATTACTTTCATTATAGTATTTTACAGTCATGTTCAGTAGATGGACTGGATTATTGTGGTTCTGGAAAGAGTTAGTAATGAACTGTAAACTGGCTAATAAGAAACTTAAGATCGTGGTCATCGACATGTTCTAGAATAACTGGGGTAGTGTTAAGATTATCCAAGATTAACCATATATGTGTCTGATTTCTAGGTCAAACTTTGTTTGGTAGTTTCCTTGTTTAATGATTGGAAACGAAAGATTTATAAATCCATAAAAATCCCAGGTTTGGGCTGGAAAATGGGCCACAAATTGTGATTGTGTAGTGTATTTACGAGAACGGATGTGAATCACATATACTTGGGGTAAGTATATGTAATATATATATATATGTATATATATCTATCTGTATATTTATTTAGATATGTGCATGTTGTATTGGATATCTATATCTATAGCTATATCTACATCTATATCTATTTATACTTATATATATTATGATTATCCCATCATTATCCAATATTCCATCATAAAGTCCAAGAAACTATATTCCCCATGCTTCTATTTATATCTATATATATTTATCTTGATGTATTTGGTATTTCCTGAACAGACTCTTGATGGGATGCCTTCATCAACATTCAGAAGGGGTGAAATTTGCAGCTGAAGTTTGGGCTCGTTTCAACTTGGTCCAAATTCATGGAAAAATCGATGAACCAAATAAAGTTTAAAGCTGAAGATGTTTAAGTGTAGCTGTGTAGCTATAAATTGGTTTATCCGGGAATACCTGAATACAGACCTACAGAAAACCATTCGAATTGCTTAAAAGAACGCTAAGGGTCTCTTGGATCAGAAAAATCCAGGCGATTCTCAGTTCACGTTGGCTTTTCCCGACCGGTTTCTGATTGGTCAAGATCCCTCCATGCCTTACCAAAAATCTAACGCTGTGGCAACACACCTCAAGAATCAGCTTCAAAAGCCATGTGTTCATAAAGTTCATATTTCTCATGATTTTGTTCATCCCTAACCCAAAAATCCGTATCAAAATCCGTACCAAAACCCATATTTACCACAGGTCACATGAAATCTCTATTTATCATGATCAAGTCCCATGAAACCTACATGATTTTCATGGTTGAATCACCCCGGTTTTCCCACGTCAGGCCGGCTTCCCCGTGAAGGAGCGAGTCCTGGCACAGCGCCTCCAAGCCTTCGTGCAGCGCCTGGCGGAGCGAATGCGGCCCTCGGTGAAGGGACGGATAGCGATCTGAGTTGCCTGGGTTTTTCTGGCATTTTGGTGGGCTGAATTCCATGGTTTATGATTTATGGATGTTTATGGTAGATATAACTGCTAAGTTGGTTTGAACATCACTCCAATTTATTTTTGGTGGCTGAATTCTATGGTTTATGGGGCCCCCGTTCGATAGCGTTCAGTTGGTTTATAACTACAATTTCACTAGGGTTTATGGTAGTTATAACCATAGTTAGATGGGGCTATAAACCAACTTATAAATAGGGGGCCCCACATTCTATGGTTTATGGATGTTTATGGTAGGTATGGAATGGTAGATATCGAAATCGTAGGGATTCACTGTTCCATCTTTTCAAGGGGGCCGTATACCTATAAAACCCATCTTTGGACACCTTTTAAACCGGTGAAAACCATTCCGGACCTCAAGTGAACAGAAACCTCATGATTTAGATCTAATGAGTTTGGGCTAGCATCAACCAGATGTGGCTGGATGCCGAGCCGTTTCACCTGCGTTTCACAGAGACGCCCAAAGGGCGCAACCTGCGACATGCAAAAAATCGCGCCGGTTTGTGGGGAACTTGGGACCTGAACTTTGAATGTTTTGCGATGATGCACAATTCATGTATATATCTTGTATATATGTACTAAGTACCCTCTGGCTATTTAACATAGCCATGGACAATGGCCCATTTATAGATGGTTTACCTATTAAAAATGGTGATTTACCTAATATGTTCTAGGTCAATCTTAGATGGATACAAACTAATCCTGAATAGTCTTTTGGTATCAATGGAAATATCTACGTACTAACCAGCAAAGATTTTTTGTCATTTTGTTGCAGGGGATCTGGCTGATTGGCAATGTATATATGTTGTATATATGTACTAAGTAGCTGGATAGCTAGATGTTTTGCAAGGCATCCAAACTGTGGTTTTTCATCAGGCTTTCCAAAGCGTCACCTTTGGCATGGCCGTTGGGGAAATGCCGGTTAGATCCCCATGTGGCTATGGGGCGGTCAAAAGTAGCTACGCCATGGCACACAAAAAAAAGTGCATAGGGGGAACTACTAATCTGCTTGGTGGTGACTGGAACATGAATTTTGAATGACTTTCCCATCATATTGGAAATGGAAAATCGTCCCAACTGACGAATATTTATATTTTTCAGAGGGGTGGGTCAACCACCAACCTGTACTAATGTTGTTTCTTCTGGGTCTAACACGTATCTTGAAGTCAACCTATATGTCAATGGACTGGGAAAGCCTTGGTTCCCTCATTTTGCCATTTTTTTTCAGCCAAACCCGTCTTGGACGGGTACAATATACGCCACTTTTTCGACCTCCCAATTCAATGTTTTTTTCGAGAATTCAAATGCTAGAACAGGCAACTCCAAAAAAGATGGAAAAGTAAATTCCCACTAAACTTGTGTTACATAAAGGGGTCCTATACACAGTATTAACGCAGCTTTGACCCATTGTTGGTGATGCTCCCACTTGCTGTTGAAACCTGTTCACCCAAAATTGCTGGGAGATGTTCCCTTTATAGAACCTTACAAACGGGTAGCTTACCATTTTTCCAAATTGGAAACCATCATTTTTACCTACCCAAATCACTTTAACACATCCTTCTGCAGATATGTTGTATAACCATTGAACATTGTTTTCCACATTAGAAACCCATCAAATTCAACCAACCTGCCAACCATGCTTTAATAGGACATTTATATGCACATATTTGGGACCATGGGATAGGGGTGTCTAATGTGAACCTGGAGTTATGTTCACCAACTTAGCTAACTAGATCACCAATAAAATCAAAAAAACACCCCATTCAGTTTCAATCCCATCAAATCAGCATCAAATCCCATGAAATCACCATAAACCTCATTAAATCTTATTAAATCACCATTAAATCCTATTGAATCGCAATTTTTCTCCACCATTTTTTTTCATCCCCCAAGTCATCGTCGGTCTCCACAACCGATTTGTCTCCTTTAAGGACCGAGACCAGCGAGGCACGACAGGTCTTGAAGAAGGAGATTGCTCTGCAGGCGCGGGCGGTACGGTGCGATACGAAAAAGATGTTGTGATGGGATAGAATAATGGTTTATTGATGGTTTATTGATGGTTTCTTGATGGTTTATTGATGGTTTATTTGATGGTTTATTTGATGGTTTATTTGATGGTTTATTTGATGGTTTATTTGATGGTTTATTTGATGGTTTGCTGATGGTTTGTTGATGGTTTATTGATGATTTGTTGATGGTTTATTGATGATTTATTGATGGTTTATTGATGGTTTATTGATGGTTTATTGATGGTTTATTGATGGTTTGTTGATGGTTTGTTGATGGTTTATTGATGATTTGTTGATTGTTTATTGATGGTTTATTGATGGTTTATTGATGGTTTGTTGGTGGTTTGTTGATGGTTTATTGATGGTCTATTGATGGTTTATTGATGGTTTATTGATTGTTTATTGATGGTTTTTTGGTGGTTTGCTGATTTTTTCTTGATGGTTTATTGATGGTTTGTTGATGGTTTCTTGATGGTTTCTCGATGGTTTCTTGATGGTTTATTGGTGGTTTATTGGTGGTTTATTGATGGTTTATTTGATGGTTTATTTGATGAATTATTTGATGGTTTATCTGATGGTTTATTTGATGGTTTATTGATTGTTTATTGATGGTTTATTTGATGGTTCATTGATGGTTTATTTCATGGTTTATTGATGGTTTATTTCATGGTTTATTGATGGTTTAAAGTGGTTTTTAGTATTTTTTACAATCAATATGATGATTTAGTAATTTATAATCGATATAATGCCATATAATTTCATATAATTGTTTATAATGTCACTTCTGATTGGAAAAAGTGTTGCTGTGGATGGACCCAAACCTGCACCAGTTGGTAACCATTGGTAGCTATGAGACATTGTAATTTTGGGATTATAATCCGCTACATTCATGATTGGAACAAATGGGAAAATATTTGAATACACGAACTACTTGTATGAGTTCTTTAATGCATATACTCACATGGGTAACTTCTCTTGGCCCGGCTGCCCTGGTGCTGTCACTCTGGATCCACTGAGAAGTTTACAGGGGCGCCTGGCTTCACTGTCAGTGATAGCCCGAACGGCGACTTTTTTATCTCCAGGTCGTCAAGTTGATGAGGTATGCAGGCATCAAATATCAAAGCTGTCGATGTCGACAATCTGTCGATATATGACAAATTGAAACAGCCTGCATATCGCGAAGGCCCACAAGAATTGTGGTGAGCATCACGACAAATGAGGATACCACTGTCCATTATCTTGGCAGGGGCATTGGTAGGAGTGTGTTCTCAACCACAAAAGTGCCAGGCAGCACGCACTTCTTGCACATCAATGTGCTCTAGTGCAAGGGCAAAGCCGGAGGTTGATAGCGGGGAAAATATTGACAATCCTGGATTTGTAAATGTCACGTATGAAGGAACATAATGATGGTTTACAATACTTTATGGTCTTATAATGGTTGATAGTGATGATAGTGGTTTATAACTGATATACATATATATATATATCGTTTTATCATTTATTGGTGAGAGCGGTTCCTAATGCATGGGTTTATATGTTCAGGCAAGTGAATTATCATTCGGCCAGAATCTAATTGATGCACCTTGTGACCTTGCGGGTCAGAATCTGTGGTGGGTTGATAGCAACCCCACAAAAAGATAGAGAAGTAAAACCCTATCAAAATAGGGATAAATCATTGGAAAATATAGGCAGATATAGGAAAACACAGGAAAATACAGGAAAACCATCATAAGAGATTCGAAACCATTGGAAGATATGGGAAAATCCACTCTAACCACAAAGTGTATCATCATTTTATACTTTCCCACTGGAACATCCCCATCATTTGGGAATCTATAGGGAATAGATTTCTATAAATTTCATTTTTTTGGAGCCCCTTAAGCACACCTAAGCAAATGATTGTTGCAGATGACCCCTTCCCCATTTGGGACGTCAATTGCTCCAGGAGGGACCCTTGGAGTTTGAAGGTCAAAACCTATGGAGTTTCTTCAGATTCTCCTAAGCAATCCATTGAACTCATGACTGGTGGTGAGTGGAACCATGGAATTTTATGACTTTCCATATCTTGGGAATAATAATCCAAGAATAAAAGTGGTTCCAATAATAGGTATATTATTATTTGGTTTCCATATATTTTCCATTCAGTTGGGAATGTCATCTTCCCAACTGACGAACTCCATCATTTTTCAGAGGGGTAGGTATAACCACCAACCAGATGGTTTCGATGGGTCTGGGTTGGCCGCCAAGCTCTGACGAAAATCGCGCAGGATGCCATTTTCAACTGCGGACGGGTGGCCGTGCTAGTGGCGAAGCCCGGTTTACGTTGTCCGGGGGTTATCCGGATTTGCGGCATGCAGCACAAGGTGAGGTAAGTTGACGCACATAACTTGGTTGACTCTGATTTATGGGGCATATACTATAGCATACTATAGCTACTGGACTATTAAAAGCAACAAACACAACTGGAGGGGGACCTGAATTCCAAAGCAATCCACGATTTTTCGTGGTCCTCCGACTCCAATTCTGGCTCGAAATGTGGGTGCGGAGCCTTCACAGGATGATCAAGTCTAATGTCAACCCTGGATTAATGTCAACCCCGTGCCAAACAGCTGTTTAATTGGGAAGGTACCATTTAAGTACAGTATCAAATCATGACTATTGGGGGAATACCCCCCTAATTTTCATAAACCAAGGTTTTATTCATCCGGGGTTGACATTCGAAAATGTCATAGCTATTTTGGCCACAAAACATGGCCACAATCCATTGAAAGTAGGGGACACCCATGCTTGATTTACCCAGTTAGTCAATGGCCATTTCAGGAACCGAGGTACCTACCATATATTTTGGGCCAATGTATATATATATATATATATCAGGCCTAAATTTCAGGGAATATCCCCACAATTCATATGGCCTTAATGATATGGTACTAACGTAGCTTCATTTTAGGATCCTGAAAATCCCATTGATTAATTGCATTTATGGGATGGTAACTAACATCAACTGGGATGATAACTTTGCCATTAAATGGGATAACATTAACTATATTTATGGGCTGGTAACTAACATCAACTAACATCAACTAACATCAACGAACATCAACGAACATCAACGAACATCAACGAACATCAACTAACATCAACTAACATCAACTAACATCAACTAACATCAACTAACATCAACTATCAACTAACATCAACTAACATTAACTAACATCAGCTGACATCAACTAACATCAACCAACCCACAATATTGATATGTTCCCATTTAAAAAAAAAAAAAAACGATCTTTTCCACTATGATCCCATGATATCTCCACGTGTAGTAGCTTGAGGTGGCAGCCTTTGCCACTGGCAACATGGAATGGTTGCGCCATGGCACTGAGGCGGAGATTCCATGATCCCATAAATAGCTGGCTGGTTTCATGGAATTTTGCCCATTAAAATTGCAAATTTATGGAAGGGTTTCGAAGTTGGATCGTTCGTTTATTTCATGGCTATGGGGTTTATATCATGGATGGTTTATTTCATGGAATATCCATTGATAAATGAAAAATGGGAGGTACCATGAAACCATGAAAAATAGATGAAAGAACCATGGAAAAGCCCATGTCATAAAAGGGAAAATAGATGAAAAATGGGGAAAAACCCTCCCATTTTAGGAAACCTGCATATATGCCTGTGAAAACAAAAGAAAACTATGAAGTATATCATAGAGTCATGCTAGACTCTTGGAGATGGCGATGGAGATATCATAGAGTCATATGGACTGTATAGATTATAAAGGGATGTTCAACCCAAATAAATCTGAAGGAAAATAAAACCAACTCAGCAATTGGGATTCAATGGGATTTACTTGGAAATAACGGGGTTTAATATGATCTAATTAATTGGGATTTCTTCATAGGGTTTCTACAAGGTCGTGCCCCAGTTTCTAAGCTAAGTTGGGTTATATTTGATAAAACTAGGGTTTATGCTAGATAAATTTAACTAGTTAATGGTGTCAATAAACTACAAATCAACAGAGGTTGGCCATTCCCACAAATCGTAAATAGATTTCATAGCCATATAGCTGGATATATCCCATAGATAAGTGGGTTTGGTGATAGGAATCAATTCAATCCCGAAATAGATGCCCATATGTTGACGAAAACATTGTCTGGTTGGTGGTTTCAAACATTTTTTATTTTTCATTTCATATATGGGGTGCCATCCTTCCCATTGACGAACTCATATTTTTCAAGACGGTTATAGCACCACCAACCAGTTGTGAACACATTCTCTTTGATTCTCTTCTGGTTGGTGGTTTGGAACCATGGAATTTTATGACTTTCCATTCAGTTGGGAATGTCATCATCCCAACTGACGAACTCCATCATTTTTCAGATGGGTAGGTATAACCACCAACCAGTGATCTATTGAATTCCTATGGATTAATATTGATTTACCAGGATTTACCCACATAAAAACCAGGGTTTTTCAGTACCCGGTGGAGATCTGCGTGGAAAAATCCTGCCAGGATGCCTTGCACCAACAGCAACGCGCGTCGCCCGGCGTTGTGAACTCTTGTCCGGGGGTCCTTTTGGGTTTTCATTCAGCCATTCGAATGGTGACTTTTTGGGGATGGTATGGGATGGCGTTGATGGTTGGATTATTTACCACATGGAAAACCATAGGAAAATGGTGATTTAATGGTGATTAATCCATGATTTTCATGGTGATTAATGGTGATTAGCCTCTGGTTATGACTAACAGTTTCCATGGCGAACTGTTAAATAACCAGAGGGCATTAGATCTCTAAGGTTCGACTTGTGTTTTCCATTTTGTTCAGTGGTTCGGAGCGAGGTAAGGAGCTATGGCTATCTATTTTCCATATTAAATGGAGCGCTAAGGAGCTATTAAGAGTCTCCCATCCACGTGATAGAATAGGCAATGTTAAATTTACCCACGGCTGAGTAATTTCTAGTTCAGAATTTATTTGTTAGCCCCCTCCAGAAGTATACAAACAAATAAAGCCTCAGTGGGGGAGCACGCATTAAAAAAAAAACACAACTGTCGGGGGATACCTTGAGGGGTATGTCCATTCTCAGTGAGTACCCCCCAATGATCAGAAACAGGAGACTACACACCTAAAATTTAGGGTTGTCTTTTTGGATATGAATATGCCACGGCAGCAACGGCTGATTTGAGTATTACAGTTCTTTTGTTTGTGCCAGGGTTGCAAGATCATGGGGAGATGGGTAAATTCTAATCGGTTGGATCGAAATAGGCTCATCGGCCCATACAAGAAATGACCCAAAAAAGCGATGGTTTGATGCTAGAAATGATTTGGTTATTTAACATAGCCATGGAAAATCCACCCATTTTTAAGAAACGGTAAACCATCTATAAATGGACCATTTTCCATGGCTATGTTAAATAACCAGAAGGTAATGCCATATAGATTGGGTGTTGACGTCAATGGAAGCGGATCTTTTGAGACGTCCACTGCAAGATGAGTCAGCACCGCTAACGTGGAACTTTCGGTGGCATAGTGTTCGGCAAGAGAATGCACACACTTCCATTAAAAGGTGACCCATTACATTTTGCTACATGAACTCAGGACGGCATGGACCAAAGCAAGTGGTCAATTCCTCGTTATCGGCTTCAGACGAAGGAGAGTCAGAACATGATCCGTCCCCATTGAAAAGTGCACGGCGTTTGGCTACACGGCGTGTCACTGACTTTGTACGCCGTCCATCCTTGCATTCCTTCCGACAGTTCTCTGCTCTTGGAGTGTTTCATGAGGTCTATGCAGGATGCAGCAGCCCTGTTCGACAAGAATCGTTCCAAAACCCCCTATGGTTCAGAATTGGATCCATTCTAATTATTCATAGGGGGTATGTGGTTATTGTTTGGATCTATTGGCTTCCAATATGTATTATGGTTAACGATCCTTCCAATAACATAATTGGATCTATTCATGAACTGAGTCCCTTAGAAGTATGTGGTTATTGCAGCTGGGCACACGAAGATTCCCCATTTTAGGATGGTTAAACAATGCTAAACATGGTAAAACCGCTGATGTTTGATATTTCAAGCACAAGTTTGATAGTTCAACCTAGTTCAACCAGCTCATGTTTGGTGTTTACCCTCTGGTTATGTCAAAATAGCTATTGAAAATGAATAAAATGATCATAGAAATCGTTGATTTACCATGATTTACCTATTACAAATGGGTGGATTTTCCAGTTCGTTATGCGACAGTTTACCAGGGTGATCCCAGGCCCATCCATCCCCATCTGAAGCCCTTGATCAAAGCGGCATTGGAAGCTGGGGCGCATGGTGCGTTCGGGGAGCCCAATCGAAAACGGGGCACCAAACTAAGGGCACCCCGGGCACCCGGAGAAAGGTGAGTTTTTGTTTAGCTAACTGATGAAGATCTGAAAATGTATATTTCTAAGTATGTCTTAACTGTTTTTATATATATATATGCATATATAACAATAATAATAATTTATATGTACAAAGATAACAAAATATATATATATATATATTTGTTATATGTCAATATATGTCACTGTTATTGCTACTATTGGCTGTATTGTCATTATTGGGGTTGTTATTGTTGTTAGTACGTATTGTCAGCATTATCGTTGTTGTTGGTACGGTTTGTTTTTGATTTTCCGGTTGTTGCTAAATCTTGGAACATCTTCCGTTGCTATTACTTTGGTATTGCTATCATTGTTGATAAAATATTAACAAAGTATCCGGGGGTCAACCTGTTCAATCCTTCAATCTGCTGTAAAAAGGAAGGAATATTTACTAACCAGCTAGCAATTCAATGTGTTAATGTTTTTTGCAGGGTATCTAAGATATTGGCAACGGTAAAACCCGTTTTCTAATGTCAAAGACCAGCAGCACTGCTGAACTTCTGGGATTATGTGGCTATGACTTGACATATAATGCCAAAAAATCATGGAAATATAGGGAAACGATGGTGAAAATGGCGGTTTTAATGGGAAAATATGGTGGATGAAGGGGAGGTTATTGGCTGCATACACCTGCCAAATGAAAAGAACATGTTTCTGGATAAGGATATACCCCATTTTCAGACACACCCGAATGGCTATATTTAGTGGGTCAGGGCCCCTCAAAAAACAACGTCTGCAGCATCCAGGCTTACAGTGCTGTTTGAGCACACACAGGGCCAGAAATTTTGGCCAGCGACCGGCGACCGGATGATTCACGATCCAAAGTTCATGTCTCAAACGCTACTGTTTGGCAAACTATCATCGCAAAGCAAGATCACCGTTGATAATGTCAAGTCATATGTGAAGCATTCACTTTGTGGTATATCTCAATTTTGAACCAATCTCACTTGATGTTTTGCGCATGGAAAACGAAATGTCTGGTTGCGAAACCAGACGTCACATTGTGTTTTCTTCCATGGGTTTCCCAATGAGTCCAAAAAAATGGGTTTATGCCCTCAGCTCCCGAGCGGGGAATTGAAGCAGCCTACAGCCATGGCAATGCAGATCCTTTTCTCAGTTCTTGGGGCTGGTTCTGGGTTTACAATTGGTTATACCTACCCATTAAAAGGCCCACTATGCACCTATTAAATTTATTAAATAGCAAACCCACTCTTTCCGCGCGGCGGTGGCGACATATCAAGCAGCTAACAGGCTGCTTGCGGAACCCGCCGCTTGGTCCCAAGTGAGTGGGATGAATTGATGGGACTCACCAAGAAACATACACTGTGGGGCCCCCTAGTCATAAGTTGGTTTATAGCCCCATCTAACTACGGTTACAACTACCATAAACCCTAGTTACTGTAGTTATAAACCAACTGAACGCTATCTCGGGGCCCGACACTGTAGGGATTTCAGAAACAAAATCACGGGATTTTACTGGATTTCATGGGGATTTTTGATGGGATGATATACCCGAACTGGTGTCATGAAACATGGCTGAACAATCCGCGAACTCAATAAGGTTTATAGCAGGGAAAATCATCCATAAATGGGAGATATTGACATTATTCCATTGTCATGTCTGATGACACCGGAGGGGTTTTGCCTGTGCGTATGTATATATATATATATAATCATACATGGACACAAAAAGATACCGAAATAGACATACTTGTATTTATATATATATATATGTGTGTGTGTGTGCGTGAATATTGTCTTTAACGGTTTCCAAGTGTTTTCTGTGCAACATCATGTTTGTTGCTGCATCCTTTTTTATGTCCTGGAACAAAAAAAGCCTTGCCATTTCGAACTCATCACACCCGATGGTGGGGTAACCCTGGATACCCTCTGGTAAACGTTTACATAACTATGGAAAATCACCATGCTAATAGTGGGAAAATCCACTATTTCTATGGCCATTTTCAATAGCTATTTTGACATAACCAGGGGGTACCCCTTGGGAATGAAGGTCCCATCAGCGGGGCAGCTCCGATTCCAAGCATGTGAACGCTTGTTAGACTGTCTGACTGTTCGTTTTCCCTTTGTTGAGTTTATTGACTCAAGGTTTCCTACCCCCAAACACTCATTTTGATAGGGCAAATGATTGTAAACCGAACCATCGACTTTGAGTCTTTTCCTCATGTTCCAGATAAACCCAGTGAACAACGATCAAGATGTTGGCTTTTATCCTGATCTTTCTGTTTGGGTTTTCCCTGGATGTTTTCACCTCATTTGGCCTTTCAAAACGTTGCCCCTGCAGGTTCACGCCACACGCATTTGCAAGTTTTGAGATGTTGAACCCATGAGATAAGCCCTTTAACCCGAATCCGGAAAAGAAATGAACAGATGCCCCAACATCCAGTTTTCAATCATTTGGATGAATTTTAATGGTTTATATATGGTGAACATCCCCAAATGGCCTTATTTACATTATTTTCAGGTTAGTAAAAATTATTACAATTCAGCCAGGCTTATCAATTATCATTTTCTACGGATGTAGAATTATTATAGTTATTAATTGCATGTTAGTGGTTACTATAGTTCTACTATTATTGTCAATTATTATAGTAGTTATCATTTTCCAGTTGTAAGTGGATGCAGAACTATACTTTTCTACGGCTGAGTCGTCCGGCAAAAATATCTCCCAACTTTATGGGGGTGTAACCTCTCTGGCCATGAAAAACCGTTCGCGAACTGGAAAATGGTCCACTTTTAGAGGATTTATGATGAGAAAAACTTCACAAAAATAGCGATTTACCTGGTATTTACCTATGAAAAATGGGTGGATTTTCCATAGCTACATTAAACAACCAAACGGTAATAAGCCTGGTTGTAGCATTTTGGGGCTCAACTGTCAGTCTGCCAGGTCTCATGGCAGATGGCGAATTGCCAATGTCACCTGAAGGTGGATGGAGATCAAGGGGAACTACCCTCTGGTAAACCTTTACATACTTGGTGGCTGATCCCACTTAGTAAGTGGGCTATAACCCCAGAAAAAAACATGGGATAAGTAGGGTTCATTCACTAACGGGGTTATTTTCCACTTACTAAGTGGGATGAGCAACCAAGTAACGATGGAAAATCACCATGTTTAACGGGTAAACTAAATTAAACTAAGAGTTTGCGCGGAAAATCACCACTTGTAATAGGTAAATAGAGATAAATCAACTATTTCTATGGGAAATCACCATGTTTAATGGGTAAATCAGCGAACTTTCATGTTCAATAGTTATGTTGAATTCCCAGAGGGTAGTTGGCAAATTCTCGTTGGAGCATCCTGGTCTTTATCCCTAACTTGAATCTAGATGGTCATGTGTTGGTATGGAAGATTATGATTAACCATGATTAACCCTTTCGGATTTTGAAAGGATACCTTTCAATTCACAGGTGCACTGCTTTATGACACTTGGATCTCATCCCGATTTGCAGCTGGATAGCTGCTGAATCCCATCCTTAGCCGCCGTTACAAAAACCTCGCCACCTTGCGGACCTTAAAATCAACTGATCCATGATTTTTGGGGCGGGTTATGACTGTGAAGGGGCAACTGGTAGGATGCACCATCGACCCGGTCATGACCAGGATAACCGTTTTTCGGTCTCCGGTCATAGAAGTGCCTGGCTGGTGGTGTATGATATGTGTTTGTTTCTTCCAGAGATGATGAATCAGGTTCAATACATTTAGGATCCGCTGGGACCAGCCAGAAACATGTTGATTAGCGAGGTCCTTGTCAGGGCCAGAAGCATTTTGGGTATTGGAAGTGTATTTTGGGCTGAGTGTGCAGTATATTACATCAAAGACTGGCTGGGAGGAAACACGTGTCAGGGCACCAATCTTTGAGACAGGAATAAAAAAGCCACCCCCAAGCAGCAACCGACACGTGGTTTCAACTTGATCATCCTACCCAGTAAGCTTCATGAGTAATGTCAACCCCAGTAACTTTTCCCACTTGGTTGATTAATAAGGGGAAGGTCCATTTCAGTAGCAGATGATCGCCTTTTGGGAACTATCCCGCTAATTCTTCAACCAGAAAGCAGCCGGGGCGACTTGGCATGGTGCAGAATCACATTTTACTTCTTAAGAAATCGTACCCTCTTGTAGACTAACATGGGTGTTTTCAACACCATCACCTTGGGCAATGGACCATTGATTCATGGGGATGTTAGAATATAGATGGTTATTGAAATTGGAACATAATTCTAACAATATACAGTCTTTCAGGGTGCTTCAGCCATTTTGGTTTGGAGTATGGCCAGCCTTGGAGTATGGGTAAGATTTTGGTAGAACAATGGATTAGAGTGGCAACTTCAGATAGGGTGTCCCAGCAATTGCAGAACATCACAGATGTGGATCAGACACTCAACATTCGGTCCAAATACAAGAGTCTGAAGTGAATTGTTAAGAAGATTGTGAATGCCCACGTGAAGTTTGCACTTCTTTGTCACATTGACATGCCCGAGCTGATGATGTGCACGCCCCTTCGATCGATGCTCAAAACTCTGTCCCTGAACATTTACAATGATCCGGGTACTGTGATCGCAACAAGTCGCCATGACTTCGAGACATTCCACTCCGTCTTCAGAACATGTGATCCACCCCGAAAGGTCTATGACTCGGTCATTCACATGCTTCGTTTGGGGAGGCATTGGACTGAAGCAGGGTTGAACTTGACTTGCGAAGTCAGGCTAGCTGGCGGTGGACCTCCTCTGAACCGCACTCCTGCGAGCCCAGGGTATATTTTGATTTGGGAAAGATATAATCTTTATTCCCGCAAACTTTCGGGAAAAAATCAAGAGCTTATGATCTGGTTTCCACGTGTTGGACCTGCAAGTGGTGAACGGAGTGAAAGGAGTGAACGGAGTGGAGCAAGCGGTCCGGGCAGGTCCCAAAATTTTGGGGAGCCGGTTAGAATTGAGCTAGTCATTGAGCTTCCCAAGCCCATAGTTGGAGCCCAAGAATTCTTTGCTGACAATTAATCTGGTTGGTGGTTTGGAACATGTTTTACTTTCCATTTCATGTATGGGATGTCATCCTTCCCATTGACTTTCCTATTTTTCAAGATGGTTAAAACCACCAACCAGTATTAGCTTGTATATCACCATTATGACTATATATCCCCAGGATATCCCCAGGATGGTAAATCCCCAAAAAAAGTCCTCTGAGAATCCCAACAAAAATCTTCAGAATCCCAAAATAAATCCCACTAATTACCAGTACAATCCTCAATATTAATTCCATTATAATCCCCTTAAACCTCTATTATGATCTCTAGGTGGGGTTTAATATCCTCAATAATCAACGAGGTTCAAGATATTGATGGCATGATCATGGGTATTAATACTACAATTCCCATTGCCATCCCATTATAATTCCCCTGAAGCCCCCTCATCAAATCCGCCAGTCATACCACTGTTTTCTAAATCCATATAAATCCCCCATCCATATATCCCAATGTAAACATGGGTTTGCCATAAGAAACAACCTGGGTATTCCCCATAGTTGGCTGCTTTATATGGTAAATCCTCATGTCATAGAATTGGATGATGGGAAAAATTACAGGAAACCCCTATATTTGATGGTAAAAACCATGGTTTCCAGTTAAGATTTTCCCTTAAACCAATCCATTGATCATGACATTCCCATTACAACTCCCCATGAGTCGAGGCATGGTGCGAAGTCGCCACAAGCGGCGACGGCATCGGAGCCGAGGCAAGGCCAGGGCTCCCCACGGGGTCCGCGAAGTTAGTGATGTGAGTAGAAAAACATGGTGGATTTCATGGGATTTCACTGGGATTTCATGGATTTCTGATAGGATTTTACAGGATATCTATATATATATATGGGGATTGAATTAGTTCGCCAAGTTGGTGAACATAAGTCCAAGAACTATGGTTTGTGGTAAATATATCGGACTAGTTAATAGGGTTTCTATTTAACCAGCACAGCCATCACTGGGGGGGCCCACCTTATGCATTTCACAGGCAACCATTGCCGCCTTTGATTACCAGAGGGTAACCCACCCATTGGAAAAACTTTTGGGGATAATGTCAACCCTGGATTAATAAACCCCAAACGGTTGTTTAATTGGGGGGATACCCATTTAATTAAGTATCAGATTATGACTATTGGGGGAATACCCCCTAATTTTCATAAACCATGGTTTAGTCTCATCCGGGGTTGACATTACGTGTTAGAATGGGGAAATTCTCCAGAGCAATTTTCGAAAAGCTCCCGATTGATCCAAATCTGGAATGCGACAAGCTCCATCCAAGGCTTCGCACGAAAAGCACGAAAAGCACTAAGCGGCTTTGCTAGGTGACCTGCTAAACATGCTAGGTAACCCAAGATCTACCACAAAAAATGTCGTGACGTTACTGGAAATGGGTCACGACATCACCTTGTTCGCGAAAGAAAATGCCTTCAATAATGTTGCAGGATTCGCCTGTGACTAGCTACCTCGGTGACGATGTTTCAAAGCGCGTCTTTCCCAAACTGACCAAAAGTTTCAGGTTGGCGTGTGTTCGTTCTCAATGTGTTTCTAAAATTTAGGCCTAGTTGTATCAATATTGATTTAAGCCGTTGATATACCCTCCGGTCGTTTAACGTAGCTATAATCAGATAGAATATATTGGAACATTACCCATTTAGTTCGATGATTTACCTACTAAAAATGGATAAAAGTTGTGACTTTCATTGATTTACCATTTTCAGTTACTAGAAGCTAAGCATATGCCATGCATGTTGCCATGAGCCACCTCCCAGGGCGAGAGGACAGTGGCAGCCATCAGAGCCAACGGTGCCATGGCGCCCGAAGGGAATGGAATCAATGGCCATGCAACAGGTAGCGATTTCTTGGAAAAGCGTTTAAAGTAAAATCCAACCAAAGTAGTCATAAAATACGGTCCTATCTTTTTGGGGATTGCTACAGATTTAGGTATATATAAAATGTCTCTGGATGTATGATAATGACGTCAGGGTCACTGGAATGCTGGGAATTATATATATATATGTGGAACCATCCCCAAATGGCAGAACTTTACATCTAGGCTCAGGGGAGATAGAAATATGATAATTCAGCCAGATACAGCATCTGCTTATTTAAAAAAACGCTTTTCATCAGATTGCACATCGGTGATTTACCCAATGGCCATGCTGGCCAGGAACCGATTGATTATGGCACCATCGGAACTGGCGCTGGGTGGTGCCCTTTTGGCCACGGAATCGCGTTCAGTTGGGGCTCACATAACTCCAATTTCACGATGGTTTTTGTTGGTGATATATCGAACTAGTATTCATGGGGGTTATAAAGCAATTTATAACGTTTGGGGGCACCACCTTGTGCAAGATGAGAGAGTGGGCATTGCAAGAGCTGAGGGTGGTGTGAACTTTGAGGGCAGCATGTCTGGCGTGGCGCATGGCAGCCATGGCACTTCACCTGCCGCTCTACGTGGCCAACATGCTGGCTAGCCGGGCCACACGACAGTTGCTAAGGAAACAATGAGTGAACGAGCCGACAATGTACGTTTCTTTTATTTTCAGGACCCTGAACATGTCCGCCCTTGGCAGCTGTGGGGGGCTGGCATGACCGAACGGGAGCGTGTGGCCTATTTTTCAGGCCTAAATTTCAGGGAATATCCCCACAATTCATATGGCCAGAAATATGATACGTTTACGTAGCTCCATTTTAGGATCCTGAAATTCCCATTGATTAACCCTAACATCAATTAACATCAACTAACCAACCATATTGATATGTTCCCATATTTTCCGATATTTTCCACTATGATCCCATGAAATTCCCATTTAAAATGCTGGTTTCAGCTTCGTCGCTTCGTCTTCTATAGTCCCATGTTGCCTTGCAGCGACTGTTCAAATGCCATCGGTTGATAGTACCCTCTGGTAAACTAACAGTTTGCGAACTGGAAAATCACCACTTGTAATAGGCAAATATAGGTAAATCAACTATTTCTAGGGAAGATCAACATTTTTAATGGGTAAATCAACGAACTAAATGGCCATGTTCAATAGCTACGTAGCAAATTACTGGAGGATAAGTGGCACAGCCGTACCGAAGAAATTGTTGGAATAGAGACGTTCTTGGAAAACTTTGTCTCGTGCCTGTCCTTGGTGAATGAGAAGTTCGAAGTCAAATTTGCTGCCTGAAGTCCAAGCCCGATCGAACCTTCGTCTTTGTCGGAAGAGCAAGTTTCTCGTGGAGCTCGGCTCACGTCTATGATGAAACAGATTTTCTGGAACACTCCAAAAGCTTGAATCATCATCATGGCCATAGCTATGTGAAAATTCAGTATTTTAATGTATCTATTTATTTGTTTATTTTGCTATATTTTGCTTATTTTCTGGATAGTTATCCCTTCAGGATTGATTTCCCATTGCCCTGTTGATATAGAGTCATGCATCTCCATGCCAGTCATCAGACCCTCAAGTATCATTTCTGGAAGTGGAACCTTGACCTAATCTTAGGTAAAACAATAGCTGTACAAAACCATGTGCCCCATCTATATCGTCTATATCGTCACTTATTGGGTTATTCTATAGGATAGTACTTCTCTACCGTTCAGCAAGGTCTCTCCGGTGATTCTTGAGCCCATTTAGGATATTTAGGGATGGTCGAGTCCAACTTGCCGATTTTTGGACGGCTTCGTGCTCTTTTTTGGGCCATGTCCCACTGCACTGGGTATGTCCCGTTGATGTTTGTCTGAACAAGGGTGGAAAACACTGTATGTCTGACAGTTTAAGGAGTCATCTTACCCATTTAAATGGCAACTTGTGGGGTGTGCTCTCCAGAAGTCAAACATGGCCGGAGAATCACCCCCATTTATTGATGATTGTCCCAGCTATTAACCTATACCAACCTCAATTTTTATAGCTGGTTGGTGGTTTGGAACATTTTGATCATTTTGTATTTTCCATAATATATGGGAATATATGGGATAATCCTTCCGATTGACTTTCCTATTTTTCAAGATGGTTGAAACCACCAATCAGATAGAGGATTTTCACTTCCCATCATGGAAATTCACCAGAAGCTCTGTCGATTCCGGACCTCAGGTCTCAGAGAAGCCGGGACGGCCGGGACGGTGAGGGCAACCAAGCTTTTTCAGTTGGTGAGTTTAAAACACTTACCCTCTGGTAAATTAACAGTTGGACCCTGAAAACACCACGTTTTTAGTGGAAACTAGTCTTTCAACCCCTGTCTGCCAGGGTCTATGTTAATTTACTGGAGGGTTAAAAAAAAACAGCAACTGAAAAACCAGATTAATTGAGTTTCTTTTTTAAAAACATGTTAAAACCAGCAACCAGAAATATCAGAAATCGCGAAGAGAGAGCCATGTAAGCACGGTTAGAGTCAAGCTTCTTGTCCCCCAGAAATTCTGAAGTCCTTTCCGCATCCAGAGACCTGGTATGCAGAAAGTGGCTGTGAGGGTGAAATCCCCAGTTGAACCAATCGGCTGGATGGGTACAAACTAATCCTGAATCGTCTTGTGGATCTTTTGGTATGCGATTATCTGATTATCTACTAACTCACCAGCTAAGAATTTGGCATTTTTGCAGGGTATCTGGCTGATTGGCAATGATTACCCACGAAATATCCTATGATTAACCATTATATACCATTATCAACCATCATTACCCTCTGGTAAACTAACATAACTATGGTTGCTGGACCACGCACCCTTTGGTTTACCCCCATGGTCGGTGTCGAGGTTCAGGCGGGCGACATCGCCAGACTTCTCGAAGGAGGCTTTGTTAGCAGTGGCATCCAGTTGAATACCATCAAATAGGGATTCAATGGAAGATTCATGCAAGGTGGTGCCCCGGTTCGTTAGCTAAGTTGGTGAACATTACTCCAATTTCACTTGGGTTTATGCTAGATAGACCGAACTAGTTAATGGGGTTTTTGAACAAACTTATAACGGGGGGCGCCACCTTGCGCGGATTTATCCAAATTGAACCGTGGAAATAGAGGTTTAGCCATGAACAATAGCAATTTAACGGGACTTGATGGGATATTCATGGCGATATCATGGGATTTATTGGGGTTTAGTGGAATATTCATGGGGATATAATTCTACTTGGAAGTGCAGTTCCAGGTGTGGATATGATTATAGACCATATATCTTATTTAGTCATAGTTATAGTTATAGGATATAGGCATAGGCGTTATATTCCAACTTATGGTGGTTAAAATGCCATGGTTTTAGCCATAAAAGTGACCTCTGGCCTACACCCCAAAGTATGGAGACATTAATAAAATAGTTTCGATCTTCAGCAAAGAGCATTTAAATAATTTGCATGAACGGCAGACCAAAACAAAAAAAAACAAGTTATATAACACCACCATATCGGATATCGTTTTGGATCATGCCTAGATACGCTACTCATTATACATGGATTATATATAATATGGATAATATATATATATATGTGTGTGTGTATGTATATCTTAATTCTGGATTATTAGATATATGGGTGAACATATGGATTATTATATAAACGGTCAATATATTAACTATATAGATATATGGATTTTATATATATATATATTAATGATTCTACAGGATGGGGCCCCCCAAGATAGCTAAGTTGGTTTATAAATGGCTGAATTCTATGGTTTATGGTAGATATAACGAACTAGATAACTATGGTTTTCATGGGCTTTATAAACCAACAATGATCACTGGGCGGCCCCATCTAACTAGTTCGATATATCACTTATAAACCCAAGCGTGAAATGTTAGTTATGTTCACCAACTGAACGCGATTCCGAACGGGGGCACCACATTGTAATACAACTATAGATAACTATGGTTTACATGGGCTTTATAAACCAACTTAGCTATCTTGGGGGGCCCATCCTGTATGGAATATCCTAATTCTCCAACTTCCAAACCAACTCAAAGGGGCCGCCCCTTCCACGACCCGAAACTCACCTCCCAGGCATAGCCGGCGACGACGACGGAGTCGACGGAGCCGAGGCCGAAGGCGCAATAGAAATTTCGATGCGATGGTCGAGTTTTTCTCATGTCAACAGGGGGCTTGGCAGGGAGCCATAACCGAAGGAAAACCATGGGAAAAACCATGGGAAAATGGTGATTTCATAGGAAAACCCATAGGAAAATGGTGATTGAATGGGGAGCTGATATGTTCAATGGATTGGTTTACATAAGGGAAGATCTTCGAAACCATGGGATTTTCCGATGAAATAGAGGTTTACGGTTAAGATTTTCCCCCAACAAACCAATTCATGGAAACTAGAGATATATTGCCGACCAAAGTTGTGTGTTGGCGTAGCTTTGCAGGGTGGAAAAGTCATGCTAGTTTGATTTGGTGTTAAGACTCAACACAGATTATTGTATAGAATCGCTCCGAGAAATTATTAGCGTTTTTTTAAAGAGCAACCCTTTATATTTGAATGGTAAGACTGTGGTTTCCTGCATGATAAGATATCCTGCACCAAATTGTCTGCTGGCTTATCTAAGATCAGCCAAATTTAATTAATGATCAAATATCATATCCTGACATTTTGCCATAGTTTCCCCACTTCTGTTGATCATCTTTTTCCAGGGTGATGCTTCGAAAGAAGGGGCCGAAACTTGACCCAGACCACCCGGAGGGGTGTCAAACGTAACACGCTGGGAAATCCACGAACAAGCCACAGAGGTTATAGCTGGAAAAAGCATGGAAAAAACATGAGGAAAATCAATTTTGAATGGAGGTTTGCTGGGAAAATCAACTAGATGATTACTGGAGGGTGTATATATATAAATATATATATATATACCCATCCAACTGAAGATATATCCATCAGAACTCCCTTTTTTTGTTAGTTATGTAACGGGGCTGAAGCTGTCGTTATCATGGGACTCGCTTTTGTCCATGGCCCTTTGAAATCCACTGGGTAGCAACCTATGATATTGGGGGCCGACTTTGTGTAAGTATGCTTGTCCCCATATTGTTGGTTGTATATTCTATATTTCATATATGTATATATATATATATACACATCATATCCCATTAAGCCATTAAGTAATAGGAATATCCCATCGCTAATCTGATATGTCATGCTGTATCTTGATCTTCAAAATGAAATCTCCAGCCATTTTATGGTATTTACCCACGTTTCCTCAATTTACCCCAGGGTACACTAAGAGCTCGATGTGAAAAATCAAGCATTTGTAGATGATTTTGCTGGGGAAACCATAGGTTTTCCACATGTTTTTGAAATGTTTACCCTACTGAAAGGGGGTGCGGGCCCTGTCAGCCCCTTGAGTCCGTGCCTTACCCAGCCGTGCCCCGCCATGCGACAGTATGTGTCTATACCTCTCTTGTGTACCTCGTGTGAAGAGCTTGGAAATATGACTGGTTGGTGGTTTGGAACCATGGAATTTTATTTTTCCCATCATATTGGGAATGTCATCATCCCAACTGACTTTCACTCCATCATTTTTCAGAGGGGTTAGCAGCAACCACCAACCAGGTCACAGTCATGAAGGATGGGGGCATGCCATGACCCTTGGGATGTGCCGTGCCATGACCAGCTGGGTACGTGATCAGCACCACGGCGGGCTTCCCCCAAGGGCACCGGATCACAGAGAACGTCGACAGGGTAAGGATTGCCATGCCACATGGGTTGTGCCCCCCAGTTATATATGGAATATCCCTACTTATATGGGGGGTTTCGTAAAATAGGGCTACCCCCAAATCCATTGAAATAAATGGATACTCCATGAAATAAACCATCCATTATATAAACCTCATATCCATGAAATAAACGAGCCATCCATTAGAAACATCCATATCTGCGGTTCGCTTGCCCAAGACCCTGATCCCGTCAGGCAAGGTACTCCGGACAATGGCGAGGATTTTTCAGGGCGCCCTTCACGAGAGGAACCGAGACATCGAGATGGAGGGCCGCCACACATTGAGGTGAGGGACACCTGTTGGACACCTGGGGTATAGTGCTTGTTATGGGAAAATGAGGGGATTATGACGGGGACAAAATGAGATAATGATGGTGTTTTTTTAATGGATTATGATGGGAATATGGGGTTGAACCGGGATTATGATGAGATTTAACCGAATTATGATGGGATTGTGATAGGATTGTGATGGGATTATGAAGGGATTGAATGGGATTATGATGGGATTATGAAGGGATTGAATGGGAAGTTTTCAGAAAATAATCCCCGAACTAAATAGAGTTTTTTTTACTGGGAAAATCATGGGTTTGCGGTTTGTCGATGATTTTTTGGAAGATTTTCCAGCTGGAAATCCACCAACATAGTTGCTGTTATCAATCGGATTGGGATTTTTCATATTTACTCTCAATTAATACTACCATAATTTAGAAAAAAAAATCCGCTCCCAAACTAACAGTTAGACCCTGAAAACAACATGTTTGTTGTGGAAGCCAATCTTCCAGCGCTCTACTTGGGCCGTTGATTTTGACGAGGGTAAATGGGACAATTGAAAGGTTATAATTTATGGATTTATGGAATTAATGCGCGTTGGTTGATGATATTGCCATTTCATGCGGAGAATATGGAAATCTATATTCATCTTTAAGATCAGCAATTTGATATTTTTGCTGTAATTTTGCAAGCAAAAACAGTTGATTAGCTTTGTGATTAATATGGTAAAATCAGTAATGAACGATCCCATTGACCAACCATTTGGCATTTTGCATCATCCCAAGTGGCAGATGTAACATAATAAACCAAGTTGCGGATGGTTTATTATCGGGTGTGCCACGTTATTTTTTGATGTGCACATGTATCTTCTATAGTATCATCTTGTTTGGGCAAACCCTGGGATCAATACGTTGATATTTTGCAGTGGCACGGAGTTGTATCCCAACTTTGAGGGGAGTTGTTAACCATGGTCAATACCATTTTGGATTGAAGAGCATCGTTGTTTCAGGTCATTCGGATGTCCTCAAAAATCAAATCCAGAGTGCCTTCCCAGCCCAGTCCAGTATGTGGCACGGGTTTTCTGATAGGCACATAGCGATTGATCCTGTGGAAGGATCGCCGAGGGTCATCCAAGATATGAGTGGGTTTTTTACTCTCCGTGATTTTTAACTTTGACCATTGACATCCATTGACCATGGTCATTTATTAAATGTCCCCGCGTATTGATACAAATCCATAGAAATCCCATTTCTGCAGGTAGTGCCCCCGTCTTTGTCGAAAAGTTTCGGTGAGATGATGTAACGATTGACACACACACACACCGACTGCTTAGTTCGTTACCCCTCTGGTAAAAATCCATATTAGTTCATCACCATCAAATCCCAATTTAATCCAATTAGCATATATGAGTATACTATAAAATCCCATTGCCCTCTGGTCATTTAAGACTACTATTGAAAATCACCATTCAATAGGTAAATCATCTATAAATGGGCCGTGTTCCATTGCTGTGTTCAATTCCCAGAGGGTAGGACTTCCCATGAAATTTTGAGAAACAAGTCGGAAATATTACTGGTTGGTGTTTTAGAACATTTTTTATTTTCCATATATTGGGAACCATCATCCCAGCTGATTTTCATATTTTTCAGAGGGGTTGAAACCACCAACCAGGTGATGTTGATGATTGTTGCTAGGTCAATCTTGGATGGGTAGAAACTAATCCTGAATAGTCTTTTGCTATGGGATTCTCTACGTTCACCAGCTAAGAATTTAATTTTTTGTAGGGTATCTAAGATTGGCCATGGTTAATGAATAATTGATAGTGGTAAGAATAGCTATTATTAACCATAAATAGTATTATATAATATTAACCAGTATTAATTAACCATAAAATAATTATTAACCACTATATGTAATCCAAATGATTAACCATAAATAGTATTAGCCAGAAATTATTAACCATCTGATTGATGGAGAAATACCCGAATGTCCTTTGGATTTCCCATCTTTCATGACAGCGGTTTCCATTTTGTCAGGTGGACTTTGGCACCGTTTTGGGTGATGAAGGCTGAAAACTTCCAGAACTTTGGGAAGTTTGGATGGGGATTCCATGGGATTAGCATATTGAGGTTTCCTAAAATCAATGGGAATTTCAGGATCCTAAAGTGGAGATACGTAAACGTACCATATTTCTGGCCATATTTTGCTGGGATATTCCCTTACATAGGCCTTATATATATATATATATATGGCCTTATATATGGTAGGTACTTAGGTACCTCCAATTTAGGTTCTTGAAATGGCCATTGATAAAGTGGGTACAGCCCCAAATCATCCAAGTCTGTTCAAGCAATTTTAGTATTGAAAGCCATGGCCTTGGAGATCCCCAATTTTAAGAACCCAACTATTGATAGGAATTTACCATGATGATATATTCTGGATGAATTAGAATGACCCATTTGCCAAGAGGGACAAACCACCAAGTATCTAGGATTGGTCATATATGTAGATATAATTATATATATATATATGTGTGTGTGTGCGTGTGTGTATCCAATATATTAATACAAAGCGAGGCCCCCAGCTGTAAGTTGCTGGACGCCATTCGTTATTCGTAAAAATTTGGCCGTTTGGGGCCTCACCTTGCAGGATTTGACTTACGAGGAAGCGGGACATACGACTCATATGGAACCAGAACATTAGTTTAACCAGCAGAACATTTGGGATCCCAGAAAAGGCTTGCGTTTACCAACCATGAGCAGATTTTTTGTTGGATATATTGATGATGACATGGGGCAGATGAGGCAGATGGAAGTGTTTTTTCGCGAAGTGCACTAAAAGAAATACCCCTGAGAAGGAGTGCTTCACTGCCAGGTTTGAGGGTTCCAAGTTTAGGCATCTACTATTCAGATCGGGAAATTTGCCTGAAACCAACGTTTTTGGCTGCATGTTTATGCGATTATGGTAGGAAGCAGGGGTTCCTACAAAATGCCCCTTAACAATTAGATGTTTCGCTATACACTTTGATTTCGAAGAATTTGGGGATCAGAATGGGATTGGATATGATTTTTCTATGCGCATTTACCAACCATACATCACCCACCAAGACCAACATTCGCAGGGCGATACATCGTGGAAGAAATCTTCGGTGATGGCGCCTCGGGTCGAGTGCTAGGCGGGTGATTCCTCGGCGCTTCAGTCTCCGCAAAGAGAACGGGGTACCTTCACCCAGATGGAAAAGTTGACCATAACTGGGTGGTTTGGAACATGAATTTTATGACTTTCCATACCTTCTGGTTATTTAACATAGCCATGGAAAATCCCTTATAAGTGGAGGTTTTAATGGGAAAATCATCTATAAATGGGCCATTTTCCATAGCTATGTTAGTCATAACCAGAGGGTATTGGGAATAATGATCCCAACTGACGAACTCATATTTTTCAGAGGGGTATACCACCAACCAGATAAGTATGGAAAAGTTGACCATAAGATGACCATAAGGTGCTTTACACATGTGGCTTTTAAATGACTTAATGTGGTTAAACCACTATAAAGTCACCATAGAGTCACAGTAAAGTCACTAAATCATCATCCCATGATATTGCCATGATCTTCCCCATGAAATCACCATGTCTTTTGGTGATTTACCCCCTGGTAAACATACAAAAAACTATGGAAAAGCATCATTTTTTAATGGGTAAATCAACTATAAATGATCCATGTTCAATGGCTATGTTAGTTTACCAGAGGGTATATATATATATTCTAAAAGATAGGGGCATACATATACTGTTTGTTCAGGATATCCAAGATGGTTGAAGTCTCGATAATTTCCAGGCGTACAACTTTTCTATCTCTGTTTGGTTTCATGTAAATAGTGAGCATTATCATCCATATGACTGGCTAACTAGTATAAACAATACTAAGTGTAACTCCCCACTTTGTTGATTGGATTACAAGAAGGAACCACAAACGATAGGTAAGTTGGTTTCTAAGCCACCTGTGCTTCTTGACGCCGCGTGGCCCAATGCGATTTGGCACCTTGCTGTCTTAGTTTGAGTTCCTTTCCAGGCCTTGTTAGCGTAGTTCTTGATGTTCTTGTCTACATGTGTAATTTCGTTGTGGCTCCGTTTTGGCTGGGCCACCTGCTCGCCTTCAGCTTAGCTGGCTTAGCTGGACCTTTGGGATTCCATGAATATCTCATCAATATTCCATTAAATCAGGTGCTATGGATATAATGCATCGTTGACACTAGCATTTCACCATCAAATAAGATGTTATTCTAGATATAATCCATCAACAATAATAGCCACTAATGATAGCCATCAGTACTAGTAAGAATCCTATTATTAGTGCTATTATATACCCTTATTAGTAAGAAACCTATTATTAGCCATCACCAAGAATCTATTCCATCAGTGTTAGTAAGAATCCTATGTGGCTATTGTTGTGGCTATTATATCTTATACTGATGGCTAATTTATCTGCGATAATATCCTACAATAAATGGCCATTAATATATCCTATTAAGAATTCTAGTAGCCATCCCTAAGAATCTATTAATATAAATCTATTAATGGCTATTATTCATTTAACCATCACTAGTAACTCATTGGTGATTTGGAACATGAATTTTATGTTCCATATATTTGGAATTTCATCATCCCGATTGACGAACTCATATTTTTTCAGAGGGGTAGGTATACCACCAACCAGCATCTGAACATTGGTCTGAACAATCTATTAATATATGTGGCTATTGATTACTGATATATATTTACATTTATATTTATATAGCCATCAATAATAGCCATGAATATTTGATGATATCACTAAGAACCTATTAATATAAATCTATTAATGGCTATTATTAATATAACCATCAATATAATTGCCATAATTAATCAATATAAATCCTATGTGGCTAAAAATATATCCTATTATTAGTATATATCCTATACTAATATCCATCAACAATAATAGGATTATCTAATATAGGTATAATATTCACAATAATAATCACATTATTCTATAATAACAACAATCCTATTAATATAACCATCAATATAATAGCCACTAATATCTCCTATGTGGCTATGCTTATCCCGCAGGCTGCCGCGAGGCGGAGACGGGCAAGTTGGTGGCCGTGAAGGTGGCCCGCCCGGCGCGGCGGCAACGGAGGCGCTGGGCCCGCTGGGCGACCAAAAGGGTGGCGTCCGGTGATTCTTGGGGCGAAAAGTGGGGAAATTCCATGGAAATTCTGGAGTGTTTAGGAAAACTGTGGAGAAATTCGATGTTGATTGATGTTTTCTGCGTGTTTTACTGATGTTTTTCTTTTTGTTTAGAGTTTTGGAGATTTTTTGGGGGGGGTTCTGTGGCCAGAATTAGAGGTTTGGTAATGTTTTACCTTTTTTTCAATTGGCCAGAAATGGTAGTTGATAAAAAATGATTGGGTTTAGGACGTCTTGTCACAAGAACCTACTAGGTTTTATTGCGACCAAATGGATGTTATAAGACTGAAAAAGTTGTAGCGTTCATGTGCCAAACCCAATCATCATCGAACCAATTGGGGATTGTTAGACCACCCGTTTATGGTCATATTGCGGGTAGTTTATAGTTGGGTTTACCACCCCCAAGTTAGCTCAATTGTAAGTCACCATTTCATGGGTTTATCCCCTGCATTGATGGTTATAAGTATGATGAGTGACCAGTTACCTTCGCTGTTTTCTCCTTACAAGGCATGCAGAAACAGAGGTGGCCATGCTCAGAAAGCTCCAGCTCAGGGCTCAGAGTCATGCGCAGTCTGGGGGTGTATCGCGGGACTGTTTCAGTGGGTACTGACCCTTTTTTATGGATTTACCCTTTGGCAATGGAAAACCCCTGCAAATGGAGGTTGATATGGAAAATTCATGTATAAATTGTGCATTTCAATTGCCACGATTGACTACCGGATGTTATATCTTCACTTATTTTTCGGTGTCATTCGCTTTTATTGGGTATCTACCCTTAGTAAACGGCAATTTTGATGAGGATCTGATTGGATACAATGGGAAATAATGAAATATAATTAAGAATTTGATCAGTTGGTGTTGTTGGTAGGGCATTTTCGCCCCAATTCATGGCAATTCAATCAGGAATATGATGAAGCATTCGATCTTAGAAATTAGATCTAGATTCATTTGCAAAAAAAATTAGACATCTGGAGTGGTTCCCAATGTGAATAGAAGTGATTCAAATCCAATCGATTTGGGGTTGAACATGGACCCTGTCAAAAAGAAAGGCAAAACTTTGCTCGTTTGCTGGTCAAAGACCCACTAAATCACAGGAATAGTACCTTTTGAAAATGATGGTAGCCTCAAAGTTGGGTATGTGGGGGTATTACTCTTGGTGAGTGATGAAATCTTGTGCTGGATGGTGGCTGGCAGTTTCCGCCATGATGCTTGGTGCATCGATTTGTGCTCTTGGATTCCATGCCATGTGGCATGATGAGACAAATTAGTTCAATTTTACGGGCGGCAAGCACAGGTTCTATTGATTGCCGCTTTACACGTCCGATCCCCACATTTGTCGGACTCATTCGCATTTTTGCCGCTGATAAAGCAGTCGAAATTTGTCAACAACCATCCAAAAACCTATCTGTGTTAAACAAATTCATGTAACAGCCAATGTTTTTGCTTTTCTTGGCAACTCTTTTTTATTTGTGTCAACATGAAGTGGCTTTGACGGCCATATCCATCCTAGTTATTCTAGCAGTTGATGGTCCATAAGAAGAGTTTGTCTAGCTCATTTCCAGGTTGGGGTGGTCATATCCATGAATAAGAAGTCTCAAATCATCCAAAATGACCTTTTCTAATAGGGAAACATAGGGAAAGCCATGTAGATGAGGTGGGGCGGGTTCAAATTTGAGGCCAATTGGCTCACATGAAGCAGGTGTTTATTTTATCCTTTTAAGTAACATAGACCCTGCCATGGCTTAGTTGGAAGATTATTCTCTTTGTGCGGGCATCTTCCATGAAAGCTGCCACCCCGAGTTGCACTGCGGCGCCGGGAAAGGAACACATCGGGATGAATGGCAGGAGAAGACTCAGTTGTCGCACTGCGAAATGGTTGACAGTGACTGGGTATTTTCCTTAGACTTCATTTGGATCCCACCAGGTTCAGAAAACTTCTCCTCTGGGTATCTGAGCAGCTCGTTCAGGGCAAAGCTATCTTGACTCATTGCCGCTTTGGGAAGAACAGGTCACCAAGTGTGGCCGCAGTGCTGTTGGCATGGCAGAAGCCGCAGCAGCTGAAACTGAAACTGAGCTCGTGGAGCCTAAAAGGTGTCCTTTTGTCCGTCCGTGCCTTGCAATCATAAGCAATAGTTAGGTTCTATTTCAACTGGATTTCAGGAATTTTGAGGATAGATGATTCATGTATCCAACTGGAATACAGAGCCCTCCTAATATTAGATATTAGGCATGTTTTGATATCATAGTACTTAGTATGGAATATTGAATTCTAGTATATAGTAGTGTATTAGTATTGTATTTTCCTGGCATTGCACCAGTTTCAGCATCTACTGACCCCTTCCAGTGACTGAGGCGACACAATCGCGACCTGGCCCATCGACATGTGGTGCGGCTATTGGACACCTTCGAACACGAGACTTGGATGGCGGCGCGCACTTCCACCACCCGATGTTTCAAAATTGCTGTGATGATGATGATGATGATTATGATTAGTTGTGGGGATATAACATGTTTTTGTTAACTCATATCTCATATACCTTGATATTCATGATGATCTGAAAATCCCTGTTCGTATGAACCCCCCTATTCTTTTTTCGGTCCCGAAAAGGAATGGTTTCATTCATCCCCCAGGAAGGAATGCACGGCACAGATCCGGAGGAATCCCATTTGGTATCGTAAAAGGCTGATACCCTCTGGTTATGTCAAAATAGCTATTGAAAATGGCCATAGAAATAGTGGATTTACCCATTAAAAAGTTATGGTGATTTTCCATAGTTATATATGTATGTTTACCAGAGGGCAATGAAGTTGATGAACTATGTCCATACAGTTAGATGTTTGGGTTGGATGAACACCACATACCCTCCGTGTAATTATTTAAGATAGCTATGGAAAATGGCCGATTTACATATGTTGCATCATGATTTTCATATTCAAAAAATTGTGATTTTCCAGTTATATAGCTATGTGAAATTACCAGAGGGTAATCAGCTAAAAGCCCATTTATCCAACTTAGCAGGGAAGCAACAAAGAACCAAGTCGTGACGTCCATCTCCAGCATTTGTTACCAATTAAATGTTGGGGGGAATTCCATGGCAACGTGACATTGCCAGGGGCTGTGTTTTTATTGGAAGGGGTATGAAACATGTGCTTGATTTGGGTGGAAAGGGGGTATAAATCAATCGTTTATGTACAAATCATGCCCTGAAAACCCCTGAAAAGGGTCTGTATTATGTGGCAAAAGCATGCAAAACCCATCAGGACCACCAATTACGCCCATTCCTATTCTGCAGATGCTCCCAATTTTCAGAGGCCGAAACCATCAAACGAAACAGCTTTCTGCCCGGTCAATCCCCAGTTTTCTGTCGCAAAGTACTTTTTGTGACATGGCAAGCCAGCAAACCCTGAGTTTGACTGATCCTTTTTTGTGAAAATATGTCCACATTCTCTACTGATACATACCTAAAATGAATCGTTAAAATCATCATTTGAAGACTTAAATCCTAAAGATTTCGTCAAATAAGGGTCACCATTTTTTTCATTCCCAAATTCTTTGCTGGGTTTTTGGTTGGAAACCCAAGGATTCAAATCCAGTTTCGAGTCAAGTTTTCGAACGTCGGACCTGGTGGGGTTGAGTCAGGCTCCATTTTTTGTTACCTTGCAAACATATTTTGGGGTGAAATAGATTAAATATAGATTCTATTTATGGGATATATCTGGCGAAAGTATGGTGTTGCCGGAAAAAAAAATATATATATATATATATGGTGTGGCCAAGAGAGCCGTTGAATCCCATTGTCTAACATGTTTTAAAAAAAAAACGCGAAAAGAAACCAAATCCAATCCCATAAATCTGCTGAAATCGTCCAGGAACAGAGTTTCTACTGCATTGTGATGGAACCGTTGGCCATGAGCCTTCGAGCCTCGACTGGCCTCGATGCCTCAACTGGAATTGATCTGGGACGCTGAGGATAGCCATAATTTTTGACGTGGCTATTGAAAATGGCCCATTTACCATCTGGTTATTCAACATAGCTATGGAAAATCACCATGTTTAATAGGTAAACCTCTATAAATGGGCCATTTCCCATGGCTATGTTAAATAACCAGAGGGTAGTATCTGAATCAACAAGATGCACAAAATCATAAAGATGCACAACTCACCAAGCAAAATAGGGATAACATTGGGATGACAGTGGGGGATTTGGGGATAGTACCTAGGTTAACCAACTGGATGGGTACAAACTTATCCTTTAGTCTTTGGTATGGGATTATCTACGGTCACCAGCTAAGAATTTGTCATTTTTTGCAGGGTATCTAAGATTGGCAATGAAAATGGCACATTTTGTTCGTTGATTCGCCTATTATAGAATGGTGATTGTCCATAGCAAATTGTTGGTTTACCAGAGGGTAATCAAGAAAAATGGGAAACAGTGGAGACTTTTATGGGGAATATATAGAAATATGGGATCTGAGTTTGACATGATTGTACAAAATTGAAGATCAGCAAGAAGAATGAGGCACCAACCGAAATAGGATGAAAAGAGGATGTCATAGAATTTATATGTGTATTAATGACAAGGAATCCAATATATAGTTTTTAATGTCAACAATGGAGGAACTTCGTTTTAAGATTATTACTCTCCACAAGACTGGGATGCACGCTGCGCACTGATGATCGTGCATTCACAGTAATGCCCCTTCTTGATAAGCTGTTTTATAAACATTTACCCTCTGGTAAACATACAAAAAGCTATTGAAAATGGCCCATAGAAAGTTCGTGGATTTACCCATTAAAAATTTATGGTGATTTTCCATAGTTTTTTGTATGTTTACCGGGTATAAACCCACCCAACTATAGAGATATCCACTGTAGACTTTAACCTGGAGATCAACCTATGGTTCACCACTTCGTTCAAGTTCTCGAGGTTTACAGAGATGGGACTTGAAATCGCCAGTAGCCACCGAGAGGTGGTTTATAGATATATCTGGGTAAATTATAACGACCTCACTGTTCTCCCTCACCGGATCATGGTTAATAAGGGAAATCATCTCAAAATAACCTTATTTCAGGTTTGTGAAATATTATAACTTACCCAGATATATCTCTCTTAAAGCCGGTTTCTTATTGTAGTTACCCTCCAGTAACTTAACATGACTCTGGCAACGGGGTTGGAAGATTAGTGAAATCACTAAAGATGGCTTAAAACTTCTGGGTCGAACTGTTAATTTACCAGAGGGTATATACAAGGTGGTGCCCCAGTTCGTTTGCTAAGTTGGGGTTCACAACTCCAATTTAACTTGGGTAAACATGGTAGACCGAACTAGTTCATTGAGGTTATAAACCAACAAAGATCACTGGGGGGACTTCGCGATTCCGAACTGGAGCACCACCTTGTAACTGTCTCAGGGGCCACTTATTAAAAGGCCCTTTGTTCAATGCTAGCGGCTTCTCCTGGGAGCCACACGTATGCCATTTGCAACGCATGGAACGATCCTCCCAACGAGAAATATAGAAACCCCCCAAAAAAAAGAGTGGTTTGGAAGATCATTGTCCCAATTATTTTTGTAATGTACCATTTCGTTCGGGTAGAAACTGAGGTGGTTTGTTGCAAGAAGGGGATGGTGGGTTGTACGTGGCCTCTTGGCAGGTAAAAAAGCCTTCGGTGGTTTTGATTTGCTGCTGTCAAGGGTATTTTCCTTCTGGTAAACAGACAAAAAGCTATTGAAAATCACAATTTTTAATGGGAAATCAACTATTTATAGTGAAATATCTAGTGACTAGTAATGTACCCTCTGGTAAACATACAAAAAGCGAACTTGAAAATGGCCCATGGAAATAGTGGATTTACCCATTAATAGCATAGTGATTTTCCATAGTTATGTGACAGTTTACCAGAGGGTAGGTGCCTAGAGGTCATGGGAAGATGGGGGGACAGTTTGCAACCCAATGTTGGCGGGCCGCGCGGCTGTGTTCGTTGATTGATTTCGAATGATTTTGGGGTGTGTGATGATGAGATATGATGAGGGAACGTGCACTTTAGATCACTTCAGCATGTTGATTTCATCTTGGCCATCTTTCCACGCGGAGCTTTAAAACAAAATCATACCCTTTGCATTGGTAGAGTTGGTGTCACGAAGCCAATTTCTAGATAGTTCTACCTCCACTCTTGGCAGTTACAACTCCACAAAAAGCACCTACACATGGATGTGCGTCCCAGTTTAAACACAAACTGGATGGTATTTCATAGATACCTGGGCAAAAAGAAAAACTGGTTGGTGGTTTGGAACATGGCTTTTATTTTTCCATTCAGTTGGGAATGTCATCATCCCAACTGACGAACTCACTCATATATTTTTCAGAAGGAGTATGCCAACCACCAACCATTGTTAATTAGCCATTATTAACCACATAGTAACCATCATCATTAACCACCATCAACAGTATAATAACCACATATTAACCTGGGCCATTGGTCAGAAAAAAGGAACCCTTTTGGAACCGGTTTTTTCCATGGACTCCACAAATGTGTGGGTGGAGCTAAGGCAGATATCCGTTCAACAGCCCATCAGCTCTCGAACTGCCGCTGTGCGAAGAAGTGACGGGGGGACAGGGCTGGCCCGGCCTGGTAAACTGTCACATAACTATGGAAAATCACAATTTTTCATTGGAAAATCCACTATAAATCACCATTTTCAATAGCTATGTAACAAATTACCAGAGGATAACCAACGATCAACTGGGCCAACATGGGCCAACGGGTCGGATACAGCACTTTAAATTGATCCATTCACCAGCTAAAAAATTGATTTTCGGACAGGTATCTAAGTTTCACCATGTAAAGTCAACCCCTAGATTAGTAAACGCTGACTAGCACTTGGGGACGTCATCCCACAAAAAAGCGATGAATTGCCCCCCTCCCATTAGTAAACATCGGTTTTATCAATCCAGGATTGGCCGTTAAGGTGATTTTACTGCCACAACGTATTGGATTCAAAGATGATTTGCTTCCAAAAAAAGAACAAAGGGGCTGCGTATGTGGATTGTTGGGAAAATTTTGGATCAATACTTTAATCGATGGCTATTTTGATGGGGTATATCAACCAAGCCAGCGAATCTGTTTTTTTTACAGGCTGGCTGTTATCCAGAAGACACCTTCAAGACCCAGATTCAAACCCGAAAAGGTGATAAGTTCAGTGGCAAAATGGCTTTGTCCAAAAACGTCGGACCTCGACATCCAAAAACCTGGTTGGTGGTTTGGAACATGGTTTTTATTTTTCCACTCAGTTGGGAATGTCATCATCCCAACTGACTTTCACTCATATTTTTCAGAGGGGTTGGTCAACCACCAACCAGAAAACTGTTGATGATTGTTGCTGGGTCAATCGGCTGGATGGGTACAAACTAATGCTGAAGAGTTTTTTGGGTAGGGCTCAACCACCAACCAGTGATCTATCTATCATTCCTATGGATTAATATTGATTTACCCACATTTACCCACATAAAGACCAGGGTTTTTCAGTGAGAATAAACTGTTGGTCAACATCTTCCCAGTGAAATTGCTGGCTTCGCCACATTTCTGGACAACCCCTCGACATGGCCATCACCGACCTTAGTGGGACCGGATGGGAGTCGGTGAGGTGAGTTGGGCGTTAGAAATGATAACGTGAGCCATGAAAACACAGGGATATTTAAATGATATAGTAATGATAGGTGGGTGGTTTCACACATGATTTTTACTTTCCATTTCATATATGGGATGTCATCCTGCCCATTGACGAACTCATATTTTCAAGATGGCTAAAGCCAATGATATTGATGATAACTATGGCATTATAATGATATTATATGGGTATTGCTACAATGATATTATGGATATTATAATAACATGTGGATATTATAATGATATACCCATTTATGATATTTACTGGTAATGATATTAGCTGATTAGGTATCATTGAATGATATGTTTCATGATATTTTTCCATCAGCTAAAGACTTCATAAGATCCTTCTGCTTTTGTCAAGCCACCAACCCACTGCTGCCGATTTTGTCCACGTGAAATCATCCCATGTTGCTTCACTTCTTTCGGTGGAAAAGATCAAGGTCCCAGGATGAAACCAGTGACTCGTTAAGGACCCTAGGATAGGCATATTTTCGTTACCCTCTGGTAAACATACAAAAAACTATGGAAAACCACCATGCTATTGATAGGTAAATCAACTATTTCTATGGGCCATTTTCAATAGCTTTTTGTATCTTGACCACTAAGTAAGGGCCAATACTTCCAATGGTTGTCAGTGATATGAGTGTTTCTTGGTGACCGAGTCGTGGTGAGTCGAAATGTGGTCATTTCTAGCCTGGACTACACACCATAGAAACACATCATTGTTGGCAATGGCATGTCACCTTAGATGGTGTTTGTCCATCTAGCAACGAAAAGAAGCCCGCCATCATTTCTGATAGCTTAAATGATTTTTAACCTTCTGCTGTAACCCCCGAATTTTCATATGCTGGTCATGTACATCCCTGTTTTTCTTGGATACCCTCTGGTAAACTAACATAGCTATTGAAAATGGCCATTTATAGTGGATTTACCCATTAAAAATAGTGATTTTCCATAGCTATGTTAGTTTACCAGAGGGTAACTCATGTGAAATCCCAATGTTTGGAACTTCATCTCAAAAATCCCATCCACGTCACCCACAGATTTCCCACAGGTCTTGCCTTTTTTCAGTCCATCGGATTGGCACATGGCGACCTCAAGTGCCTAGATGAGACCGTTTCGGAAAAAGCCCACGACGACCGTTTCGTTGTTCCGGTGATATCAAAAAAAAGGAGTGACAGAAGTCAAATGTTACTTCTGTATTCAGCATTCCCAAATCACATCCCAAAAAAATATTCATCACCTCCATTCTTTTGCATTGTATGGTCCCAAATAACTGGATTTATCCACTTCACTGGCCGACCTCAATGATAGAGCTATCTCTACGCCTAACATACAGAAAAACGCATGGTTTCGGAAAATCATTCACAAATAATGGTGGCTTTTCCAGGCCTAATTATGACAGTTTACAGGAGGATACCATCCAAAAAAAAAAAATGTGGTTTTTCCCCGTTGGGATTCAACAGGTCTCCCGTTTACCAGATGGCACACTTTTTTGGAATTGTTCGATAAAGTATTGATGAAATTTGTGGTGGGTGGTTCTGCATTTCTTTTTTCTATTTCAGTCAACCTACTTGTTTGGTAGATAGATGTTTTGCTGTAATGTTTTCTTGGCATATTGAACGACCAAGCACCAAAAAAGGTAATATGTTTTGGCTGCTATTAGTGCACAAGATAAACACCATACAGATACTTTGCTAGTTAAATCCTATGTGTTTGCGCGTATGTCCTATATATTTTGAGTGTTCATCCCATATTTTGATATTTAGTCCCATATTTTCGTGGTCCAATGGTGGTTAAGATTTTTCGCCGAGGTGTACCAACGTGATGCTTAGGCGAGGCGACTACGAAACTTGGCGACCCGCGTTCACCCGTTCCCCCCAATATGTCTCCCTAATATCAAACACCATCTAGAAACCTTGGTTTAGTAGCAGAATTACTACATTGACTTAAACATATTAGGAAGTATTAGGACCCATTTAGGGTGTGTTCAATATTAGGGGGATGGGATTAGTGATTGGAGAAGAGGCTATCTAGAACTAGGGATTGCTTGCATCGTGCCTGAGGAGTCATCCCAAATTTATTGTCGAGCTCATCAAACTTTCATCTAACTGGGTTGCTTAATGTGTTTTACTAGATATTTAGAACTCGCTCATGGGTGTTCGTCAACATTTACCAACCAGGAAACATTCTCTTATCAAAAACATCAGTCGACCAGCTACAAACCAATTAACCACTTATAGTTATAAACCCCACTGTTGATAAAGTCTATTACCAACAAGCATCACTAGACACCAAAACTTGCCTCTCAACAACCAAGAACTCAATGATGTTTTCAACATTCACTAGCCAAGAACGGTTTCTATCTATGAACAGCACTGAACCAGTTGTAAGCCCCACTACAGCCCGAGCGCTGGTTAAGAATCCGAAAGCTTGAGGCCCAGGGTCCCTCAAATTCTTATTTTTTAATGCAGGCAAATTGACACCACAACAGGCCGAGGGTCCCTCAAATTCTTAGGGCATTCTTAGTTATGTATTGCATGGCTATCTGCACAAGTTAAACGAGGTAGAGTTGGCAGATTTGACACGAGGCATGCGAAAAAAAAAGATTTTTTAGAGCTTTTTTGGAAAGCCGGGCTTGTCTGAGTTTCAGGAGGGCAGTGCGGAAAAAAAAATAGAGCCTGATTTTTTTTTCCGCAACTGCAACCCATGCTAAACCCAGCCCTTTGCAAAGCAAAGAGAGAGAATGAGAAAGCAAAATTCCTTGAAGGCAAGGCTCCTGTATCGTAATGGTCAGTCGGTTGGACCATGTCGGACCTCAGCCTTGAAGATCGGAGGGTGAAATCTCAGTGGGCGACTTTTTGGGCAACAGGGTTTGTCAATATGTCGTTTTCTTGGTGCAAAAGACCGTCGGGGTGGGTGGCTTGTCATAAGGGGTCACGCCACAAAAAAAAATGAACCGCAAAGGGGAACTGCAAACCTCACGTATAAGCAGTAATTTAAGAATTTGGCAATCCTATTCCAGGGTCCCTCAAATTCTTAAACTACTATGTGTTTGTTATAGCTGAAAATATGTAGCCCGCCTTGGATTCGAGCCCCTCAAATTCTTATACGGTGAATTCTCGTACAATATTCAAGCTGTATTATGTTTTTATTGCGACTACCCATGTTGAAACCCAAATGTTATTTGTTCACCAACAAGCCTACCCTCCGGCACTCAAACATTTTGCTTCATGGAAAATCAACAATGTATTAAATTACACTCCGATTATGTTTTCCAGCACCAAAAAAAATCATTTTGGGCTCATTTACCTCCTATTTATTTTCCCAATTGTCCCATGTGGTTCCTATGGATTGTCCCATGTATCTATGGAAACCCCATTCTTCAAGGCAATAACTAAAGCCTTACCAGTATTATAGCACAAGGCGATGGCAGAAGTTTCAAAAATTAATATTTTTTATAGGAGAGATTGGTTGTTGTGAATCACGGATGGCAGAGCGAATCCACTGATGGACCGAAAGGTGGTTCGAGCTGTGTTTTTTGGAGTGGCTGCAATGGTTGCAGTGGTCACAGTGTAATGTAATGTAATGCAATGTGGGGTAGGGCAGCGTAGCGCAGTGTAATTGAATGTAGTGTGGTGGGGTGTGGTGTAGTGTAGTGTAGTGTAATGCAATTAGTGTAGTGTAGTGTGTTGTGTAGTGTAGTGTGTTGTGTAGTGTAGTGCAATGTAGTGTAGTGTAGTGTAGTGTGGTGTAATGCGATTAGTGTAGTTGTAGCTGTAGTTGAAGTTGTAGTTGCAATGTAGTGTTAAGTAATGTATTGTAGCTGCAGTTGCAGTTGCAGTTGCAGTTGTAGTTGTAGTTAGTGTAGTGTAGTGTGGTGTGGTGTGGTGTGGTGCAATGCAGTGTAGTGTAGTATAGTGTAGTGTAGTGTAATGTAGTGTAGTGTAGTGTAGTGTAATGTAGTGTAGTGTAGTGTAGTGTACTTGAGTGTAGTGTAGTACTGTAGTGTAGTGGAGTGTAGTCTAGTGAGGTGTAGTGTAGTAAAGTGGGGTGTAGTGTAGTGTAGTGTAGTGCAGCGTAGTGTAATGTAATTAGTGTAGTGTAGTGTGGTTTTATGTAGTTGTAGTTGTAGTTAGTCTGATGTAGTGTAATGTGGTGTAGTGTACTGTACTGTAGTGTAGTTGCAGTTGCGGTTGCAGTTGCAGTTGTAGTTGTACAGGTGTAGCTGTAGGTGTAGTGCAGTGTCATTCAGTGTAGTGCAGTGTAGTGGAGTGTAGTGTAGTGTAGTGTAATTAGCGTAGTGTTGTGCAGCGTAGTGTAAATGTAGTATTGTTGTAGCTGTAGTTGTTGTTGTTGTTGTTGTTGTTGTTGTTGTTGTTGTTATAGTGTAGTATAGTGTAGTTTAGTGTAGTTTAGTGTAGTTTAGTGTAGTTTAATGTAGTTTAGTGTAGTTTAGTGTAGTTTAGTGTAGTTTAGTGTAGTTTAGTGTAGTTTAGTGTAGTGTAGTGTAGTGGTGTGGTGTAGTGTAATTGAGTCTAGTGGAGTGTAGTGTAGCTGTAGTGTAGTGGAGTGTAGTGTAATGTAGTGTAGTGTAGTGGAATGTAGTGTAGTGCAATCTAGCGTAGTGTAGCGGAGTGTAGTGTAATGTAGTGTAGTGTAGTGGAATGCAGTGTAGTGGAGTGGAGTGTAGTGTAATGTAGTGTAGTGTAGTGGAATGTAGTGTAGTGTAGTGTAGTGTCGTGTCGTGTGGTGTGGTGTAGTGTCGTGTCGTGTCGTGTCTTGTGGTGTGGTGTGGTGTAGTGTAGTGTAGTGTAGTGGTGTAGTGTAATTGAGTCTAGTGGAGTGTAGCTGTAGTGTAGTGGAGTGTAGTGTAATGTAGTGTAGTGTAGTGGAATGTAGTGTAATGTAATCTAGCGTATTGTAGCGGAGTGTAGTGGAATGCAGTGTAGTGGAGTGTAGTGTAATGTAGTGTAGTGTAGTGTAATGTAGTGTAGTGTAATCTAGCGTAGTGTAGCGGAGTGTAGTGTAATGTAGTGTAGTGTAGTGGAATGCAGTGTAGTGTAGTGGAATGCAGTGTAGTGTAGTGGAGTGTAGTGTAGTGTAATTGGGTGTAATTGAGTGTAGTGTAGTGGAGTGTAGTGGATTATAGTGTAGTGTAATTGAGCGTAATTGAGTGTAATTGAGCGTAGTGGAGTGTAGTGGAGTGTAGTGTAGCGTAGTGGAATGTAGCGAAGGTGTAGTTGTAGTTGTAGCGTAGTGTATTGGAGTGTAGTGTGGTGTAGTGGTGGTTGTAGTTGAAAATGCTACAAAATTCCACGTCCTCACTTTTGACAAGGTCCACAATCCCTTGTGCCTGCCACGCGAAACGACATCTGAATGTCCAAAGTGGTCCGAACCCCCTGGTGCTTTTCACATTTTAACTTCGAAATGTGCTTCGCGCCACAACGGCGTGCACTTTTTCGACATCTCAACTTCCAAAAGTGGTCCGGTGCTGAGGCGTTTTGTACAGTTTGACTTGGAAATGTGCTTCGCGCCACGACGGTGTGCACTTTTTCGACATCTCAACTTCCAAAAGTGGTCCGGTGCTGAGGCGTTTTGTACAGTTTGACTTGGAAATGTGCTTCGCGCCACGACGGCGTGTAATTTTTCATCTCTCATCTGGCCAGCTGGCTCCGCACCCGCCGCTTTAGCGAGCCTACTTTTCGACCCTCTGGAGCCACAAATCATTGGAAAAAACACAGTGTTTCGCGACTTTTCCTACCTTTTCGGGCACCTGGATCTTCTTTCTTCTGAAACTTTCTCTTCTCTGATCTTCTCTCTTCTGCTCTTCTCGTCTCTATTCTTCTGCTCCACCTCTGCTTTTCATCTGTCTATATTGTCGGAAGTTTGACTTCTAAACTTCCCTCGAAAATGGCTTTAACTACCTATCCTGGTTGCTGGGGAACATGAATTTTATTTTTCCATTCAGTTGGGAATAATACTCGCAACTGACTTTCATATTTTTCAGAGGGGTAGGTCAACCACCAACTAGTAACTCAATGTTTATCATTTGGGTAGCCTTAGTACATACTAATCAGCTGAAATTCCAATAAGTTGGCGCCAAGAATCCCATCGAACTATAGTTATATACCCTATAAAGCCTATGGTTGGTATGTTCCCATGTGTTTTCCCCAGGAACTCCGGGCGCATCCGCGGCTGGGGGATCCCGACTGCATGGCCGCACGACCTGCCTGGCCCTTTGAGGTGAAGTGGGATGGATGGAGAAAGAACATTGGAAAAACTTGAGGAAAATGTGGAAAAAGTTTGGGAAAACAATGGAAAAACTTGAGGAAAATGTGGAAAAAGCTTGGGAAAACAATGGAAAAACTTGAGGAAAATGTGGAAAAACTTGGGAAAACAATGGAAAAAATTGAGGAAAATGTGGAAAAAATTGGGAAAACAATGGAAAAACTTGAGGAAAATGTGGAAAAAATTGGGAAAACAATGGAAAAACTTGAAGAAAATGCGGAAAAACTTGAGAAAACCATGGAAAAACACTGGAAAAAATTTTGGGAAATCCTCTCCGCAATGGAGGTTGAATGGATTTTAACCGATTTGAAAAATGATGGTGATTTAATGGGATCATCCTCAAGCAACTGGTCGTTTAATCCTGGATAGTTTTTTGTTATAAATGGAATATAACCATAACCAGCAACAGATTTTTTTTGTGGACTACCAAAGATTGACCATGGGATATTCATCGGGATATACTGTAGTTTCTCGATTGAACACAATTCGACCAGTAAAAACATTGATTGTTCCGGATCGTCGTTTTTTTGAGCACAAAAGAGTTGATGTGTACTGTATGGGTTCTTATCAAAATGGAATTAACCACAAATCACCCAGATTTTTGGGAGCTGAATACGGTACTGTTTCCACGGATATGGATTTATCATGATTTATCCAAAACTGCTGATGTTTTACACCAAATCATTTTGGAAAAACGTCCAACCATAAATATCATTGCTATTTGGTGATTTACCATCAATAAATTTCGGACAACAGCGTTGACATTGGTTCCGAACATAGATCTTGGGAGTTTTCATGATCCATCCCATTTTGGGCTACAAAAAATCATGCCTAGCGTGCCTATGAACAGACAGTCTACCATTTCTGCTTGGTGGCTTGGAACCATGGAATGGATTATGACATTCCATTCAGTTGGGAATGGAAAATCATCCCAATTGACTTTCACTCATATATTTTTCAGAGGGGTAGGGCTCAACCACCAACCAGATTTTTTCACGAATCATTTCTTTAGGGATCCATCAGTTTTCTGCAAGTGTTCAGTGGTTCAAAGGTGATAAGCCGGTAATTTCTAGCTCAAAATATGCCAATGTTGGATGTTGGTACCCTCTGGTAAACATAGGTGATTTCCTATAGCTATGTTAAATTACCAGAGGGTAAACCGTGTGAATGACTCAGTTTGACCGCCCCATTGTGGCAAAGGTGTTGCTCTACAAACAGCAGAGACTACCTCAACTGTGTGCTTCCTTTGTTACCTCATTTTGGCCAAGTACTCCGTAGAAAGGAAAAGTGAGTGAATCATTTTATTTCAAATAATACCCAGAACAAATATATGTATGTATATATACACATATGTATAAGTATACCCCTCCCAAAAACTGCAGTTCCAATCATGAAAGTGGGATTTGTTTCCTCAGCACGCTGGGGTGAGCAGCAGGTGGTGATCATCGATTTCGGCTTAGCCAATGTCACCGAGCCAGACACCAGACACTTGGAGAAAGACTTGGTGATCTGGTGATCTGTGATAAAACCCATACAATGTGAGGCCCCCAAACGTTATGTTTGTTGGTTTTTAGCCCCATCTAACTATGGTTATAACTACCATAAACCCTAGTGAAATTGTAGTTATAAACCAACTTAGCTATCTTGGGGGCACCACATTGTAGGTTAATCTGAGAATATTTGGGATATAGCATGTGAGTTTTGATGGTAAAACAATGCCATTTTTACCACCCATGACTGGGAATGGGATTTCCATAGACCATACCACCAAGCAAAAAATGGTGATGACTGGAGGATGGTAAGCATGGCATTGTTTTCCCACATCAATGGGTTAATATGTGATTTGATTGGTTAATATGGGATGATGGGAGAATGATCTGCGGTAAACCCAAAAAAATATTGGGATATCATGGGATAAAACATGGGATCAGTAGGTGATTAATGGGATCACTGGCCATCTCAGGAACAGATTGATTGGAGGTACCTACCATATATATATATATATGGCCTATGTAAGGCCTATGTAAGGGAATATCCCCACAAAATATGGCCTTATATGGTACAGTACCTTCATTTTAGGATCCTGGAATTCCCATTGATGGGATATAGTATGGGATATAGTTTGGATATTTTCATGAGTTTACCACATAAGATTTATTACTTTCTGGTAATCGAACATAGCTGACTGGGATTAAATTGAATGTGGGTTTATATGGCTGGGATTAAATGAAGGTTTTAATGGGAAGAACATGGAACTAAATGACGTGGTAAAGTGATGTAAATCCAATAAACATGGCAAACCCAATCATATGGGGAAAGTCTGGGACAATTATGGGAGAATTGTGGGGCCCCTAGCAATAGGATGATGGTTATCATGACCCCCATTAAATGGGTTAATGGGATGGCTCAAATTCAATGGGATGGGTCAAAATTGAAGCCCTATGCTACCAGAGTTTTTGAGTATATGTTTACTACAAACCATTGGGCTACAAAATGTTCACCTATACCCAAATGTATATACCGAGAATCATGAACAACTGACATGTTTCTCATTACACGCGCTGAATCCAGCTGCTTGTTTCACCGAAGAAAGTCTAGGGTTTGGTGACAATGCGGTGAAAACCTGTTGTGACCTGGAAATCCCACTTCAACTTCTATGGTGCATGAGTAGGAGCATCGGAGTATCGCTATTTGGCACATTTTTGCGATTTTCTTCAACCGCATGTTTGCGTATCTATGCATTATTTTCCGTAACCCACCCCAAAAAAGAGCTGCAGAGAAGATGAGCATAAACCATGAGAGAAACATTCATCAACCCTACTGGGATTATAACCATTAATAAGCCATGTTTTAAATGACACTATGCATACTATGCTAAATCGAGGAATCACGTCAATTATTTAATAGGACATGTTTAGCATTCAGAAACCCTTCGATACCAGGTCCGGAGGCCTTTCTCTTCACGCGGGACCAAGGAGCAACGGACCGGGGATTCTCTACAGGATTTGACCAGCAAAAATGGTGAGGATCTACACCGGGATTGAATTCTCCAATTTATGACCTCCCTACTCACCATGACAAACCATCATTACCCTCTGGTAAACTAACAGTTGGCTATTGAAAATGGCAATCTATAGTGGATTTACCCTTTAAAAATGGTGATTTTCCATCGTTTTTTGTATGTTTACCAGAGGGTATCCATTGAATCCAAGGGGATTCTCCCATTTTTCATGATGATCCGAGGGGATTCAATGGGATGAGGGACTTTTATGGTGACTTTCTGGTGATGGAACACGTGGAACACCCACCATTTTTATACGGGAGGGGTGGTCAAACACCATCGGGTTGCTCCAAGCCAGAGGGTTTTTATGGTTTTTTTTTATGTTGAAAGCTTGCTCCAGCCACCAGCTGGAAAATTGTTGAAAAAAAACTCATGATTTGCCACAGAACAACTCCCCCTTGGAAAATCTGGAGTTTTGGGAGAAACCCTTTGAGGGTGATCTGTGTTTTTTTTTAGGGATTGAATTGTATAGTAAGGATTTAAGCTCCAAATTTGTATGGCAATCATGCAAGAATTCAGTTTTAGATAGTTTTAGATAGTTTTAGCCATTATAGTAAACCAACAAAACCATAAAAATTTGGAAGCAATACGTGCCCTCCAGGAATTGACATAGTTTGGAACACCCATCCTCCAGGAAAAGGAGTTGCTTTCAAGGTGTTGAATTATTGGAGGGTGACCCCCATTTAGGGTCAGTTTGATAGGGAAAATGAAGCTTTAAACTTTAAACCATGGAAATTTGGGATGAATTTTGGGCAACAACTAGTGGCTTTCAATTGACGGTGTCCTTTTTTTGACCCCAAAATCATCCAGACCAAATTCCATGGGGAAACTGATATTTCTGGGTTACCTCAGTTTTAGGAAACGCAAAAACATCCGAACACAGGTGAGTCATGCCAGTTGGAGAAAGGGTCGAAAACGATCTGGAGTTTTCCTACAGATAGTGCCTCAACGACGTTGTTTTCCCAATGGGAAATCCCAATGGGAAATCCACGACTTGGGCGATCTTTGGGAAGATGTAAACTATTTTTGGGTGGTCCTTGAGCAAATCCAAGGTTATATCAATGGCCATGCAACAGGAACCGGTTTATTGGAGGTACCTACCATATATTTTGGGCCTATTTGTTAGGCCTAGATTTTAGGGAATATCCCAACAATTCAAATGGCCAGAAATATGATACTAACGTAGCTCCATCAATTGGATCCTGAAATTCCCATTGCGGCGACATCTCCAAGTTACCGGCCTTCAACCATCATCCCAATGGCGGACTAGACATTACAGCGAAGCTTTGAAAAAAAGATCTATCAAAAAAATGTTCAAAGGCCTTTCTAAGAAACACCAAAATGACCAGAAATACATCCACTTATTTGTTTCGGGGGTGGTTTGATGGAATTACTAAAGATATTAACTGGTTGGTGGTTTGGAACATGAATTTTATTGTTCCATATATTGGGAATGTCATCATCCCAACTGACTTTCATATTTTCCAGAGGGGTGGGTCAACCACCAACCAGTGATCTACTGAATTCCTATCGATTAATATTGATTTACCAGGATTTACCCACATAAAAACAAGGGTTTTTCAGCTTGCATATTACCATTATGACTATATATCCCCAGAAAATCTCAACCTAAGTCATGGGATTGGATGATGGGAAAATTGAAACCGGAAAACCCAACCCTATATTTGTTGGTAATTTCACCATGGTTTCCGGTTAAGATTTTCCCTGCAAAACCAATCCATTGACTAAGCATTCACCAACTGCCATTCACTGCCAGATCCATCGTTCCCTGCGAGGCGATCAGAAGAAGGGCCGCTTGCGCGTGGGCGCGCGCCATATCCGCGCCCCCGAAGTGGTTCTAGGCCTTGATCTGCAGGGTTTCTCGGCATGGTATTCGGGAGGCTCATGCAACAGTGGGTTGGGGCTCTAAAATTAGGCACATAAGATGTATAAGATGTACCAAGAGGTTTGAAACTTGAAGCCATTCAAAGAAATTTGAAATGTTGAGGGTTTGCCCTCCAAAAATGGCAATAAGTTTTAGTGTATTCAACACACATTGTGTTTTGTAAACTCGGGGTTGGCCGTTAATGCTTTAGGCACGGTCCTTGTACATAAATTGTGGAAAGAATAAGTGTGACAGTATTGATCAAACAACTTTACAATGACGCAAAAGCAAGCTGTGCATCTGCTCTCAAGCAGTCAAAAAGGATTACACTTCAATGGAGGAAAGGCACCTTTACGGTTATGACGAATTTGATGATAAGTTCAGCGTCATGGGCTGCAGTATGGGCACTACTGCCCGACCAAGGGCATGGTTGGTGGTCTCTTGGCCACTGCATGGCTGATGAATATTTGCTCCAAAGGTGCAATCCTCAGGCGTTGCCCAAAGTAATGGAGCTCACTACTTGCCAAGTTGGTGCCTCTGCAAGACTTGTTTCACATTGGGAAGCGAACGAACTACGAATTGTGCACATCTCTGTGGTCCTGGAAGGTCCTGGAATATTCAACACAAATTGTGTAACATTTGTGTGATATATGTGTTTATACAAGCAAGACTGGTGGAAAATGGGTTGCTCTAAGCCAGACGTTTGATTCGTGACTGGTTAATAACCCTGGTTGATGCGTAAGTCCCTTACTTGGGATCCTAGTTAAGGATAGTTAGGTTATTCCATATTTAAGTGGGACACTACTAACCATTTACTAAGTGGCTGAAAGCCTGTCAGAATGAGCCCACAACCAGTACCCGGCAATGAAAACAAGTGAAGGATCAAACGGGATGTGGGTTTGGCTGAAAATAGCGTCAATCCACATTGACGGTTAATCACCATTTTCCCTATAAACAATTGCCATTTGGAAGGTATAGCCCATTTTCAGACACACCCATGTTGTGAATTTACACACCAACCTTTATCTTCCCAGCCCCAATTTCGTGGATTGTCCGATGGGAAATCATCCATGCTTTGGGGTTTGCGTCTCGCAGTTCATAACCTCCACTACTCCCAGCTCACGAGTGCTTTAAAGGAAGAAAAAGTGAATCAACTGTAGCTAAATTCCATTAAATTCCTAGGTTACTATCCCAGGTAGCCATGCACCGGGAGATGATAATTTTTGACCCACAACGATGTGTACCGTAGCCACCCGAGGTTCTGCGCATGACATGTGGAGCCTCGGCTGCTTGCTAGCGACGCTCTACACTGGGGAGCGGCTCTTTCCTGCCACTTGGGCCTGTTGGGAAGAGCATTCCACTGATGGCATCGATGAGTCTATATTAAACGGTTACTTGGTGGCTTAGTAACAGTTAGTAAATGGGATACATCCCAGCTGTAACTATGCTTCACTATTGTTTATGATAGATATGATATAACTATAGTTAATGTGGGAAAAACAATGTCATGCTTACCATCCCCCAGTCATCACCATGTTTTGCTTGGTGGTATAAACTGTTCCTAAATGGGTTGTTTTGTTTTGTTTTACCCACATATTTTTTTTTACAAATGATGGATCTAACTAACCAAAATGGTGGCATGGGAATCTAATGAATCTAATGGGATGCTATCCGGGATTATGGCATGGGAAAATCGCCGACCTGGCCATTTTATGTTCCTAGCTGGGAGGTTTCCTGAAATGCTAGCCCTAAATCATCATCTTTAGTTTATGGCGGTTTACTCAGTTTGGCATCGCTTAAGTGCGAAGGTGAAAGCAAAATTGGTCTATCTCAGTGAGCAGTCTCTGTTTGGGGACATGGTGACGGTCTACAGGCAATGGCAATTGTCCCAGCTGACAATCGTCACCTCCACCCTGCGATCGTGGCTGCGCGGTTCCTAACCGCGTTCCTGTTGCATCGCTTCGTTGGCAACAGCCGCCTCCCTTAAGGAGTTAAGCGTGGCGTCAAGACGCCTCAACGTTGCAGCAGCCATGGGTGCCGAGGTACTCCGTGACATGAAGATCTCTGTCCAAGGGTTGGGGAAGGCCTTACAGGCCCCTTTACAATCTTTTTCAGCGCCAAGACACGCAGGAATCAATCCATGTGGAGGTTTCCTGAGTCATGGTGGTACCCCGTAAATATCCATGTTTAATAGGAACGTCCACTATAGACCATCCAGCTATGGGGGTACTACCTATGGAAACCCCCATATGTAAATATCTGAATATGCGTGGTATTCTCCAGCAAGCCGTGTTTGATCATGGGTAAGAGCTTCCCCAGCTCTCCTATACTGTCCTACAGCTATGTCCGTAAATTTAACTACGCACGTTAGAAGAGGTTTATCACCCAAAAAAAATCGTATGTACCCGTAATGGTCACGTGCCCTACATATGGCTAGCGTTCGCTCGCGATGCTTCTCCCGTTCCAACATCCTAAGACCTACCCGGACCTACCCGAATCCGACCGCGTTTTGCCTTGGATTTGGGCAGACAGAGTGAGGGAGACTATGGGCACTTCATTCTTTTGATTACCATTTGGTTATTTAACATAGCCATGGAAAATCACTAATTTTAATGGGTAAATCCACTATAAATGGTTATTTTCAAAAGCTATATCTAACTACCATCTGGCAAACTAACATACAAAAAACTATTGAAAATGGCCATTCAGTTCGTGGATTTACCCATGAGATATAATATGTATATATATATATACCATCTGGTTTTTTAACATAGCGAACTGGAAAATCCCTTATTTATGGAGGTTTATAGCTGGGAAAATCATCTATAAATGGGTCATTTTCCATGGCTATGTTAGTCATAACCAGAGGGTACACGTATTGATTGGCCGCAATTCGATTGTGGAGAACCAAAAGAATACTTCGTCGAGGACCTAGGATATGTGTGAAGGCATACTTTGCAGGAGTGGTTTGAGCAGCGATTTGTCTTCATGGTGTTCCCATGTTACCCGCAATCAGAAGTGGTGGCTATGGCAATGGTAGCCTTTGAGCGCTTGCAGAGGTCCAACCATGTTTCATTGCCTCCCATTGAATTAAATCTCACTAAATCCCTATTTGTTGATGTTTGAACTTCCATTTCCATTCCTTCCATGTCTTAAAAAACCATTAAAAAGCCCCTTGTAATCCCAATAATCCCCTATGAATTCCACTAAATCCTTGTTAAATTTTAAAAAAACCTTCAGTTTGGACATAGTTGTCATATGGTTTCAGCGTATCTCTTTCCTCGCGTCGCGTTGTTTTTTCCAGGTCCATGATGAGATGGAGCATCTAGCGGCCATTGAGCACCTGGGATCCCTGGGATCCGGAAGTGACAAGCCATGGAGACTTACCATGGCTACCCTCTGGAAAATAGTGATTTAATGGTGATGAATCCATGATTAATGGTGATTAATGGTGATTAATCGTGATTACCTTCTGGTAATGACTAACATAGCGAACTGGAAAATCAGCATTGTTAATGGGTAAATCAACGAACTTTCTATGGGCCATTTTCAATATCAAACTGTATGTTTACCAGGTTGGGTAACTACTTATAGCTCATCCCAGTGGTTGTTTTAGCCTAGTTAGCCTCTGAAAATATGTTCAAAATGGCCCATTGAGTTCGTTGATTTAGCCATTTCATGCTGATGTTCCATAGTTTTGTTACCAGAGGGTAATGGGATTTTTTTTTGACATTGAACAATGGACAATGGAGGCTTGACCATCGAATATGATGGAATTAGTAGGGGATTTACGGTGAAGTATGGGATCCTCTGGGGATATTTGAAGTAGATTTATGTGATTTGATTGGAAAAATGGTGGGTATGTGGGAATGATTGGGAATGGGGAGGCAAGCAGCAAACTATGAGGATATCGAGATATGATGGAATCGACTGCGATAATCGAACATATGTGTATATATGTATATTATTATATGTATTATTATACATATTATATATATATACAATAATACTACTTATTATTGTTATTATATCTAGCATTTAAAAAAATGAGATAGCAGACTCTCATCGCAACGTCGCCAATACAGCCAGGAGTAGGAAATGGAGGGGGAAATGGACGAACGTTTGAGGTGCACCAAACAATAATTTAGGATACAGCCTTCATGGCAATTGAAAATTCCTTGATCTGGGAAAATACCCTCCTGGTAATTTGTTACATAGCTATTGAAAATTGCCATTTATAGTGTGTTTACTCATTAAAAATAGTGATTTTCCATAGCTATGTTAGTTTACCAGAGGGTAATCTATAAATGGATGATGTTCTATTGGATTGCAAACCAATCATTTAATTTGCATATTAGGCACCAAAAAAATTGGGAATACAATATGATGGAACCAGAAAAAGTGAGGAAGGATATCACTGGTAGGTTCAGATGGTTGATACCACCAGTTGAATATGCGTATATGTCATATGAGTAAATGTCAATTTTTGTAATCACTGGTTGGTGGTTTGGAACATTGCTTTTATTTTTCCATATATTGGGAATGATAATCCCAATCTGACTTTCATATTTTTGAGAGGGGTTGAAACCACCAACCAGATTATATGTATATATATATAAGTAAGCAAAAATAAGAATATGTGTGTGCACATGCGTGTGTGAAAGGAAAGGAGAGCCAGCAGGATTTGCCACAGCATCAAAAGCAGCGCCCTGTCAATGCACCACGCCGACCATCAGTGGCTACGCCTGGTCCAACAGCCCAGAAATACCATGACTAACCTGCGAAATGAATCGCACACCACCAATTCGACCTTGCAGTTTTCACGGTCTTCAGGAATGACGCATCACAGCATCCTGTCATTGCTTCGGTAATCGAAATACTTTTCAAGTTTTGTCATGAATGACAGAGTTGCTCCAACTCACGACAAGGATCCAAAAAATCCTAAGTCTACCTCCTTATTTGGCAATATTCCTCCCTTGCATTCGTGTGAAGCAACCCTGAATGAAGGGATATAGATGGATATGGCACCCAGTCTTCCCAAAATAACAACATGCTATCCAAGATTACCCTCTGGTAAACTAACAGAACTATGGAAAATCAGCATCTTTAATTAGTAAATCAACGAACTTTCTATGGGCCATGTTCAATAGCTCTGTAATTCCCAGAGGGTAACCATGGATTAATCACCATTAATCACCATTAATTGTGGATTTTTGCTGCTTAAATCACTATTTTCCGATGGTTTTCCTATGCTTTTCCATGACCAGTCCCTTCATGGCCCAGCGCGCCCGAGCGTGCGCCCAAGGCAAGTCACTGGTCTTCGCATTCCTCCGGAGATGGCCAACGGAGTAGCAGAGAGCGCCTAGATGACCTTCTCTGGTTGGTCGTTTGAAATGGGTCAATTTAACCATTGATATGGAAGGCCGGGGTTCAGAAATGATAGAGATATCTACTGTATATATTGTATCTGGTTGGTCGTTTGGAACATGTTTTTCCATTCAGTTGGAAATGTCATCATCCCAATTGACAAACTCCATCATTTGGGCAGGGCTCAACCACCAACCAGTTCTTTAAAATTCCCAAACTAAATGAAAGTTTTTAATGGGAAAGCCATCTTCAAATGAGGGATTTCCAATTGCCATGTTTGATTACCAGAGGGTAAGGTGGCGTTGACTGGTAGATGAAAAAAAAACACATACATCACTGGGTGAGGGTGGCTGCTGGTTTCCGGAAAGATCTTTCCATCGCTAGCTGGGGCACAAAAAAAAACCAGGTGACCGATATGTTTGGATGGGTCAACCATCGAGGTGAGGTTAGCCTGTGTGCACCTCTGGAAAAGAGTCCTGGGGGTCCAGAAATGAATTTGAGGGTTTGTATATCCAGCTCAGCCAACAAACAAATCGGTTCAATGGTGATTCAATAGAAAATCATGAGGAACCATCGGATTTTGGGGCATCCTATTGTCAAACCCAAATGGTACGTTTCCACCGCTCAATTCTTGGCCCTTGCCCTACTGGGTGGCTTTTATGCTCCCATTCATTGGAATGGAAGATGAATCACCAAGCACTTTGCAGTTGTAAAGTTATACAAAGTGGGGCCCCCAAACGATAGCTAAGTCGGTTTACAACTCCTATAGCTATGGTTTATGCTACCTATGACCATAGTTAATGGGGTTTACATTCCCTTGGGGGGGGGCACATTGTAAGTGACGTAAAAACAATGCCTTGACTTCGCAGATATTGGAAGTCAGTTCTGTCTAAGTTGGGTTGCATGGATCTTGGGCTTAGAGAAAATATCATCTTGTCTAGGTGCTTCTCTGTAGCTGTATTGGGTAGTTTCTCGGGTCATTTAACCCGTTGTTTGTTTGCCGTACCTGGTGATTTCGAGAATTGGGGGACTCCAAGATCTAACGACCTCCACGGGAATGATGGGGACAGGATGGCGTAACGGGCGTATCCCAACATCGCTGTTTCAGGTTAGTGAATTTGCTCTATCATCTATCCAGATCTATCCAGATCTATCCAGATCTATCCAGAGTTGAATGTCATATCATATCGATATATCAACATAAAAACATTTGGCTGGTGGTTTCAAACATTTTTTAATTTTCCATTTCATATATGGGGATGTCATCCTTCCCATTGACGAATTCCATCATTTTTCAAGATGGTTATTGCACCACCAACCAGACATATCCAACTGGGCCACGGCGGGGCCACTGAGGGATCTTAGAGAAGGGTGTGGCCTTTGACGCTGGGTGGAAAGGGGGGTGAAGAGTTGTTCAATGGGGTCGTACCTCCCAGTTATATCCCAGTTATATCCCAGTTATATCACCCATAAACTGGTTATATACAGTTCTTGGAGCTGTAAAGCAATTTGGCTAACTATCAGGCACCACCCTGATTGGCGGGGCAACCCAGCTTATCCATGGTTGGCATGGTTTGTATATCATGGGCTTGTAGATATATATAATAGGCCCCGAGGCCGGTTGGTCTGGCCGGCATGGCTTATCTTTCTGGCTTTACCAGAACTGGATGAATTGGAATGACTTCAACTCATGACGTCATTGGAATGATGGCATCCATATTATGTTAGGTATGTCTGGGTAAATTATAACGACCTCACTGCGACCTCACTATAATCATAGTTGTAAGGGGAATCATCCCCAAATGGCCTTAATTCAGGTTGGTGAAATATTACAATTTACCCATATATATATATGTATATATATATATATATACATGCGTGTGTATTTATGAAATATATAAGTATATAGCTCGCTCGCTGGCACACTGTTTCTGGGGGGGCCGTTGGCTCGCCTTCAGTCTGTGACTGAACTCTCGGAGAGGGCGATGGAGAGAGATATAATACATATATATATATATACCATCTGGTCATTTAACTGGAAAATCACCATTTTGAATACGTAAGCCATCTATAAATTGGCCATTTCCCATGGCTATGTTAGTCATAACCAGAGGGTAACCATCATATAATATACCATCATTAATCACCATATCCCATTAATAAAAGTTCACCAGATTATATTCCATTAATATCATTAATCAACATATTCCATATACCATATAGAATATCATCATATACCATAATCCCATATGTACATATGGGGACTCATCCCCACATGGCCGATTTTTTCACCTATTTGAACAGGTTCCAGGTTATTCTCATACAAAACAGCCAGATTCAGCTGGAGTTCAAACAGCTGAAACCATGAAAAAAACACAGTTTTGAAGCCACCAGATCATCATGGATCATCATGGGTTATATATACCCATTATATCAATTATATCCCATATATCCTCCGAAATTGGGGTGAACAAGAAACATATCATTGAAACCCACTTGGCGGAGGTTTTCATAGGAGCCAGGTGGGCATTTCCGTTTCGATCACTGGAGGATCCTATGCCGATTTTGATGATAGGTAAACCCCGGGTTGATCCCAGGTAAACCCCAGATTTACGATCCCCAAGTGGGGTTTCTTACTTGCAGGATCCTCCTAAGAAGTGGTTAATCAACTTGATAACCATAGTTATACTAGGTCAATCTTAGATGGGTACTTTAATCCTGAATAGTCTTTTGGCATTAATGGGAATATCTACTCACCAGCAAGAATTTATTTTTTTGCAGGGTATCTAAGATTGGCAGTGGTTACTTCACCCATTTTTCAATGGAAGAACCCACAAAATTAGGGACTTACGATTGCCAACAGCTCACCCTCAGCCTTTAGCAGAACCTTCGGAATGGCGATGGATGTAGAGAGACAGAGAGAGATCAGGTGATAAACCAGTTACTAAGTGGGACGACCCGTCAAGCATTTTATGAAGATTCAATCAGCCCGCCGCAAAAGCGAACCGCCAATATTGAATGATTGAGAAACCCTGATTTATGGCGTTGTTGGTGGTGAATAGGCTGTAGTAACGACCCTCCAGTATCAAACATGGTTCGCTGAAAAAAAAACATTAGTCCGACAACTGTCCGATTAAAAGCTCCATTTTGTTGGGGATTTCTTTGCCAGTCATGTTTGATTACCGCGATGGCCCCTGTAAATAGGGAGTTCCGCATGCATGTGGGTTTTTATGGTTTCTATACATGGGATTTACTCTCTGGATACTCTCTGGTAAACTAACCTAGCTATAGAAAATCACCATTGTGAATAGGTAAATCAACTATTTCTATGGTCATTTTCAATAGTTTTTGGTTAGTTTACCAGAAGGTACAGGCGTTGGAAACCACTCTTAAGTGGGATGCATATCCCAGTACCTATGGCAGCCCCTATGGTCCCACGGTTGTTCCAATACGACTTCGATACCCAGGACGACTCGAGTCGATTGCTCTGGCCCGAAAATGCCGAATCACAACGACAGGTGCTGGTGGCCAGGGGAGATTTGAACAGCAAGGGGACCACGGGGACTTAAGCACCATCAATGAGGATAGAACACGTTGAAGTCATCATGCTTTGGGCAACATGTTTTGATGCACATTGAAGTCAGTGAAGCAGCAAGCTGTGGAGACCATCAAGAAGCCACTGCTCTGGGCAGTCGCCCCGCCTTGAGTTCAGTGCCGTGGCCTTGCCGTGGCGCAACTTGGTGAGCCCAGCTCAGCTTCCTTGAGCAGCGTGGACAGCTGCAAGCGACATTGCTCTGGGACAAACTCATGGTCGTCCATGCGAGGAATCGGCTGCAGAGTGGTCTGAAGATCCACTACCGCTCGTCAAAAAGTGGGAAAGCTCGAACATTGACATCCGATGAGATCACGGGGTTCTCTCTGAAGGCTGTGACCTACATGGCCACACAGGGTCGTTATGACACCCGCAAGAACCGCATTGCTGATTTCCTGGGGTTGCCTCCTACCTCTGAGGAGCAGGCAGAGTCAAAACGAATACAGGAGGATACGGCGGCAACTTCTCTTCCAAAGCAGCAACCCATGCTAATGAACCTTCTTAGGGATGGGCGGCTCAACCACCAGCTTCCTAGTTACAATCCATTGGGCAGGTTTTTCTGAGAACTTACGGAGGTCCAATGGAAAGTTGTCTCTAGCTGTTGATTAACCATGGATCAACCATAGGTAGCTGCTGTTTTGGTGTTCTTTACGTGTCTATCTTTGGCGGTTAGATCTGCAGGTGGATGGTGAGACGTGTTTCAGGTGAGATGCCCCAAGTCATCCAAGTCATCCAAGGTTTCAGGCCAGTTTAGTATTGAAACCCAGGGTTTTCAGGATCTTTTAAGAAACCGCCATATAGTATACCCCCTGAAGTGGCTATTGTAAAGGTGATAGATGATATCCAGTGGCAAATCTGGAGGTCTTTATGGTACCATTTTTCCCTTCAACGGGAAGATTTCTGTAACCACGGAGGTCATGTTGCTGAAGATTTAATGATGGATGGGTCAAGTTACCTATTCAGACTATGGATATCTATGTTATGGTAATAATCTTCTAGCTGTGTCATACATGTCATACCATTACAGCGCGGGTATTACCATAGTGGAATAAACATCCATTAGCCAGCTATTTTGGTGTACCAGGGGTACCTGGGGTACCCCAGGTAGCAGGGTTATTCCAGACCCATGCCACCATAGCTGAGATCCATTGTAGATGATGCTGCAGGATCATTGCAGACATGTCCCCGTCTACAATAGAAACTAAAGAAAGGATCGCAAAGACACAAACAGGCAGATTCTTGTTTGGTTCATCCTCAAAAAAGTTGTCAGATACACATTGGTTCATGCTTAAACCCACCCAGGCTTCTTGTATCTTGAACTGAGTGGCTGCAGGTGGAGCATGTTGAGCAAATGCCCGTGCTACACGAGCGACTCGGATTTGTTTAGCATCCGCACGACGTGACAAAGCGAATGATACGTATGGTGGTGCCCCCCAGTTATGTTTCTTGGTTTATAACCCCATGAAAGACCAGTTCGATATATTTATCATAAACCCGAGTGAGCTATTGGAGTTCTGTTCACCAACAGTTCGCGAACCCTGAGTTTGTTGCAGGCAATGTGAGTTGTTCATTTTGCTGGGCCTTAAGCAAATCTGGGGTGGTTTCAAACATGTTTTATTTTCCATAATATATGGGAATAATCATCCCAACTGACAAATTCATATTTTTCAGAGGGGTAGGTCAACCACCAACCAGTTATCCAGTTATCCAAAGAAAGCTAGTTTCGATATCCCAAAGGCCAACTTTGCCTCAAACCCATATGAAGAGGATCGAAAAAGGGCTTGCCATGAAGCGGTCTCGGATCATTTCATGAACGATTGGCGACATGAAAAAATGCTCTTCAATTGCCCTTAAAAGAGTTTCAACTTCACATTAGGTGAGGTTTCATTTCAGGTTTCTGTGGAGTTTTTTGGTACAGAGGATGTTGATATGTGCCGCATTTGTCCGATATTTACCCCCCCAAAGCGTCAGAAATCCTGGGGAAGATCGATTTCGCAGCACAACAGAGAGGTTCGGGATTGCGCCTACATGATAATAGATAGATGGCTGGATCGGGGATCTTTTCTGCAACAGTGTAAGTTGGTTTATAAACCCCATCCAAATTTAGATATAGATATAGAAACTTCCTGCTTCCCAAAATGGGGGGACCCAAATCATCCAAATTTCGTATTGAAACCCATGGTTTTGGGGATCGCCCATTTTAAGAAACACCCATGTCTAATCATGTATGATCATATATGCGCCGTAAATTCAATCATGTGGGAACCAACCTGCCTATCGTTTGGGAACCCCGGGAACCTGCGATGGTTTCATAGCGAAATCTTTGCTGGCAGATGGAGCAGCCAAAGATGATATCCGAAGATTCGTTGTGGATGCAGTCCTTCCAGAATCACATGAAAACCTCATATATATATAGATAGATAGATAGATAGAGATTTTTGTTTATTTAGCATATTTAGCGGCGCTTTTTTGCGGGTTCTTCTCCATCTCTTCCCAACATCCAAACAACGCAACGAAGCACGTTAGCACGTTCACCCCCACGGACTAGGTTCGTTCTGGAGAGGCACCACGACTTTTTGTCTTTCCTGCAAGGTGGGGCCCTAAGATCGACCATGGGCCAAGTTACAGATAGAGTCAATGGGAATTCCCGGATCCTAAAATGGAGGTACTGTACCATATTTTAGGTACCTCCATTTTAGGATCCTGAAATGGTTATTGATAGAGGGTGTAAGCACGAATCTGGTACTTTCTTCATGTTTTACACATTCCATCCTGCAATGATGACCCCCAGATTTGGCGATAACTTTTGGGGATGACATTGATAGGTTAACATGTTAATTAGCCACAAACGGAGAAATCCAATGATGATCCAGCCAAAAAGTGGTATTTTTTGTAGCTGTGTTTGAAGTGAGTTAGCTATGATTTGCTATCAGACCGAATTGTTTGATCATGTTTTGGGCCTCACTTTGTTCACAACGTCTTCCTCTTTGCAATTGGCTTTTTGAAGTCACAAGAGCCCCAAAAATCTTCGCCAGATAAGCTGCTTTACGGACTCTACAACTATCCTAAGTGGTGGGGATGGAGAATTTACATTTACAGATGAGTTTGTAAACCAGCTTTCAACGCCGGGTTCACCTTTGTGAAGCTGATGGATGAATCTGTCACGATGTTTCAATGTAAATCCATAGGTGTTTTTCTTGTTCCATTCTTTATATGTGTGAATATGTATATATATAATTATATATGTATGTATATTTAATTATATATATATTTATTTATTTATTTACTCCGAAATAAAAAGTAAGCAAAGTATGGCAACATAGACTTATATTATATGTATATATATATATTTATTTATTTATTTACATGCGGAGAGAGGGACAGAGAGAGAGAGAGAGGGGAAGATATATGATGATATATGTGCGTTATATTTGTAAATATCAGGATGAAGTCTAAGCGTACACGAAACGATGTTTCGTCTTTTTGCACTATGCTTGGATATTGCTTGCCATCTATGCTAGTTGGGGTCAACCCATCATTATCCAAATTGAAAATCGGGATCAATACCTGGGTAAACACTCTCACAATCCTGCTAAAAATGTGTTACCCTCTGGTTATTTAACATAGCCATGGCCATGGTATAGATTACCCATTTATAGATGGTTTACCTATTTAAAATGGGTGGATTTTCCATGGCGCTATGTTACATAACCGGATGGTAATCCAACTAAGAAAACGGTACCAACTTAAGTCCCTCCATCAAACATGGCAATGGAAAATCACCCCAGTTGCAGATGATCTTCCCATTAAAACATATTCAAACGTCAATTTATGGGAAGATCATCTGCAATTGGAGTGATTTTCCATTGAAATATATTAAAACATATAAAATATATAAAACATATTAAAACATATGAAAATCCGTGGTTTTCCGGCCCCATTTTTGATGACCGAAGAGTAGGCTGCTGGATCAGTGGGCTCAGCGGAGGTTTGTTGCAGATCGACCCAGAAAAGCGCCTCAGTCCCGAGCGTGCCTTGCGTCATCCTTTCCTGCACAAGGCGCCGCTTGGGCGCCGCGGAGCGCAGCCAGTGGTGCTAAAATGAAACGTTTTCTACAAGGTGGTAGAAAACCATAGGAAAATGGTGATTTAATGGTGATTAATCCATGATTAATGGTGATTAATGGTGATTACCCTTTGGCTATTTAACATAGCCATGGAAAATCATCACTTTTAATAGGTACATCATCTATAAATTGGTCATTTTCCATAGCCATGTTAAATAACCAGGGGGTAGTTCATAACCCCTGTTCAGTACTTCGTTATATCTACCATAAACCCAAGTGAAATTGGAGTTATGTTCACCAACAAGTCGCGATGTAGCTCACTAGGGCACCACCTTGTACTGGAATGTATCTGGATGAGTTTTTCCAGACCTCATTGTGACGTCACTGGACATCATCCCCAGATGGCTTGATTTTAGTTTTTGGTCAGCTTAGTGAATTATTATCATTCAGCCAGATTTATTCAGCGAAATGCCCATTGAATGGTTTATTCTGCGGAATAACCTTTGAACATCTTTGAACTGAAGAATCAGTATCCGTTAACTTATCAGTCCCGATTGGAGTGTCATTTCTGCTGACTTGTATTGATGAATCAGGCTGTGTTTAGGCCAATGTGAAACCCTGTGGCTTTAAGATGATGCTTCAATAGCTTTCTTGAGTCCTTACTATCACCCGTGCCAGGGAAGATGTGTTTTTTTTTAGTGTGTTGCAACTGTGGGCATCCCAAAAACGGAGCCCAAAAAATGTGAAAAAGTCGAGCAGAAATACGATCAGAATAGGATGTAGCCCTTCATAAAAGATGTCGAAAGTGGTTTTTTTTGGATGTTTTGTTATAGATCAACGTTGCTACATATTTCCGGATGTCCTCACTTTGGGCATCCGAGATTTGAGAATCCGGTCGTTTGAAACAGTCGGGGATTTCCCATTTCCATGCTTCACGCAGGAATGTCTCACCGAAGTAGATAGTCCGGGATCTCAGCTGACCGAAGAATTCCAACTGGAAAAAGTCGTGCTGAGTAGCCTCCATGGTCCATGAGTATCTTGGAGGATCATCCCACGGACCGCAACTGCTTAAAAACCCTGGCTTTCTGGCTAGTCCCCATTAAGTGGCTAAGTCACCACGTATAGGTGGCTTATATATTTGGTGACTCACCAGTTTTTTTGTGTGGGGTGATCTTCTAAGTCATGACCATAAGTTGGGATATAATTCCTACATGAAGTTGAATCATGGGGATTGGTATGTTAAAACCATTTAAAAGCCAACTGCCCTTTAATCCTTGAAATGATAGATGAATTAAAGCATGGTAGTGGTATGTAGGGTTTGGAAACATTTTATGTGTGTAGGATTCGGCTTGATTAGATTTTCTTGAGGGTTGACACTTCTCGACCCATACCCCAAAAACTTGACATTTACAAGTGTTCAACCCAAATTTGCTTGCAATTTTGGATGCATGTTTGGGGAGCCCTTTTCCCTCAACTACTAGAAAGATGCGTTTGAATAAGTTGAAGATCAAAACTTGAGGATTTCCAAATGGTTTCGAGCTTTGTCAATGGCCATTTCAGGAACCTAAATTGGAGGTACCTACCACATACAAGGCCTATATAAGGCGTATGTAAGGGAATATCCCTAGAAAATATGCCAGTTGGGGATGATTTGGATTGTGTTTGGAATCCAGTTGGCTCCAGCGTGGCGATTCCCAATCGGCCTTCAGGCGTCTCAAGTTTGTTGATGCAGGGGGTGCTCTACTTCTGTCGATTACCCGGTAAGGCAATTTAACATTATTGAAAATTGCCATAGAAAGTTCGTTGATTTACCCATTTTCATAGCATGGTGATGTTCCATCGTTTTTGTATGTTTACCGGAGGGTATTAACTATGGTTATATCTACCATAAACCATAGTTAAACCACTTATAAGGCAACCATAAACCACCAACCATTGTTAATTAACCATTATTTCCATTAAAGAAACAGCGGCGATCTCCAAACTTCTTGGGTTATTTTTTTTCAGCCCTCCTGGCGCCGAAAAGGGCAGGATCCAGCCGGGCGATGTTTGACGAAGCAATGCCAGAAAGGAACGCATATTGCTGGGTAAATTATAACGACCTCACTGCGACCTCACGACCTAATCATAGTTAATAACGGGAATCATCCCCTTTTATGGCCGCAAGATTCAGGTTGGTGTAATATTATAATTTACCCAGATATTGTTAATGGGTAATGTCAACTCCGGATTAATAAACCACGGTTTATCAATTAGAGGGGTACTCCTCCAATAGTCATAATCTAATACTTAAATGTTACCCTCCCAATTAAACAGCCATTTGGGGTTTATTAATCCAGGGTTGACATTAGATACTATCCTCTTAGGAATTCAATTTTGATTGGTTCTTACATCATTTGCTTGGTGGTTTGGAGCCTGTATGTGTATTTTCCATTCAGTTGGGAATGTCATCATCCCAACTGACTTTCACTCATATTTTTCAGAGGGGTAGGGCTCAACCACCAACCAGATATTGCTGAATGAAAATATCTTTCAGGTAAAATAGGTAAACCTGAATAAGATAAACCTCATGAGGTATCTTATTCTATGATATACCTTAATCACTTCAAGACTCGTGTTCTGTGCCCATGGCCAAGGGGACGAATGAGGCTGTGACGCGCTTTTTTTCGCCAGCGGTCAAAAGGGGGCACCGGGCAGCAGGGCGGTTTTGACCTTGTGTTTCGTAGCCAGATTTCCGATGTCAATGTTTTAGAGTGGCCAATCAAAAATAACATACAGTAACTTTGATATCTGGCAGCCTGGACATGTGAAAGTTTGCTCTGCTGCCCTTTGATTCGGTCATGTATTGTGGTCTAAGACAGCATAATGGACCAATGGAGAACATGTGAAAGTAAGATCCTGGTAGAGTAGCCAAGCCAGATACCTCTAAGTTGTGTTTCAAAACCTCTCAAGCCTCCAGCTAGTCTCCCCTAACTGGGGTAAAGTAGCACTATTTACAACTGGGTTTTGCTTTTCAAAGAAGGGAATAGTCATGAGAAGTCCCGGTTAGTAACTGGGTAACTTATAACTCCAGTTTACAACTGGACTAATCCTACTTTACCCGACTGGGCAAACTGTGATTATAACCCACCAACTGGCATGAACCACTAAGCATTCAAGATTCCTTTTTTGGTGCCTCCAGCGCCATCAAGCACCGTTTTTGTGCGCTTCCATGCTGAAAACTGCGGTAATTAATTCCACACGACAGGATAGTTTCCGAGGATGATTTCTTAGTAAATCATGGTTTCCAAGGATGATTTCTTAGTAAATCACCAAGTGAATTGTGTGGTAATAATGGCTAGCTAGAAAGAGAATCATGAGGTCAGCCTAATTGTGAAAGCTCTTGCTACGGAAGTCTTCGTACCCCATCACAATCCCCTCCACAGTTTTCGTACGATCCCCATCCTTCGCTTGGGGTGGTCGTTAACCCCAACTTCTCATGGGGTTCAACATGGAGTTTAACCATGTTTAACCACCTCCCAAAAAGGCGATTAAATACAATGTGGGGCCCCCGTTCGATAGCGTTCAGTTGGTGAACATAACTACAATTTCACGTTTGGGTTTATGGTACGCAAATAACCATAGTTAGATGGGGTTATTTGTACCAACGTTCACATAACGTAAACGGGGGCCCCACATTGCATGTTCATAAACCCTCCCAAACATGTTCATGGGACGATTATCCAACATTCAATCCAACCTTCAGACAGTTGCGCAACCGTTGGTGGCTTTGATATAAAAAAGAAATCCGAATAACATGAATAAAATAGCTCAATCCAAACATCTATTGGCTGATAATTTTCTTGGACTTATTGGCCATGCTGCACGGTGGTTTTTTTGCGTTCCATGGATTCCCAAGATTTCTCCATGATTTTCCCAGTCCTCCGGGTGCCATGGTCCCCAGGTGTTTGTCCGGCGCTGGGCCTGCGGTCATCGCCTTCACCAGTGGCACCTCGGTAGCGGAAAGTGCTCCCAGCTTTTCGTGGTGGTTTTGATGGGAGAACGTGGGAAAGCCAGGGGGAAAGCATGGAAAACCATAGGAAAACCATGGGAAAACAATGGTGAAATGTATCTACAAATGATGAAATGAAGGTTTCTAGCGAAATTTTCTAGCGAAAATGGGATGAAAATGGACCTGTTGCATCTTGTATTGTTAAAGTTGCATCCGGGGATGGACCTGCCCAAGAGTGAGTTTTAAAAGGAGCATCCAATTCACTAGAAATCTCAAATACCCAATTTGAATCAAATAATGAGATATCTATAAGATATACATTTCACAAACCTTTGCATTCCTCAGGGTGATATCTCATGAAACATGGGATTTTTTCATGGATTGTCAATGATTAATATGAATGCGCTAGGGGAATATGAATGGTATGACTGAACATTGTTGGATTTGCTGCGTCAATGATGGTTTCCCAAAAAACCATCTAGGAAACATCTACGAGATTGGGAATCTCTAGGAATGTGTTGAATATTTATTGGGAGGTCCAAAAAAAAACATATCCAAGTCTATAATTGAAATATTTATATATATATATACATATATATACATATATATATATATATATATCCATCATGGTGGGATGCGATGTTGGGTTTTTATTGTGTGATTATATTTTCTGCATGTAACTTCCAATAGTTTTTTGTAGTCCAATTGTTGGTGATTTCACCAAGAAGATGGATGCGTTAGGGGATGAATTCAGTTTAGGTCTGTTTGCAAATGGGTAGATACTATCCTCGTCTATCCTCTTAGGAATTCAAAAGATTGGTTCTTACATAATCCATGGCAGTTGGGGTAGTTCAAGTAGCAACGGGAGAGAACAGCAGATGTCGATCCCATCGTTCGAAGCCAAGCCACGTCATGTTTTGCCATACTTACCCTTTGGTAAACTAACGTAGATATAGAAAATCACCATTTTATAGCTGGGTCAATTTTCAATAGCTAGGTAACAAATTACCGGAGGGTATACCCCGCTATGCCGCAAGTCTACATCATCATTGCCCCATTATATCCCCTGTATGTGCCTGTATGTCTACATCTCAATCAGCAATCATCATAATCAATAATCTACTTTACTAAACCAATATGACCCACGATATCTGCCAACCAGACACAAACAATATCCTTGTATATCGCAAGTATATTCTTTATATGGGTTATTTTTGCATCCTTATTGCTTTTGATTGGATTCAAGGTTTCTGGGTTAAATTCCGATGTTTATTGGGTTAGACTCTGTTTTTTCTTGGTTAACCCCTGTATGTGTGTTGATCAAATCCCTCTTGGCTAGTCCCTTATTTAGGTCTATCACCAGTGATAAATCACTATCAACCATTATTATATATGTTCACACCGCATTTTAAAAAAAAACACGATAAACCAGTATAAACTGGTCTCAACGATTCCGCATCATGTTGACTTGGTTAAAGAAACAGCTTCTTTACCAGTACAAACCATTACAAATCATTATAAACCATTTTAGACCAGTATAAACCAGTTTAAAGCCACATAAACCAGTATAGATATCATGGTTGTGTCGGTAACATCCCCAAAAAACACCACAGGCCGCTGGAAATTGTTGCGCCTCGACCTCCCCCAAGCGGCCAAAGGTCGCTGCGGGGACGTCATCGCCCAGAACGCCTCGGAACGTGAGGAGACAAAGAAAGGATGTGGCTAGCACCCACTGGCCCAGTTACTATGGTCATCTATAGTTATTACTATGGTTATCTATGGTCACTATAGTTATTACTATGGTTATCTATGGTCACTATAGTTATTACTATGGTTATCTATGGTCACTATAGTTATTACTATGGTTATCTATGGTCACTATAGTTATTACTATGGTTATCTATGGTCACTATAGTTCTTACTATGGTTATCTATGGTCACTATAGTTATTACTATGGTTATCTATGGTCACTATAGTTATTACTATGGTTATCTATGGTCACTATAGTTATTACTATGGTTATCTATGGTCACTATAGTTATTACTATGGTTATCTATGGTCACTATAGTTCTTACTATGGTTATCTATGGTCACTATAGTTCTTACTATGGTTATCTATGGTCACTATAGTTATTACTATGGTTATCTATGGTCACTATAGTTATTACTATGGTTATCTATGGTCACTATAGTTCTTACTATGGTTATCTATGGTCACTATAGTTATTACTATGGTTATCTATGGTCACTATAGTTATTACTATGGTTCTATGGTCTATCTATGGTCACTATAGTTATTACTATGGTTATCTATGGTCACTATAGTTCTTACTATGGTTATCTATGGTCACTATAGTTATTACTATGGTTATCTATGGTCACTATAGTTATTACTATGGTTATCTATGGTCACTATAGTTATTACTATGGTTATCTATGGTCGCTATAGTTATTACTATGGTTATCTATGGTCACTATAGTTCTTACTATGGTTATCTATGGTCACTATAGTTCTTACTATGGTTATCTATGGTCACTATAGTTATTACTATGGTTATCTATGGTCACTATAGTTATTACTATGGTTATCTATGGTCACTATAGTTATTACTATGGTTATCTATGGTCACTATAGTTATTACTATGGTTATCTATGGTCACTATAGTTATTACTGTGGTTATCTATGGTCACTATAGTTATCTATGGTTACTATAATTATCTACGGCTATCTATGGTTTCTATAATTGTCTATGGTTATCTATAGTTATTACTATGGTTATCTATGGTCACTATAGTAATCTATGTTTTATCTCTGGTTTTCTAATGGTTACTATAGTAATCTATGGTTATCTAGTGTTTTTTAATGGTTTCTATGGTGAATATTTCCATGTAGGCAGGTTACAAACTTCAGCCACTTGTAGATGGATATTCCCAGTTGTCTACAGCGCCGAGGTCGAGAATATATGAAAACATGGGTATCAAACCACTTATTTGAAGGGTCATCCCACTTAGTACTAGGTTGATAACCCTGGTTAGGTGCCCATGTGGGATATCCCATGGATGGGAGAACTGAGCGGTTATCCAGCCACAAATCCCCAGAAGCACCAGGAGTTTAATGTGGCTGAAGCGTTTCTGGCTGCTGCGGACGAGATTCAATGCCAGGGGCCCTTGGAGATTGGGGTGGCTTTGGCTTCGGCCTGTGTTTCACATATTGATAGTAGCATGTTCCACCACCAAACCAGTTTTTGGTGGCTTAACCAGCAACAACACGACAAAACTGGCAAATATGGTGGGATTCATGGGAATATCATGGGATAATGATGGGATAATGATGATTTACCCTCTGGTGTCATCAGACGTGGCTTGCTGGAAAACCCCGGACAAAAAGAGCCGCTGGGAGGTTTCGCTGGGAGAATCATCGAAGCCACGTCTGATGTGCGATTTTCCAGCCACGTTTGATGACACCAGAGGGTAAATCATCATTATCCCATCATTATCCCATGATATTCGCATGAAATCCCACTATATTTTGAGGGTGACTCCCCAACCCCCCATTCTGAACAATCCAGGGTTGACACGACCAACTTCAGCCATTTGGGGATGGTTAAAAGAAGCCATTTTTGCGGTGATTGGATAATTTATTATTGGGTTGACCACATTACAATAAATGGTTTCCGAATATAT